AAAAGAAAATAAAATCTGTTACTTTTGTGGCTCAACAAAGCATGCTTCCTCAGATTGTCCATTGTATGCATAAAACGGGTCTTCTTCTTTTTAAATAAAAATATGTCATTAATTACAACTTTTGTCTACTGCGTCATAAATGTAACACTACATGTACAAGCAATTATATACCATCATCCTATTCATGGCACACATACAACTTTTGCCGAAATAAATGTCACAATAAAGTATCGCTCTTTTGATGATTTATTTAGACACATTGCTTTATCTTTTTTTTTATTTACAAGTCAGCGAAAATGTTTATAATAATAATAAAAAAACTCTTGATAGATATATTATTTAACTTTAATCTTCTTTAGAGCAAAGATGTAAAAGGAGAAGGGGGGAATAGGGAAAATGATATGTCTTGTTTTTGTATTTTTCATGTCTAAATAATCAAAAAGATGGTTTTCTAAATCACAAGGGATGTTTTCTTTTTTGTCAATGGTTGAAGGAGCAGTTTATTAAATAAGGTTGTCCTTAAGCCCCCCCCTTTTTTTTTTCAAATGTGTTTACTGAGTGTAGTAAAAATATCTTGAGAATGCTCGCATCTGTCTCAAGTCAAACAATTCTATAGATTCTCCATAAAAGCCTACTATTATTGCAAATATTGAAAAAAAAAATCATTTATAAAGCACCAATTTACAAAACATTCTCATTTATTGTTTAAATAATTGAAACTTCCTTTAATTCTCAAAATAACTATTTAGCTATAATGATTAACAAGACCAACTACGAAAAAAAAAAAAAAAGTAGAAGTTCCTCTGATCCTTAAAAAAAAAAAAAGGAAGAGGGGAAAGAATATAGTTTATATATTCACAATAAATGAGGCTTAATGGTGTCAGATCGTAAAAACAGAATTGTTGTTGTATGTACATACATGTGAGATCACTTGATATATACAGGATTAGTCAACACTTTATACATGTATATAAACACGACAATCGATACATCGTCTTCACTGAACACTTTTTAATGCACCACAGGGAAAGAATCATAATAGAGTGTAGTCCATATTTGCATTTTGTAACCATGCCAACTAGCAACTGGCATCACTTGAGACGAATAAACTTCAATCACCTCAAGGCAAACACTCTATCGTTACACAGTAGATGAAACGAGTTTTGATTGTTTCAAAAGGAATAAATATAAATGTCTATACCTTTTTGAAAGATTAGACATGACCTTTTTTTTTTTTCACTTCAAAAATGTGCGATGAATCAAATCTTGTAGAAGTCAGCAACACTTTTTTATTGTGAACAATAGAATTACGTCGAAATAGTGATGCCGTCAAAAGTAATGGCGTCATCAAAATAATATGTGTGCAAATAATAATAAATTGTGGTTGTCTATATATCTTGGGGAGGTTTTTTTTTTCCCCCAAACTCAACCGAAAAAAAAAAACTATATATACGACATACTTTTTTTTTTTCCATAGCGATCTGACCAGGGCAAAACAGCATATAAATGCAGTGTGCTCATTGGTCATTTTTTAATTTTTTAAATAAAATTCTTTAATCGTATTATTCTTTTAAAGTACGACACTATTCTATTCTTTTCTTTTTTTTTTTTTTTTTTTTTTTTTTCTCTTTTATGTATAGCCCTTTATCTATGTATATACTGTTCTTTAGTATGATGGTAATTGAATTATTTTTATATATTTACTTGTTAGACCATCTGTATATACTATCATTGTCCCTCCCTCTCTCTTTTCTTTTTTTTTTCTTTTCTTATACATATAGATGTATGCAATCAATATTTATAACTTGGTTACTTTTATATATATTAATAAGTTGTTTATAAACACATGATTATATATTTATATCAGATTATCACATTTTATATATAAACGTGCAAATTTGGAACAATGATTTATTTTATTTATTTATTTATTTATTTATTTATTTATTTATTTATTTTTGAAAAAAAAAAGGGATACAAAGGAAGGGTGGAAAATGGGGAACAAGATAGTTTTCCAAATAAAAAGTCTAGTTGTAATAAATCAATATGATCATAGAGAAAGGCCATTTTGTCTTGTATATGATGGCAAAGTATCTCACCATTCTCCACCACTCCCCCCCAAATAAATATAAAAATTACGCTAATTATTGAAAAAAAAATGCAATATTCATGAATGAACAGCTCAACTGTGATAGAAACAGTTACAAAAAAAAAAAAAAAAAAAAAAAAACAAACTCAGAGGCAGTAAAAGAAAAAAAAAGCCCCCACGATAAGGGGTATGTGGGCTCATTAACCAAGCAATTGTAGAAAAAATCTCTTGATTAAATAATACTAAGCAATTCCTGGATCAACTAATTTCGAAAATTTAAAACTAAAAAGAAAAAAAATCAGCAGTTTATTATGATTTTATAAGAAAAGATATGAGTTTCACTTTTAAGAACTTTGTATTTTACGGTTTCAAAAAAAATAAAAATAAAATAAAATAAAATAAAAATTGTTCAATTCAAATACTATTACGGTCAATTCGAGCGAGCCTGAAATTTCTCAGGAACTGTGTGTGTGTGTTCTATTATTGATGTCATTTGCTAGTTTACGTCCATATATAAACGTGGATTGAGACAGGGTTTGGGCACAAAGAGTGTAACATCAATAGTTGAAATCCAAAAAAAAAAAAAAAAAAAAACCAAAATCGTTTTCCCTATCATTTTAAGGGAAATATCAGTTCTTACAATCATAGATACTACTGTTAGAGTCACAAGTATAACTTAGTATGCAAATTGCAGGTTGAAGAGAGAAAAAAAAAAAGATTGAAAAAGTTAAAATTGTGGAAGCCAAAGGAGAGGAATTTATTTGAGCATGAACATAATTCATACTTGATTTTGAATACTACTAAAATAGGATAATTCGAGAACTTTTCAAAAAAAAAAAAAAGGGGGGGACATTAGTGTGTACATTTATCGTTTCATTTTCTTAAATTTAATTTGATAAAAGATTTTTTTTTTCTTAGACGGCTTACCTTATTTTGCTTGCTTCTAGGCTATAGCTTATTAATTGTTTCGATGATATTTTTAGATAAACAACATTCTTATACATATATGTATATGATTAATCTTTAGATTATTATCGATATAAAAAAATATATTAAATTCATATATTCAATGTGTTAAATGATTATATATGTAAAGATAAAAGATGAAAAGCAAGCCACGTTTATAATCATTAATTGACTCTTTTAGACCTTCTTTTCGTCGAAAAAATATATAAAGACATTGTCACTTGTTGGTTGATGTTAGACTATATTGAAAAAAAAAAGAATTGTTCAGCAAAGATCTGTAATATGTATTTCTTCTAGTTTTATTATTATTAGTATTTTTTTTTTATTACTTTAATTTTTGTTGCTGAGTGAACTCTCAACCCCAAATTATTTCAAGTCTAATTCGATTTAAGTTTCGTGTTTTTTATCAAGTTAATATTGTAATAAAACCTTTCTATATAAAGTAACATAAATTCTATTCGTTATTTGTAATACGCGTATTTGATTATGATGATTCGCGGGAAAAAAAAAAGAATCGAATTTCATAAAAGTGTATAGTTGTCGATTAGTGCAAACTAATATTTAATCATAGATAAGTTAGTTACACACCAAATCATAATGATGAAGTTAAGATAGATATCAATTATTATATTAGCACACTTTGAGGTAATATATTTCATTAAGGGGTAATTTACTATAACGAAATGATGTCACACCCCTATTTCAGTTCAATTTTATCCGATTTTCTGGTAATAGCTTGTTTTTTTTTACTAAGTGGGGGGGGAAGGGTCTTTTTTTCTTGGTTTTCCTTTTTTTATAAATGCAAAAAAAAAAAAAAAAAAAATATGCATAAATCGTAAATATCGATCAATAAATGCGGAGCTTGTCTTCTGAAAAAATAATTGATAGCATTAAAAGGGAAAAATTCAACCAGTCATGTTTATAGTTATATCCATCACCACAACCCCATCCCTTTTTACATACAATACAACAATTAAGCAAAAATTAGTACTGTCTTAGATCAAACGCGAGTTCTTACCACTTGAGGATGACAGCTAGATGTGCTAATAAGCCTTTCATATATATATATATATATATCTATTTATCAAATAATGTTACGAACAAACAAGCAGAGTACAGAGTATCAAATAATGTTACGAACTAACAAGCAGAGTACATAGGTAAAAGCGTCATTTATATCGGGGATTTTTGTATCTTTAGTGATTTAACTGGTAAAAAATTAGTTTATTTCTAATATTGAACCCTTTTTTATCAAAAGATAAATAGCATGCACTACACAAAAAGTTACCACAAACTTTCACAGCCATTGGTACCATTAGAAAACACATACGCAAGCACACACATGTACGTACACATGAACACACACATGAACACACACACACATAGATATACATATATAGATACATTTATATATATATATATATATATATAGCTTCCTTAAAATAATATTCATTTCCATACTAGTAGACTAGAACCTGATCGCTAAGCGTGATCACAAAGATAATAATAAATTCTATATTAAGCTCAATTTTATTATCTCTACTTTGTTTTAAAAAAAAAAAAAAAAAAAAAAAAAAAAAAAGATTTTGGGTTTTAATTCTTGTCTACCCTAATAAAAAAAAAATCCGAATCAATAAGTGTCTGAAATTTATGAAAAAATTTGGAAACAGTAACATGATGACAATAATTTCTTAAAATATCTATTAAATTATACATGTCAAATGTTATAAATTTACATATTTTGTATATACATTTATATAAATGTGTATATTTTTTTATAAATATAAACTCTTTATAAATTTTATGAATTTATTTCATTTCTATTTTTATTAGCCATATTTTATCTTTTTATTTTATTTTATTTATTTTATTTTTAAAAGAAAGAATAAATAACAAAATTATAATCTGTAAGGTTTTGCTGTGTTTCATTATTTGGTAATAAGTCATGATGATTTTCATTGTAAGTAAACTTTACTACTATTGTAAATAATAATTATTGCATGTTATAATTACTGTAAAATAGGAAAAAAGGATTTTCTTAAAAAAAAAGTCTAAATTGTTTAAAATAATGGTTTACATTAATGAAAAAAAAAAAAAGTCAAATATTTAATTTTATTTGTTTGTTTATTTTGTTTATTTTGTTTATTTGTTTATTTTGAGATTTTCATTTTTTTTTATCCTTAGCTATAATTGTGACACTTTTTTTTTTTTTTTTTTTTTTTTTTTTTTTTTTTTTTTTTTTAAGGGAAAATTTTAATTTTAATATTATTCACGTATGTGTGCTCCATTTTTTTTTTTTTTTTTTCTAATATTTAAAATATAAAAATTAAAAATTGTAATTTAGACACTTTAACTTGGCTTATGCATTTTTAAATCTTATGAATAACGCCAGCCGAGATCGTAACAACCCTGATCATAAACTTGAACAACAAATCTTAAAAACAGACATAAGTTATAAAGTCATTAGCGACATTCAAGAGCTTATTTGTGCTTATGCTTCCGAATTTGATTTGGAATTTTTACCTCAAGAAGATAATGCCATTAGCTTGAATACATCTCTCACTGGCGCTATTGCTCAACTTTATCATAAGACAAAATGTACATTTAAAAGAAATAAATTAGAATTTGATAACTACTGGGTAAGTTTTATCAACAAAAAAGAAAAAAAAAAGGAACAGTAGTTAATCTAAGAAAAAAAAATAGAACTGGTTAGTACCCTGGAGAAAAGCAATTTCTTTTGAAAGCTTGTCAGAACTTGCTAATGACGATGTGAAAGCATTAATTACTTCATTTCATCCATCAAGTCATAGTGCACTTATGGCCATTTTTGACCATGGATTAGAAAGTTACATGAATTGGTATCCCTGGCGTTATTTCTCAGATCTTGTCTTTTTGGGTGCTGGTGGGTTTTCAGCTGTATATGCTTCTGATATTATTTTACCGTATGATATACCAGAAAAGGGGAAAAGATTTGGTACACAACGTAGAGCAGTTGCATTAAAGGTGGTTGATGAAAAAGTTTTAAATGAAGTAAAAATCATTACATATACATATATATATTACTCTCTTTCCCCTGTTATATTCATAATCTTGTTTAAATAGTTTATTGTACAAGCAAAAGCAAATACAGCTCTTTTATTTCATGGCATAACAGTGTGTGAAAATACGGGTGATTTGATGATGGTTTTAGCTTTAGCAGAAGAAGGTAATTTAAATCGGCAAATCAAAAGGGCAAATAAAACAAGTTTTGCAACAATTGTGGACATTGTTATACGATTAGCATTTAATCTTGCTAGTTTACATGACAACATTGGCATGTGTCATCGAAATATTCATTCCGAAAATATTGTACATGTCAATGATGATTATTTCCTTGTTGACTTTAGATTTTCTGCTTTAATCAATGAAGCAACAAACATCACTAAATCATCACAAGTACACTATGGTATATTTATTTATTTTTTTTTTTTTATATTATTATTGTTGTTATTGTAATTTTCATTATTCTGAGTTTTTTTATTTATTTATTTATTTATTTTATTATTTATTTATTTTATAGGTCGGGTGCCTTATATTGCACCTGAAGTTGAAAAGGGGATTTATACTGAAAAATCAGATATTTATAGTCTTGGCATAATCATGTGGCAGTTGGTGTCTGGTGTTATATTTCCTACACCAGAAATTCTAGCCACCGCACCTGATGTTTATAGAATTGAATGGGTACCTGGTGTGTCTAGATGGTATCAAGAAGTGACAATGGCGTGCTTAGAACCCTTTCCAGAAAATAGACCAACGGCTAAAGAAATTTATTTACTTTTACGTAAAATCGCAGCTACTACTTCTAAGACAGCTTTAGCTGATGAAGGTTGGCGAGCTTACGTAAACAGTCGACGTCAAAAATGTGAACTTCATCAACAGCATTTCATATCAGAAGGTCCTTCCTCTGCTTCTCGTCTATATACCCTCGGTGAATTCTCGAAAACAAGTGAGCCTTTACTTAAAAATGTACCATTTCATTATCGACTTTTTAATGCGGATAGTATTGCATACAACATTGAATCTAATAGATAATAGTAAATATTAATAATAATAATAATAAAAGCAGTCAAATTGTTATAATTTGTGCAAAAGGAAAAATCTCCCCCGATTCCTTTTTTTTTTTTTTTCTTAAAAAATTCTTCATCTTTAAATAAAACAATGAATAAAACACCAAATAATTATAATTGGGGATCTTCGAAAAAAAGATACGAGTGGAAAAATGAATATTTAACCCAAGGATTTGCACCACGTGATGAAGAATTAGAAAAAGAACTTTTCGGTATAGATAATCATGTTCATTCAGGCATTAACTTTAGTAAATATGAAACTATTCCTGTTCGTGTCATTGGTGAAAATCCTCCTCCTGGTTTTAATAAATTTGAAGATGCCAACTTGCATCCTTGTATGAAAGAAAATGTTGCTTTGGCAAGATATATTATACCTACTCCTGTTCAAGTAAATAATAGATGCATCTACATTTGTATACATTTATATATGTATATATATATAAAAACTGACAACATGTTATATTAATAGCGTCATAGTATTTCTATTGTGACAGCAGGTAGAGATTTGATGGCTTGTGCACAGACTGGTTCTGGTAAAACAGCTGCTTTTCTTATCCCTACTTGTTCCGCTTTGTTTGGACAGGCACTTCAACTTATTTCTCGCCCTGCTCCTCATGAAGGTAATCATTGGAAAGCGCGACCATTAGTCTTGATCATTGCTCCTACTCGTGAATTATGTTGTCAAATCTTTGATGAGGCACGTCGTGTAAGTTATTGTTGAACATAATGTGTTATTATACATGTATATACATATAAATATATGTATGTGTATATATTGAAGGTTAACTATCTTATGTAGTTCTGCTATAGAAGTATGTTAAGACCTTGGTAAGTTTATCCTTCTTGTTAGTTGGTTACGATATATAGCTTATATATATATATGTATATATTATAATGATAGTGTTGTTTATGGTGGTGCAGGTGTCAATGGTCAGTTAAGAGAATTAGAAAAGGGATGTGATATTCTAGTAGCTGCACCTGGCCGTTTGCTTGATTTTATTGATCGTGGTAAAATTGATTTATCACATCTTAGATATTTGGTTTTAGATGAAGCGGATCGTATGTTGGATATGGGCTTTGAAAAATCCATTCGTGAAATTGTAGAACGCAAAGGTAAATAAAAACAAAATAAAGAAATAAAGTTTTGCCATGTAAATGCTTAATATCTCTATCATTCTATTCTATTATTAGGCATGAATAGAAACAGAATCACTTTAATGTATAGTGCTACTTTTCCTAAAGAGATTCGTAGATTGGCTCGTGACTTTCTTAAGCCTAATTTCTTATTCTTAAAGGTAGGCCGTGTTGGAGGTACAACAACAGATATCACTCAAAAGGTATATAAATAATGGCAGATAGATAACAGTCAAGTCATTCTAAAAAATAAATAAATAAATAAATATAGGTTCTATGGGTTGAAGAGCAAGATAAACGTGAGCGTGTATACCAACTCTTGACCTCTCAACCACCTTGCCGTACATTAATCTTTGTTGATACAAAACGTAATGCAGACTCGTAAGTTGAAGAAATGTAATCTCTCTCTATCTTCTCATCATTATAACACGTACCTTTTTCATTACTTAGACTTGATCAATATCTTTTCGATCATAAATTACCTACTACCTCTATTCATGGCGACCGAAGTCAAATGGAACGTGAAGATGCTCTTCTTGCCTTTAAAGCAGGTACTTGTCCTATTCTTGTTGCTACTGCTGTCGTTGCTCGTGGTATCGATGTCAAAAATGTGATGCATGTCATTAATTATGATATGCCACCCAATATTGATGAATATATCCATCGTATTGGTCGTACTGCTCGTGTTGGTAACGCTGGTCTTGCTACAAGTTTTTATAATCATCGTAATTCTGCAATTGCTAGAGACTTGACAAAGTTACTTATTGAATGTGCTCAAGAGGTCCCTAGCTTTTTAGAATCATATAGAACAAATGACATGCGTTTCCAAGATGATGAAGATGATTTTTAAGGTCTTTATTATTGATGTATATATTGTCCAATAATAGCAAAAAAAAATATATATAAAAATATTTAATAAATTAATTATGAGTCATAAGTAAATTTTCTAGAGTCTAATTCTAGAGTAACAGGTCCTAATAAACAAAAAGTGTTAATGAAATGCATCTAATAAATCAATTATAAAAACGATTACCATCATTTGAAATATCAACAAGCATCATGGCTCCAAATTCACCATCTAATAGGAAGGAAAGAAAAAAAAAGTGAGGCTCAATATATACATAAATTTGAAAAAAATAGGCACACTTACCTTTAATTTTTGATGGATCATAAGCCTTTCCTAATTTTTCAAGGAATAATGCATACATTTCCTTTGCGCTTTCAGATTTCATAGCTCTATGAAAATCAGGTTTATTTCCCTTTATGGTTTGAGCCTGGAGTGTAAATTGAGAGACACATAATAACTCTAAGCCAGCGTCTTTAACACCCTTTTTCCACATAATATCATTCTCATTAAATACTCGTATATTGAGTATTTTATTCACCATATAGTCAATGTCCTTTTCTGTATCATCTGTTCCAATTCCAAGAAGGACGCAAAGACCTTTTTGAATGGAACTGATCACTTTGTTATCCACTATACAATTTTTTTTTTGGTTTTGTTTAAATAAAAGGGCTTTTTTTTTTTCTTTTCTTTTTCCTCTTTCTCTCTCCTCTCATTTGTTATTATTTTTTTTTTACCTGTAACACTGGCTTTGGTAACTCTTTGGATAACAGCTCGCATTCTTCTAGGAACGTAATTTTTATTTTTATTATTATTATTATAAAAAAAAAAAAAAAAAAAAGATAAAAAAAAATTTGACATTTTTTGATTCAAGGGAATTCACATCTTCTTTAATCTTCATACTCCGCAAATAGTATTCATTTCAATGATGGAGATAGATGACCACCAAACAAAAAGAGATAACGAGTCATAAAATTCGAAGGAAAAAAAAATCGTTTGCAATCATATATATCCAGAGATAAGCAAAACCAGCAAGCTTCTTAAGAATACATTGTCCTAAAATTTCCAATTTTCCTTAGTATGTTTACACACAGTAGTATTATTCATATTCCCTGAGCTGTTGCTGTTATAATAAATCGTTATTTCTAGAGCAAAGAGCAATAATGTGTTGATGATAATTCATAGTGAATATTCTAGCTATAACTATCATTATGACAATAAATAACAGTCATAATACATTGTTTGTTAGTTTATGCTAGTAAAAATTGAACAGGTGTAGAGTGAATGTTATGCTGTAATACAAACGATATCTTCCTCTTCCATCAGTTTTTTTTTTTTTTTTTTTTTTGCTTCTCTTGAAGAGATGGTTTATACAAAGTCATGATCTTTTGTTAAAACTGTAAAAGGCTGTAATGACAAGTTATCTACATCATACAGCAAATTCTTTCTTACTATTGACTAGATACCCGCAAGCATTACTATTCTACACTGCTAAACAAAACTATGCACTAACCAACTAAAAATTGTACTGAGTCAAAAAAAAAAAAAAAATATTTTTTCAAATATAAAACATTGAAATAAATAAATATGTAAATATCGTTTCTTCTTTCTTTTTTTTTTCATAATTTATAATATCTTATACAAATAATGGATACATCGAAAAAAAGATTACGTGCAATTGATGAGGTTGGAGAAACTTCATCAACATCTACATTACCACCTTCTCGTCCTCCATTAAAGAAACGATTTACAAGCTCATTTAATAATGCTATCCAACAGCAACAACAACAGCAACAACAGCAACAACAACAGCAACAACAACAGCAACAACAACAGCAACAACAACAACAGCAACAACAACAACAACAACAACAGCAACAACAACAACAACAACAGCAACAACAGCAACAACAGCAACAACAACAATATACCAATGATGAGACTGAGCAAGTAATGAAAATGGCAGCTAAATCAGTTGTTAAACTAATTGAGTATCCGGTAAATTAAAATATAATAGTTCAAGAATAAATAGTTAAAAATATAAAATAGGAAAGAATAGATGATTATACAAAAGAAGAATTATTACAGCACATGCGTCTAGCAAAGGTAAGCTTTATGCACAATTTAAATGGTCATGGTTTTATTTACTCTGTCTTTTTCTTTTCTTTTTTTTTAAGGATGAAGCTAATAATCTAGAGACACAGCATAATGCAATAAAAGAAAAATTTTTGGATAAAGAGATACAACAAAGTTTATTACGAATTGATTGGGGTTTGGTAATTACAATAAAATTGACCTTGATTCTAGAGTTAATTTCGTTATATTAGATTCAAGCTGAAATTGTTTTTATGGCTAAAATATTGATTGGTGTTGAATTACCAGAACCACCAGGTATAAAATTGAACTGTTAAAAAGAAATATAATGCATATTCATTTTTTTTTAAACAAAAAAAAAAAATAGAATTACCTGTTCGTAAATTAACTATAGATCAACAAAAAGATTGGTGTTATCGTAATCAAAATATTATTAAGGAAATTGGCACAAAGGCATTAACTCGACTCGAAAGTTGGAATCAACAAGCAGAGCTGATTGAAAGAAAATATCGCCTTGAAGATGACATCATGTTAAAGTGTGTAATTGTCTCTGATTGGCTTAAAGCAGAGGTCACTGATCTGCAAGCTTCTTACAAAAGAGGTCAAGATGCTATGATGGATTTACAAAAGGTATTGGATATTTTATTAGAGCAAACAAATCTTATTGAGGGTCATATCAAGATGGCTAAGACGGAAGTAAATTCAGCAGTAGAGCGTCTAGAAAGTTGTGTAGAGGAGTTAAATATGGCTTGTAAACGACAAGATCGAGCCAAGAGTAAATTAGTAGCCGCATTAAGTTTTGGTGGGTTAGGAAATTTGGCAGGTTCTAGTAGTAAACAAGAGAGTGGGACTGATGTGGTAGCAAAGGTTTCAAATGCACAAGAATTGACATTAAGCAAGGAAGGTAGTATAGCTAACGAGGTAAACCCAGAATCATATACATATTATACTATACTATACTATTTATTTTACAGTATGGTTAAAATAATAATATAGCCCTCTATGACACAAGAAGCAATAGAAGCACAATTAAAGGAACATAAACTTATTTTAGCAGCTAGAGAACAAGAATTTGAAAATCTAAAAAGAGATCGACAATTACTTTTAAGAGATGAAGAGCGACTCTTATCACTCTTTACAATGAGTGAAGACCGAATGGCGGAAACAGAATATGTCAAAACACTCAAGTTATCTATTGAACATTATCGTGACCGCTGTTATCATCTAGAACAACGACGTACAGAGATTGAACGAGAGATGGATAAAATATCAGCCTCCCGACAACAATTGATTGAACAGGTCAAGTCTGAAAAGATAGCACAAGGTATGGCTCTTGATTCAGAAATGCATCGACTTGAGAATGACCTGAATCGTATCAGGAATCAACGAGATCATTTCCAGATATTGTTAGAAGATCAGAAGGCAAAAGAAAGTCGTGAAAAGGAAGCGCAAGAAAAGATAATTGCGTTTGCAAATCAAGGAAAGATGAGGATTAGTGTACTTGAGAGTCGTATTGCAAAATTAAAGGCTGAACAAGAGATGACAAAGGAAGTAATTACATTTAATGAAATGAAAAGTAATATAAAGTAAGTTATATATATATGTATATGTATATACCTATTATTTATGATTGCTGTTGCTTAACATGTCGATTTGTTAGACATATGCAAATAGTAATACAAGCACTAGAAATGATTGAAAATCAAACAACTTCACCACCTTCTTATTTAACCTCAATCGATACTTTGAAGGAACAATTACAGAAATGGAAGTCATCTCCTTTAATCAGTTCATATGATGCATTGCTAGAGGAATCAAACAAATCGACTCTCATGATTGAATGCCTAGAAAAGAATGAAGGTCATTTATTAGAAGAAATTGACCGTGTTGCTGGTATTTATGGTAAATTAGAAGAGCAGCAAAGCAAAAAAGTATTTGATCTAGGGCAAAAGCGAGAACAGGCGTTAAAATTACAAGCAGAGGTGAGTATCTATTTAAATTAATTGTGAAAGTGTAATTTATACATGCCCCTTGTATTAGAAATCAAAATATGCACAAACATTTTCTTCTTTGATGTCAGCTAAAGAAAAACAAATTTCTGCCGTTGCTTCTTTGCGTATAACAAACGAAAAACAACAAGATTTAATTAAACAATTAGAAGAGAAAGAAAAGGCACTCGAATATCAAGTGGTAAAATACACATGTATATATTACATTTTAGTATGCTTATTTTTTTTTTTAATTATTTAATAGCATTTAAAAGAAGGTGAAATTCGAAAATTGTACAAAAATATAGAAGAAGATAGAACAGACTTGGAAGATATTAATCATTTATGTGAGGATTATCGAATTTCAATTGATCGCAATGAGCTCATGTTAAATGAAGTAAGTTAAAAATAAATTTCTGTTCATCTTTTACGTATTAAAATACAAAAATGAAACAGCTTCAAAAAACCTTGAAAGAAAAGACAAAATTATTAGAAGAAGAAAAGCATCTTCAAACGCAATTAGAAGAAAATTATGAAAAGATGAAAAAAAAATGGGACAAAATATCTCAAGGTGACAATCCAGCAGAACAGCAACTGATAGATGAATGTGAAGAACTAAGGGTAAAAAAAAAAAAATCGCAAATATATTTATATAAAGCAAGCTAATCTAAAACTAATGATACTTTATAGACATTGTTGAAGTGTAGTACGTGTCGACAAAGAGTGAGAACACATATATTGATTCGATGTATGCATACATTTTGTAAGAATTGTATTGATGCAAGATTAGAGACACGTCAACGAAGATGTCCCACATGTAGTGAGCCTTTTGGCGCAAATGATGTCAAGAACTTTTTTCTATAAATTTAACTTTTTGTATATCTATCATATAATATTGTAATAAAAGAAAATTTGAATAACATTCTTCAGGAGTAATAAAAAAAAAAAAAAAAAAAAAAAAAAAAAAAAAAAAAAAGTGACATGTGTGACCTTTTTTTATTGCTGTTTTTTTCCAAATTATTTGAAATAGAAGTTCAAGTTATTTGAAATAGAAATTCCATTTATTTGCAAAGAGAAACGTAATTAATTGAAAAAAAAAATGAAGTCAAGTTAAACAACTAGATATTCGTTTACTTTCTAAAGATACTATAACCACATACTTTCTTCACTCAAAGAATAAAACTGACTGCCTAATAATACAATTGAAACTGTTTTATGGGTTCTGTATGTGATTATTCAGTATCAAAAGGGTTTGTTTTGACCTTATATTTTATAATAATTACAACAGATAACATTTAATATATCGAAGCCTGCTTATAAAAACCGCAAAATTTTTATTTATATCATTTCTTCTTTCTTTTTCTCTACTTATTATAGCTATCATAGTATGAAACGTAAAGGGAAATTCCCCCCTGACCCTAAAGAAGAGAGGGTCACTCATAAAAAAGAGGTATGTAACAGAATAGGGAAAGGATTACTTAATGGTATGCACACTCGTGGTGTCTTTGTAATAGCGAGTAAAACTCTTTCCAAACTTGCTACTACTACTACCAAAGAAAGATCCAACTATGATGAACTCCTAGAAGATTCTGATGATAATTTTCAACCAAGAGAACAATTAGGTTTCATTATATTCAACTAATAAAGTGAAAACTGATAAAATATAAATTAAGGTCAAGAAAACTTATCATTCATGAAATATAAAGAATATAAAGAAATAGAGTGTACCTTCTTTTTTTTTTCAAATAATTTCTTTATTTTTTTCTAATAACTCTAATTGATATTTCAATTAATTTTTATTTTTATTTCAAAAAATTCTAAACTTTTATTTAAATTATTTGAAAAATAAAGTAAATCAGGAAATTAAACATTTTTTTTTCTTTTTTTTTTTTATGCTTTCTTTCTTAAGCAGATTTAATGTCACTTCAAGAACAATTGGATGCGCTCATTACCCATTCTAGAAACATTGCATCCATTCAATTACGGCAAGGTTCAAATAGTGTAGCTACTGATTTATTTTCAAAGAAAAGAATCTTTTTAAGAGATGCAGAACCATCTGAAATCAAACTTGCAGCAGCATGTGCAGGCGAGCCAATTACGGCAAGGTTTATTTAGAATTAAAAGAAAGAAAAAAAAAAAACAAAGATAATATACCCCTTTACTCAACATTTACTTTTTTTTTTTTTCCTTTTAGAATGAAACAAGAATTAGTAAGTGGATTATCAAATATAGAACGAGAAAATATTGAAAAAATATTAAAAACAGCAAATGCAATGAATCAAATTTGGTAAAACATAAGCAATTATTGACAACACGATTTAATTGAAAATTTATTTAGTAATATTCTTGGTATCAAAGAAAGAATTGAGAAAAATATTCGCATCAATGAAGAACAACAAACGAATTTAGATTATTTAAATGAAACTTATAAACAGGTAATAATAAATTTCTTTCGAAAAAAAAAAGGAAAAATGTGAATGATAAAGATTCATTCTTTATATTACAGACTGTTGCAGAAATTGAGAAATTAAAGAATATTGATGCTACACATATGAATATTGATAGTCAAGATACTATTGACGCTTACAATGACTCTAGAATTAATGAGGAAAAAGCATTAATAGAAAGATATGATAGAGAATTACAGCAAAAAAAAAATCAGGTAATGAACAGACAAAAAAAAAGCGACTGCATGTATCTAAATGAGACAGTGTTTAGCTTAGACAAATACAGGATAAAAAAGAAGAGCAAGCCGAAATGAGACGTACTTTAAGACTTATGAAATTCAATCATAGGAGATCGGTAATAAATACAACAGATATTGTTGATGAGGAAATACGAAAATTAGAAAAGGAGATTATTGAAGAAAGAGAAAAGATTGCGGATTACGGTAAAAAATCAATAAATAATAAGGACTACTAGCATGATAAAGATACTTATCTATGTATATTATATATTAGAGTCAAAAATAGAGTCCTTACTAGAAAACAATACATCAAATGATCGTTCAGATACATTAAATATTAGAGATATAAGTATAGGATTTAAAGCAAGAATTGATAAACTATTATATGATTCGAATATTGATGAGTCACCGAGTACAGAAACAAGTAATTTGAATAAACTATTTGAAACGATACAAGCAGAGATACAATCTTATCTAACGGAATTAAACAAAATCCACTCAGAAGAAAAACAAGAACAATCAGCAAGGTATTTGATAGTGTATTTTATTTTATTTTATCATGGCAAGGGCTTAAATGAAATGTTTTGTTAGGGATGTCTACAAAAAATTATTAGATTTTATTATACAACACAATAATGATGATAGCCGTCCAACTGTTGTTAATCTGGAAATATTTAATGAACTATTTCCAGATAATAAAGAAATCAATACGAACTTCTTTAAAGTAAACGAAGAAGCCAATGTCTTGACAACTATTTTACTTCAATTATACTCGAATAATAATATGACTTTAATGGATTTAACTGAATTTATTCAAAATTATGCAAAACAGCATCACTTTTCAGAAGAAGAAGCTGTTCAGTCTATTTATAAACTAGTTGGACTTGATCTTCTCGTTATCGATAGAACACAAAATGACAGTATTTGTACTTTGAAATTTAAATAAAACGTTTGTTAGTATTATTCATTCACATTTCTATCCAACGGCATTAAAATATGTATGTAATGACGTGTTATCTATAGCAGAGGACAAAGGATAGATATTCAAGTAAATCTAAAGCTTTATTAAGACAGATGAACCTATATGAGATTTGACTATTATTAAAGTGAAATGTCTACACTGGGATTTATCAATAGAAGAAAACTCTCATTATGCTGTAGAATAGCAGTAATATACTATTTCTCTATCATCGTGTCTTCTTTGTTAGTTGTTCATAGCCTCAATATTAAAGGCTATTATTTAACGATAAAATGCAGGATATTATTAATGAACATTCATTTATCAAAAACTTGTATCTTTTGAAAACAAAAGATTTCAAATCTGTCAGAGTTTTAAGCACAGAAGAAAGAAGTAAAGCTATAAAGGATAATTAAATAAGGATTCACTTTATAACCATTCCATTAAACAAAGATCTTTTATAAAGGAAGGTGATTCTTATATTTAATAATTGGAGTTTTTCTTTAGATTAGTTAACTCTTCTATTAGGAATTACCCTTTTTTCTCGCTTAACATTAGTCAATCTTGTATAAATTTCTAATAGCTTTTATTTCTTTCATCATAATACAAAACGAAGACTAAATAAATATTGGTAATGGCAATACCTGAGGGAGATAATGCTTTTACTTTGAAACACGTACTAAACTTTTTTTCCTTTTTTTTTTTAGAATCTATTCTACTATTTTAAACAAGTACTACTTAAGGTCTATTTATCCTCAATATAGTTAAAATGAAAGATGGGTAATAAAAAAAAAGCTTAAATCTGCTCTTCATTCTAATTTATTGGATCATGATTGGTTAGTCGTAGTTTGGTTAATACGTCACTGTTGAAAGTATCGTGCTTAACAAACTACATTTTGTGCTTTTTTTTTTTTCTTTCCTCCCCCCCTTTTTTTTTTTTTTTTTTTATTTCACAAGTTGTATATTTCTATAATTATTACAAATAATAAATAGATAATATTTTATTATAATTCGATATATAACAATAATAATAATAACAATAACAATAATATGAATCTTGACAAGTCACTTTCAGCATTATCAATTGATAAAAAAGAAAATGAAGAAAATAACAGCAGTAATAAATCGACCATGTCTACTGCAAGCCCAAGAATGATGCCGCCACGACCTATGCCACCTAGATTACAAGGTCGCTCAGTATTACCACCCATGAGTCGACCTAGTGGATTACCACCCTTGTCAGGTCATAGTAATAGTAGTATGAGTAGTATAAATAGCAATCATAGCAGTAGTAGTGGTAGTAGTAGCAGTGCTGGTGGACTACGGGGACCATTATCAGGTGGTTTGCGTGGTAGACAAGGTCCTCCTGGAAGAATGGGAAAACCAGGCTTGAATCTATCCCAATTGGGTCTTTCACCAAAGCCCGAACAAACACCTTTCGCCAACTTTTCAAAATATGTGTAAAGAAAATATATATATATTTTTTTTAGGATTTTGTTATATAATTCTGATCCTCATACTTTACCCACCCACACATATATATAGCGATCCTTCTGGTAAATTAAACTTTGCAGGAAAAGCTATTATTCATGCCGATGGTGTTGATTTTAGTAATGGTAGTAGTTTTGCTATCAAAATGGACGATCTTATTTTACAAGAAGAACTTGGTAAAGGACAATATGGCACTGTACAAAAAGTAAAGCATCGTGTGACGAATGTTACAATGGCAATGAAGGTAAATTTACACTATGCATATTAATTTATCTTTTTATCATTATTATTATTATTTCAATCTTCATGCTAAGCTTGATATATGAATAGGAAATTCGTTTAGAATTAGATGAGACAAAGTTACATCAGATTCTAATGGAATTAGACATTTTACATAAAAGTTCTGGAGAATTTATCGTTGAATTTTATGGTGCATTCTTTATTGAATCATGTGTATATTATTGTATGGAATATATGGATGCAGGATCTCTTGATAAATTATATGGTAAAGGTGTACCCGAAGATGTTTTGGCAAAAATTGCCACTTCAGTAAGTATATATTGATGTGTGTTGTACATGTATGCATTCATTTATGCATCTAATAGATGGTTAAAGGCTTAAAATTCCTTAAAGATGAGCTATCAATTATTCATAGAGGTATTCAAGATTTAGAAAGCATTTGTAACACTTTTTTTTTTTATTTTTGCTCATGAATGTGAATAGATGTAAAACCTACAAATGTGCTTGCAAATTTAAAAGGACAAGTGAAGCTATGTGATTTTGGTGTATCAGGTCAATTAGAAAAATCATTAGCCAAAACAAATATTGGCTGCCAAAGCTATATGGCTGTAAGTTGTCTATTAGGGAGAGCTAAATATTTATATATAAAGGAACTCATGATAATTTTTATTAGCCTGAACGTATCAAGACAGCTAATACTTACTCAGTTTCATCTGATGTTTGGTCATTAGGTATTTCACTTGTTGAAATGGCAATTGGGCATTATCCTTATAAATATGATAATATGTTTGCGCAATTAAAGGCTATTATTGATGATGAGCCACCTTCATTACCAGCTGATCATTTCTCACCTGAGGCGCGTGACTTTGTTGCCTCTTGTCTTCGAAAAGATCCAGTGAAAAGACCTACTTATGCTGATTTATTAGAACACCCATTTATTAAAAAATATGAGGATATTAATGTTGATATGGCAAAATGGGCAACTGAAGCATATGAATCAAGAAAGCAATAAAAGAGAAAAAAAAAAAAAAAAAAAAAAAAAAAAAAAAGCTTAATTACTTATATACAAATACATTTATGTGCTTAAAAACATAGCCAACAATAATCTAGCTTTTCATTGAATAAAATTAAAAAATAAAGTAAAATGTGTATTTGTATATGTACATACGTGTATGTGTATGTATATGTGTATGTATATGTATATGCATATATGTATATGTGTATTCCCCTCCCCCAATGAATTAGGCTTCTTTAACCCGAGCTTACATATTTTTTTTAAATAAATAAATGAATAAATTTTCAAACTCCCGAGAGAAACCTCAGTGCAGTAATTTATTTCTTGTTTACATCTCGAAATAATTATTATACATTGCACACATGATGACAAGTACAGAATTCAGCAGCCCTCTAAGAAAATATAAGCTAGTCTTTCTTGGAGAACAAAGTGGTAAGCTGATTTATTTATTTATTTACCACTGAGATTTTCCTTTTTTTTTTTTAATTAAATGATATTATAGTTGGTAAAACATCGCTTATTACACGCTTTATGTATGATACCTTTGATAATACATACCAAGTGAGTTAATTAAGATGCATACTTTGTTCTTTTTTTGTTATTTATTTTCTTACATTTTTTTTAAAAAAAAAAGGCAACTATCGGTATTGACTTTTTGTCTAAAACAATGTATTTGGAGGACAAAACTGTTCGATTACAATTATGTAAGTTGATGAAATAAAATCATGGATGATTTTATATATACATATATATATACTAATTTAATTCTATAGGGGATACTGCTGGACAAGTAATTTATATATTAAATAGTATATAACAATGGTCTATAATTCATTTATCTGTATTATGGATAGGAACGTTTTCGTAGCTTGATTCCTAGTTACATTCGCGATTCCTCTGTTGCTGTAATTGTTTATGATATTTCAAGTAATAAATATATTAAATAAATAATATATTAAATTCAATAGTATTAACTAGAATATATAAATATATATAGATCGTCAATCATTTATGAATACATCGAAATGGATAGATGATGTTAGAGCAGAAAGAGGTGACGATGTTATCATTGTGCTTGTAGGAAACAAATCTGACCTAAGTGAAAAGAGGTATGATCTATTGAATAAACAGAGGAAAAGAAAAGAAAAAGGTCTTCTCATTACTTGATATATAGAGAAGTTGCAATTGAAGATGCAGAGAAGAAAGCAAAAGAATTAAACGTGATGTTTATAGAGACAAGTGCAAAAGCAGGACATAATGTAATTTATTTATAGAAAAAAAATAAAATAAGAAATGAACTATTAATTATTATTTCTCTCCTAGATCAAAACTTTATTTAGAAAGATTGCACAAGCTTTACCTGGTATTGATGGAAGTAATTTTAATGAACAAAAAGATTCAAGTAAAGAATTCAAACAGCTTATTTATTATATAATAGCATATTAACCACCTTCTTTGTATAAAAATAGTGCAAAAAATTAATTTGAATACGCCAAGCAATGAAGCAAATGGATGTGCATGTTAATTTTTATTATTTTATTACATATACTTTATTACATAATAATAACTTTTTTTTTTGTTGTCGGATGAATTTTTTCATTAATAACAAAAACATGTTTCAGTGTTAAAAAAAAAAAAGTAAAACAAATGTAAGAAAAAAAAAAATTGACAGCCTCTCTTTTTTTTTTTATTTGTAACTGAATTATGAAAGTTTTAATATCAAATGATGATGGTACAATAAAGTTGGTTGTGTTTTGTGTATAACTTTTATGTTAAAAAGGAAAAAACTTTGTTAGGACCACCAAGTCTTAAGGAGTCACCCTTTATTTTACCTTTTATTGAGCATTTAGAAAAGCTTGGTTGGGATGTTAGGTAAATTCTTTTAGTATTTTTTTTTTTTTTTTTGATAGACAGAATGATTCTATGTGTTATTTTATAGGGTTTGCTTACCTGATAGTCAAAAGTCTTGGATTGCTAAATCATTTATGATTACAGAAGAAGTTCAGTTACGTTACTACAATAGAAAGACAAAAGAAATAACGATTGAAAAAGAAAATGATAATGATTTTTATTTGGTATAACCTATTAGTTGATTTAAAGATGTATACTATTTCAAATTAACATGACTAGTGAATAACAGTTAAGTGGCACACCAGCTACATGTGTTAATATTGCATTAAATCATTTATTTAAAGACGAAGAATTTGATCTGGTTATAAGTGGTCCCAATTTTGGTAGAAACTTTTCAAAGTAAATAATGTTTAAAATTATAAAGAAGCTGACTAGCTAAATGATTTATTTTATTTTATCTCATTTTGTAGTATATTTACGCTTGCTTCAGGAACAGTGGGTGCAGCTATGTAAATGACTTGTGTGCATTTAATGAAGAAGAATGAAGTCGTACTTATCATTAATACATATAGGGAAGGTGTTTTAAATAAGCAAAAAGCAGTGTCAGTCTCATTCTGTTTCTGTAATCAAAGACCAGAATGTATAAAGAATTGTTGTGAAACAGCCAGTGATATTATTGAACATTTATACAGCCTCTCTGATAACGATCATATTCCATGGCCCGAAAATGTGATGTATAACGTTAATATTCCTATGGTCGAATATCGTTGTCCTATTCATATTACTGATTTTCACAAGACAAATTACGGTTCCTTATTTAAAAGAGTTGAGGACAAAATAGGAAAAAATCGATTTATATTTTCCCCTGATTTTACAGCAAACCATAATAAACCAGATGGTTTACCAGGCACAGATAAATGGGCTTTAATGAATAAATATGTCTCAGGTAAGGATAATATACATTTATATTTATAGAAATGCCTACAATCTATTTTAATTCTATTTCATTTCCCAGTTACTCCTATGGTTGCAGCTTTCCAAACTGCTATCTTAAATGATATTGATTATGGGTTTGATGCCTTAAATAAAAAGGCGTTTTCTTCTATATCACATTTAGAATAATTATTAGAATAAAAGTTTATATTCGTTTTTAATAATAGCATCTGCTGTTCTTAAAAATATATATACATACCTATACACATACCTATACACATATATACAATCAATTCATTGAAAATGTAGACATTTTCCATTAAGCTTGGCCTCTGAAATAGTAGAATTATTTTATTTTATTTTCTTTGAAGTTACAGCTATAATAAATTACCGTTTTTTTAGGTGCTAGATTTAGATAGTGCATCTCTTTTTAATAAACATGCGGTCATTTAAAATACCATTTACTACAATTATTTGGAGGGGAGGGAAGGGTATCTGTACATTCGCCAATTAAAATAATAATAAAAAATAACAATAAACCCTTTTTTTTTTTAATATAAATATACACTATCATTAGCATACTTCTTCTTTCGCAACTAAAATAAACAAAAGTTGCATATTTTTTATAGTCATCCATACTATATATACATACATATATATATACACACATATACATACATACATACATACATACATAATATATAATGGGAAATCCAGATGAATGGTTAGAAACTGTCCGTAGATGTGAATATTTACCTGAACATGATATTAAGAAATTATGTGAAATGGTAAAAATTATATAAATATACAGAAAAAAAAAAAAGATGTAAGAGAGAGGGTTATATGTAGTATAAAAGATGGCCTTGTAATACACATATTTATAATTCGGCGCGTTAGATCTTTTATATGCATTGCAAGATCTTTAGAATGAAATGCTAAATTATATATATATATTTATACTATTTAAAAGGTAAAAGAGCTATTGATGGAAGAATCCAATATCCAGCCAGTTCAATCACCAGTAACTGTATGTGGTGACATACACGGTAAATTTTGTAAAATAATGTTACTATTTTACTTTTTTATTCATTACATTGTTTTAGGTCAATTCTATGATCTTTTAGAACTATTTAACGTCGGTGGTGATATTAAAGACACTAATTATATTTTTATGGCAAGTATAGTAAATCAATAGAAAGAAAAAAAAATAGACATTAATGGATAAATGATATTTAGGGTGATTACGTAGATCGTGGATATTTCAGTTTGGAGACTTTTACACTCTTGATGGCCTTGAAAGCAAAGTAACGTACACATAAACTGAATAAAATAGTAATGCAACTAACATTTTTGTTTTTAAAAGATATCCAAATAAAATTACATTGTTAAGGGGTAATCATGAAAGTAGACAGATAACTCAAGTATATGGTTTTTATGGTAAATCTCTCTCTCTCTTTTTTTTTTTTCCTTTTTTTTTTACGAAACGTATGCTTACATTATATTTAAAACAAGATGAATGTCAAACAAAATATGGTACAGCGAATGTGTGGAAATATTGTTGTTCAGTATTTGACTATCTAACATTGGCTGCTGTAAATGCTAATTATAAATGATGAAAGTAATAAGTATTAACTGTTCTTATTATTAGATCATCGATGGAACTATTTTATGTGTTCATGGAGGATTATCACCTGACGTGAAAACACTTGATCAAATAAGAACCATACATCGTTTACAAGAAATTCCTCATGAAGGTTCATTTTGTGATTTAATGTGGTCTGATCCTGAAGATATAGATACTTGGGCTGTGAGCCCTAGAGGAGCCGGTTGGTTATTTGGTGGCAAAGTAACAAGTGAGGTAATGTAATATTGTGTATAGTGTTTATCATAATACTTATATGTGTATATATTTTTTAGTTTAATCATATCAATGGATTATCACTTATTGCTAGAGCACATCAATTAGTACAAGAAGGCTATAAATATATGTTTCCTAAAGATCAGTTAGTAACAGTTTGGTCAGCACCTAATTATTGTTACCGATGCGGTAATGTTGCTTCAATAATGGAAGTAAATGAGAATGAAACAAAATTCAAAATATTTGATGCTGTACCAGATCAAGATCGTTTTGCTCCATTCTCCAATATTAGAAATGGTATGAATAACTCAAGGATGGGTGGCAATGGGGGTCAATACTTTGTATGATGTACTCTTATATTGTTTTGGATTATCATTGTAATAATAGAACGAAAAAAAAAAAAGATATAATACAAGCACATACAACACATACATATAGATAATCTATATACTTATATGTATGCGTATTATTATTATTGTTAAAGCATCTTCCGAACATATATGTTTATATATGACTACCATATCCTTATATATATATTATACGCATTATATAATTTTCTTAATTGTATTTCCTCCTTTTACTATTCTTCTCCACTTTTATAAAGTAATATACTATTTTAAATATATGTAAATTGTTTGTTCGAATTTGAATAATTATTATACATACGCTTTAATTAAGAAGAAAAATAATAAATTATTGATTAAACAAATAGCTAGTAGTCATACTATGAACTATTTTCAAACGATTACAAACACTTGTATTTCATTATAGTATTAGTATAAAATATAGTACTACTATTATTATTGAAATAGCAACAGCATTTTCTAATATTCAAATTAACAAAAATAATAATGTAAACTCCTTACGGCATATACGAAAATTTTGAAATGTTGAAAAAAATGTGGAGACACCGGGAGTTGAACCCGGGGCCTTTCGCATGCAAAGCGAATGTGATAGCCACTACACCATATCCCCTTCTTGTGGGATGTCCAGTTCATTAGCAATGAAGTAGATACGCAGCCAATAGAAGTGGAATATAATCTGCCGTTCAGAATAAATAGACTGAATAAGAGAAGATTTAAACCATCAGTAAAGGAGTCCGACGTGAGAAAGAAGAAGTCGAAGTTATGCATGATTTGTGAAGATAGAAAACGTCGGCATAATCAATTGACAACATGAGAAAATCAAGAAGACAATCAATAAATATTATAAAAACTTAATTATATTCTTTGTTATTTTTTGTTTAATACCGTCTAAAGTTTTACTCTTTTGTATCTCAAGAAGTCAAGAAACGACAGGGATTAAATTTTGAAAATATTATACAACTCTATTCGATTTTTTCCGGACACTGCAAATAAAGTCTACTTTTACAATTGTAAAAGTTTGTAAAAGGTGACCCAGTCACAATTGTAAAAGGTGACCTTTTACAATCGAAAATTGAAAATTGGAAGTTTTAAAAAATTTTTATACCAAATGAAAGAGAAAAATTTGCTCATTTCGAATATGTTAAAATTTTTTTATTTGGTTAAGAATTGATAGAGATATTAGCATTTAAAGATTTGTTTAATGGTTAAAAAATATAACAATTTTTTGGGTATAGTCTTTTTTACTAGAAAATAAATTTAGAATCCCGATTTTTTTTTACTTCAAATTTTATTGGACAAAAATTTTATATTCTGAATTCAAAAGAAGTTGAAAAAATAATAATAATAGCAATAATTCATTCAAGATGAATGTTTAAAATGTAAAGTTGTAATAAGTCTTTTTTTAAGAAAAGGTCAAATTATTTAACTTTTTCAAAAAAAATTTATTAAAAAAATAATAAAAATTCAAGTCAACATGTACAGTAATGAGTTATGTATAATGTCAATTGTTAAAATCAAACTTATATTATTACTTTACAATAAGTTATTTTATCTAGTAAGATTAATTTGTCGTACTTAATATTTTTTTTTTTTTTTTTGTTGAACATAATGTCAAAATGTCTAATTGCCATTCCAAAATCAACTTGAATGTAGATGGAAAAATTAAAATATACCCCTGCTAAAGTATTTAAAAATAATAAAACTATTTATTATTTTTCAAATGAAAGATGCATCATCCGATTGTTAGTAATTTATTTATTTATTTTTCGTAAAGATAAGTAAAATGAAAGGGAATTTTTTACTGCATATATAAGTTTTAACTACAGCAATAAATTTAGTTATCTGTAAAAAAAATATTTTCTCCTTTTTTTATTATCTTATACTGATTATTAACATCTCAACTTATAAATTTATAAATTCATTGCAACATGTCTGTTTAATTAAACAAAGATCAATGTGAATGGAAATGATTAACTTGTTCTCAAAGTAGACTTAGATATAAGGTTGTTTACAGACATACTATCTTTATCTATATTCATATATTCATTAAAAATTGATAAGAGTCTTGAAGATGCAATTACCAATGAACATAGTAAACAACAATAATAAGTATTCATTGCAGATGTTACAATTAATAAATGTAATCACGCTAGCTTTTTTTTTTTATTTTGAATTATAAAAATAACCACTGCTGTTCGTTTTTTTTTTTCTTTTTTTTTTGTCATCGCACTAAAGATGTCTATAATGCAAATGAAGAGTCGATTGCTGACAATGGTAATGACATTAATTTTATTGGATTAGAATATTTAGAAGATAAATATATGGTTGAAAGTATGTATTAGTTATTAAAAGAAATAGTATTGTTATAATAACTTCTGTGTAAGCTATTTATGCTAACTTTTTTTTATATAGTATGCTTTGTATATGACTTTGGAAATTGTTATATAATTACTTCGGCGATAGAATACATAAATGAAAGACTTCTTTGTCAGCTTATACAAATGCTTTAATAAGACTTTTTGTTTCTAAAAAATTTTTACTTTATTTCTTTTTACTTGTTTCTTTTTTTTTCCTTCTTGTTTTCCTTTTTTTCTTTTTTCTTTTTTTTGAATTAGTACTTAGGATAAATGACTTGAGATGATATACAATCCAATTGGTAAGTAACTTAGCACGGTTTGATTATCCCCGGCGAACATGTAATGAACATGGTTAGCTCTTTATATTTAAAGAAAAAAAAAAACTATATTCTAATCAATATCTTTTTTTTTTTCAAATAGTTTTACTGTATACTTTGAATCTTTGGCGTTTTGCCTTTTATAATGACTAATAGCGAATTATATAAAATACGTAAATAATAAAGATAAGGTAAACATAACATAAATATATCTTTATATCTTACTAAAGTTGTTTTAATGATAACATCAACTAAACTTTTTTTTTGTTTAGGCGTTAAAGGTTTATCTTTATAGCCTTTTCTCTTGTGGTGACCGATTACAAATAAAAGGTAAATAATATAATAAGCATACTAATTATTATTTTAAACGCGTAAAATATTTATTAATCTTTCTTATCTTTTATTTAGGTAAGTGAAAAAAAAACTATTCTGCTTTGGTGGCCGTTAACGTGTAAAGAAATGATAACTTCTTTTCTAATGGTAAGAAACTAAAATATAATTTATTTGTTTTTTCATTGACTAAATCGTATTTTATTTTATTATAGGAAGAATTCTATTATGAAAGAAGCTATCTATGGTCCTCTTAATGACTCTATTACGCGTTATCTCGGTCCTTTCCATGGCGTATTTATTCTATTTTTTTGGATACATTTTTATATACATTTTTTTAAATATTTTTTATATATTTTTTATCTATTTTTTATGTATTTTTTTATGTATTTTTTTATATATTTTTTTACGCGTTTTATAGTATATAATAATATAATATTTTATATATCGTAAAAGGAAATAATAAACGAAAATAAATAAAATCGTATTTTGAAAAAGAATATAAGCTCCATTATCTACTGTATTTTAAAGAAGTCTAAAATGTATCATAATATAACGAATAAGCAAACGTTTAATTTGAATGTAAAGGCCAATAAGAGTAAAAAAACGTAAAGGAATGACGAAGATTAAAGAAGCGTAATCCAATAGAAGCTTTGAGCTATGAAGCAAAATTTTGTAAAAGGTGAACTTTCATGATTGTAAAAGGTCTACTTTCAGTATAGTTTCACAATTGTAAAAGGTCTACTTTCAGTCTACTTTCACAATTGTAAAATGTCTACTTTTACAATTGTAAAAGTAGACTGACTTGGTCTAATGGCATCATTGTGAAAGGTCACCTTTTACAATTGTGAAAGTATACTGAAACTTTAATGAAAGGTCACCTTTCAGTCTACTTTCACAATTGTAAAAGTAGACTTTTATCTCCAGTGGATTTTAAGTCCGCACCAATCAAAATCCAAAATACTTCTGACGTTTTATTTTGTTTCATCACTGTTTTTGGAATTATATTGTTTAAATCAAGTAGAAATTTTTGTCTATGTTCTTGATTGAATGTATATCTCATTTTATTTATATATAAATTTAACGTAATCTTTATTTAGTGCACTATAGTTTAAAAAAAATAAATAAATGTGATTGCTATAGAGATATAATTTACTACATTTTATTCAATATTTCCTAAAGCTAGTTTATGATATATCATACAGGAAAAAAAAAACAAAAACAAAAGTATTATGAAGGTTATTCAATATAGATATATCTTTTGTGTTAGTGATATCATTTATTAGTATCTAATGCAAGACATATTTTATTTATCATTTTATATTATAATTAATAAGTTTCAAGAATATAATATTTGTTATGATTGTAGTCGTCTTTATAACTAAATTAACAGAAATAAACCATCATTTATTACATAATAAAGAGGTTATTCACATAAAACTAGTATATTGTACTTCACAGCATAATGTTCATTCTACACTCAGTTTTTAATAATAGTCATTGTTAGTATGTTTGAGCAATAATAATAATTATATACATAATTCAAATAGGATTATGACTGGTATATGTTGTGGTTTAGGTAGGTTTAATTAATTAAATAAAAGAAATAAAATAAAAGAAGATAAGACAAAAGAAGTACGTTGAGACTTGTCAATAAGTTTATTAAAAGTTAATTCAATACAAGTATTGTTATTAGTTATAAGTTATACAAAATAAGGGTGAATAATGTAAGAGTATTTATATATTTTGTGAATAAGGATGATGAGTAATAAGAAGACAAAAAATATAACAAATTGTATTTGATAATATAATTATAGAAGGATTACTAAGAGTTATAATTATAGATTCATGTCTTTAGTATATATTTATTTTTATAACTAATACGTGTATTCTGAGTAGAATCAATTATTACGCGTATTTGTATTATTCTTAGTTTACCCCAGTTTAACTTGTATAAAGTTATTTTTATAAATTTATATTCAGCAGAACAATAATAGAAGAAAGTGTATTTTTAGATATAGGACTTTTTATTAATTAGTTATTTTTCTATACAAGGGTAAATATACTAAATATGTTTATAGAGAGAATTATTATACAAATGCACTATGTATTCTATTATGACTATTTATCTTATTGAATTAAGTTATAAATCTTACAACCATGACAGTATATTCAATTACATAATTGTTCTTGAGTGATACATATCATATATACATTGATAATATTGAATATTGTTAAGTAATGAAATCTTATACAATGATTATGATAGTAACTCATAAATAACTGGTATTGTTGCAGCTAGACATATTTGTTATAGAACAAGCTCTGGATATAATCATAAGTAATATTATAATAGATGAATTACATAATAGAGGATAAAATATAAGCCTGAATATGAAATAAAACTCTGTATATAACATCTTGTAAATAATATAAAACTTATTGACATCCAATTGTCTAGATGTATCAATTATAAGACATCGTATCATTTCTAAATATTTATTTTTATAACCTTGTTAAAGGATTCAGGTCGTCTTTGATCCAATAAAATAAAACATAAAAGATATCAGGAACATATACTCAGATTAAACAATAAATTTTTTATTTAAAACTTGATCAGATCATTATAACACCCAATAGATAATCCATAGATCAGTCTCTTGAATCAACACAATGTATATCTGAATACTAACACTATTTCATGACTCATGTTCTTTGACAGCTATTTTTAATTTCTTTGATTCAGGATTCACTAGTATAAATACAAGCAGTTGTGTAGACACAAAATAATCTTGAACTTCTTTCTTTAACTTTCTTTTAACCTTCTTTATTTTTTATTGAATAAAAACAGTCTCAAACTATACTTCCTTTTGTTCTCTTTCTCTTTCTCTTTTATTTTTCTTCTATCTTTATTTTCTCTTTACGTTCCATCACATCCCATTCTCAAGACAAGAAGCTGTTTTAAATGATTTTACCCCAGTTATATTTATGAGATAATCTTAATATGCTTAACTATTTTATTAGAAAACCATTAGTTATGTTGTTTGAATAGTAAATAGATCTGTGCCATTGTACAATATCATCAAAAATTTCTTTCTAGACGACAAGATAAAGTGAATTTTAGAGGAAATCATAAATATAAAGACTGTTGACTTTTTAAATCCCCGCATATGTGGATAATTATCCTTCAGCATTATTTGATTTTCAGGAGACAAGAGAAGAACACAAAAAAGTGAAAAAGTTCTTGTTTGTTATTTTTTTTTATCTTAACATTTAATAAAACCAGTTCATTTTCCACATAATGAATGATTACCAACTAATGACTGTATGTAAGAAAGAGAGAAAAAAAAAATTGTAAGCTTAACATTTATAATAAGCTCATCTAACATTCGACATTCATTTTATTTTATACTTCAAACAATAGTCTGAATTAAGAGATGAATTGACTTGCGGTAACATTATATATTATTAATTTGTTTATACTACTTCATAAATGAATAATTATGTTGGATAATAGTTTTATGTCAGGATATGTATGATAAACCACAGGCATTAATACCTTGCCTGCACACTCTTTGTTTAGATTGTATATCATGCCTTCCAAAAACCAATGAAGAAAATGACGCATTTAATTGTCCTATTTGTCGTGGTACTGTTAATAAATTTACAAATAACTTTTCTATCCAAAATGTGATTGATATTCTTCAGAAGGCAATAAAATCCCAGTCGTCAGCAAATAAAAATCAAGAGGAGTTAATGACCAAAAATATAGGACAACAACAACAAAACCATACAGCAGCAACAGCTAAAGATTTAAATGACATAAATATACAAAACTCTAACCTTATTGAGGAGCCATCGTCCTCTTCTTCAGTATCTGTTCGAGAGTAAAAAAAAAAAAAAAAAAAAAAAAAAAATCCATTTGTTTAAATTAATTTTCTCTTTTTATTCAGTTACACTCATGCTTTTAATAATCACACAAAAAAGACATGTCGCTCATGTATACAAGGGAATGAGAATGGATTTACCTGTCCAATACCTATTACAGATGACGAACAGGATGGATTTGGACATATTTTATGTGGTTATTGTGGAGAATATATGCCAGCAAGGGGATTGAATGAAAATGAACCTGCTTTAAACCAATGTTGTAATTTTTGTGGTGTTGTTGCATGTGATGAATATTGGAAGTGTAAAAACAGATCTATTGCAGCAAAGCTTTATATTCTAAATGGTAACTTATCAATAATATCGTTACCATTCGCTTATATATTACATCTGTAGATATAACTGATATAGAAAGCTGGCTAGAGAATTTAGATTCAATTGAAATGAAAGAAGAAGGACATTTAAATAAAGCTGAAATACAGTTATTGAAACAATATTTAAACGAAAATAATATTTCTTGGACAGAAGCGTGGAATACATGTCTTTATTATTTAGATGAAAGCATTTATACTTCTTGTAATATATATACATATATATTACCTGGTGGCAAATAAGCTTATTTTTCTCTCTTTGTGTCTAGCTATAGTTAGGAGAATGACACAATTAGGTTTACAAGTCTACAATACTCGTTTATTACCAGGCTCAGAAGTTTTAGATGAATGTGAAGATGATAGTGAAGAGGAGGACTACTATGATCGAATTGAGCAAGAAGGAATTAAACCTTCACAACATTTACGAGCATGCTACACATGCTTGGCTACTATCGTTAACGGACAATTTTATGGTTACTGGAAGCATATTATTAGGGACGGTTCAATTGAAAGTAATAATAATAAAATGCCTTTTTTTTTTATATACATATACACAATATTAAAACTAATTTTAATTATATAATAGATATAAGAGAAATGTGTCCACATGGTATACAGTGTGAAGCTCAATGGCGAAGAGATAGTAAGTATAATAACTTGAAAGAACTCCTCTCTAATTTAATCTATCTGTATAGCTCATGCACAAAGATTAAGCCATATCGAAATATAGTATTAGTTTTTGAAAAAAAAAAAAAAGGAAATAAAAATAAACATGCCAGATTTTAATGATATGTATTTATTTATATATAAATATATTAAAGCTCATCTCTTGCAACTTTTTTATCTTTAGTTGTAAAGACAGAAGGAGCTAGCAACTCATAATTGCCATTCCATTTAGCATAATTAACATCCATCATACGTCTTTCAAGCTCTTGTAAATAAGGCAAATGCTTATCATAATGATCAATTGAAATGAACGTAAAGAAAGTATTTAAAGGAGAGTCATTCAGATTGCAACCTGAACGACTTAATAGTAAATCTTCTAACATGTCAGGTGTAATATCATCCTGAACACATGTGGATGAGGTGCTATGAAGCTCTAAACCAATACCACCAGCAGGAATTCTACATACCTTTTGAAGTTCCTTTTTCAAATTTTCCTTTTCCTTTGGTAAAGATCTCCAAAAGCTGGATGTAATATAAGCAGATTTATAACCAGGTGTTGAAATAACATCGCTTGAAGCAGTTATCATAAATTTTGTACGAACACCTACAAGCTCACCATCACCTTCCCATTGAGCCATATCAGGGTCAAAATTAACAAGTTCACCCATACTTGGCCAATGGCCCTTTCCAGGAGTATGCGTATAAATAAAAGGGCACTAAATAGAATCATATATATAATAATAATATGAGATATATGCAGCAAAAAAAATGATGTGTTTGTCTTACCTCTTTTTCAACAAATTCATCTGTACCAACAGTGTGTTCAGTATGAAATTTACAAATTTTATCAATCGTCGTCTCAAGTTCTTTTATATTGATAGGTTCGGCAACATTCTCTGATCTGATATTAAGAATAAAAAACTGTTCAACGTTTTCTCTTGCAAATAAAAAGATCTTTTCTAAAATATCTTTAAAAGTGGTCGTTGAAGGTGTACCATCAAAACTAGAACAAACAGTCATATCATCTTGACTAAAAGAAAAAAAAAAAGTATGTCATCTATCAATGAATAGTATACTACAAGTACTTTTCTTATTTTACTTTTTACATAAATTAAAATCCAAGTATCGAATACCTATATACAATAGTGTAAATATTTGTAAAGTAATGTAGAGTTTTATATTTACCATCTTGAAGCATCTGAGAAACGTCATTGGATTGAGTAGAGTGACAGGATGTAGCAGTACTAAATGCATCTGAACCAGCATCATGCGCACCCAGATAAAATGCTTGATTAATAGGTATCTTTCTATATTCTGGAAAACCATTACAAGGAGGGAACCCATTCCTTGCCTCAGTAAAACCAATGTCTTCCGACCTATTATATAACGTGTGTTAAAAATAAATAAATAAATAAAATAAAATAATTGTACATATGATAATAAATATTATTTACTCTTCGATATCAACATCAAAAAAGTCAAGAGACACTTCATTATCAAATTGTGCAGATACTGTGCATATTAAAAATAATGAAGCAGTGGCTGCAGCTAATACAGAAGACGAAAAAGCTTTCATTTTATATAATTAATAATAATAAACATAAAAAAAGGAATAGGTTAGGTCCTTCTTTTAATTTTACTAATAATAATAAACTCCGGTTATAATAAATTTGACTTTTATAGCAGTTCAATACATTATTAATAAAATAAAACAACCTCAAATGAGCAGCATATAGTAGTAATAAAATTTTTATTCTGTTGTCCGAGCCAGTTCAAAAAGGAAAAAGGATCTAAAAAACCCCCCCCCATTTTAAGAGACAAGAGGTTAAAGAAAGCAAAAGGAGGAAGAAAGAGTAATCTCAAATGTGAGCAGAAACTATTCTGACTGCATAGGTAGAAATGAAGAGAGGGAGGAGGAAGTAGAAGTACCTTTATTAAAGGCGTAGATTTTATGAAAAATCTTTCCCAAGGTTGAGACGATATATCTCCATTCTTAAGGATTGCGTTTTGGATGATGGGAGTGAGGTGAAGTGGGCCTAAAGTTTGGAAAGAACTCTCTCATCGAGCGACTATGTTAAATTCTGATGGCTTCATTATCTTTATCTGTTTTGGATAAATTAGCAAATTTGAAGTCTTTTGAAGATAAGATAGCCACTGTTATAGGGGTTGAAGCCTAGTAACTTGGGATCCCATTTATCCGCCTGGTCGTCCAGTTCCTACCCTTAATCCTATTCTTTAGTTGCTTATGAGTCAAGCTGAACGTAGCCGTGCTCTATGCTAGTGTCTCGGTTGATTGCCTGGTAATATTTCAAAACTATGCCTCTTCTATCCAAATGATAATCTCACTCAGTTTGATGCTACCGTCTATTTAAATATGCACCGTTGACTACAAATGCCTATTGCTGAGACTGATCCTTTATCTTTTCTGCCCAATCACTTTCCCAACAAAGATAAAAAACCATTTATTGCACAAAACAGCTTCTCTACTTTTATACGGATTATTCGTTGATCTATACTCTTTGAACTTGATTACCTGCACCATGATAAGGCTTCTCCTAACTTGATTAAATAGTTATACAGTATTTACTGAAGATACAGTTCTCTGTTCCTTTTTTCCTTTTTTTGATCTGACCTGGACACTGGGCAATATAATGTTATTTTACTGCGTGCTCAAATGAGCTTTAAAAATTTTATTTAATAAAAAAAAATATTCAATCATAATAATATGATGGCATGAATTAATAAATCTTTTATTTAAAAATATGAGATATTTACTATATTACAAGCAAGAAAAATAAGGGGAACATAGCTTGCATATTTTTATAGTCAAAAATAGTATGCACAGTCACTTTTTATATTTTTATTTTTTTTCCTCCTCTTCTTTCTCTCTGTTACATTTTATTTTAAATTATCTACTACTGTGTTTTTTTTTATTTGCAAGTAAATGAACCAAGGACAGCAACAACAACCACAGACACAGCCACAAAATTATGGAATTACACCTCCTATTTCCACAGATCCTCCTACTGAACAGCAACTTAAATTGACTGATGAGTTAATACAAACACTTCGTGATTATGGTTTATTTGAAAGTGAACAAGAAGCACAAAAAAGGTTTTTTTATTTATTTAAAGAATAATGACAGTTTCAACAGAACTTGCTAACTTTTTTTTTATATTTTTTTTAGAGTAGTAGTATTAGGGAAATTAGATAAAATAGTTAAAGAATTTGTTTATAAAGTTAGTAAATTAAAAGGTTTCCCAGATTCACTTGCAAGAGAAGCAGGTGGAAAGATTTTTACTTATGGTAGTTATAGACTTGGTGTCCATGGTGCAGGTATTATTTAAATTAGTATATTTATATTATAATTTATAAACTATGAATCTATATTAGGCGCTGATATCGATACATTATGTGTATTCCCAAAACATGTGGAAAGAGAACATTTTTTTACAATTATGTATGATATGCTAAAAGCAAGATCAGAAGTGACTGAAATCGCAGCTGTTCCAGATGCTTACGTTCCAGTTATTAAAATGCACTTCTCTGGCATTCCTGTAACTATCATTTATTTCTTCAGAAAAAAAAAAAACAGAGTAACATTTTGATTAACATTATAGAATTAGATTGATTTCATCTGTGCCCGATTAGCCATTGCACGAGTTCCTGATGACTTAGAATTAGCAGACAATAATATTCTCAAAAGTTTAGATGAACGTTGCGTACGTAGTTTGAACGGTTCTCGAGTAACAGATGATATTTTGCGTCTTGTTCCCAATGTTAATACATTCAGAATTGCACTTCGAACAATTAAATTATGGGCTAAAAGTCGCTGCATCTATAGTAATGTGATGGGTTTTTTAGGTGGTGTTGCTTGGGCCATGTTAATTGCACGTATTTGTCAACTTTATCCTAATGCTTGTGCTGCATACATTGTGAATAGATTTTTTTTCATCATGTCAAGATGGAGATGGCCTCAGCCCGTCTTACTTCGTCACTTAGAAGATGGTCCACTTCAAGTTCGTGTATGGAATCCAAAGGTAGACATACATTTATATTAAAAAATATATGCATATCAAAGATATTTATTATTTTAATTATTTTAGCTTTATCCAGCAGATAGGAGCCATCGTATGCCAATCATTACACCTGCTTATCCATCAATGTGTGCTACACATAATGTAACAGATTCAACTAGACACATCATGATGAACGAATTTAAATTGGGTGTTGAAATAACAAATAAAATATTCGAAGGACAAGCAAAATGGAAAGATTTATTTACAAAAAGTAACTTCTTTAATGCGTACAAACACTATTTACAAATTACATCCTCATCAGAGTCAGCAGAATCACAATTAACTTGGTCTGGTTTAGTAGAGGCTAAATTACGTCAATTAGTATTAAAGATGGAATTAGTTGACATGATTACTTTGGCACATCCTTATGTTAAAGGCGTTGATAAGATTCATTATTGCTTGACAGCTGATGAAATAGCTGATGTAATTAAGGGAGGTACAATTCAAAGTCGTTCTTTTACTGTAGAAGAAGGCAGTTTAGAAACAGATCATACAAATCTCTTGAAGGAGCAAGGAATAATAACTAATGAAAATGAAAATGATGTGAAGAGACTATTTACAACTACTTTTTATATTGGTTTTGAAACTGCCCCTAAAATTGGTGAGTAGATAGACAGACATATATATATAGTGTACACTTATAAAGAATAGAGGTACTTAAGTTTCAGTTATTTAGCTGGTGAGAGCAGAAAATTAAATCTTGTATGGCCAGTTCAAGAATTTACAAAGCTTGTTAAATCTTGGGATAAATATGACGAAAACCAAATGAAGATTACTATTCAGAGTATTAAAGGGTGCTGCAACAATGCATATATAGCATACAAAAAAAAAAGACAAACATATACATTTGTTTATGCATTTATATATATATACAATTGCAATATGAAAACTAATATCTTCTTTTTCTTTTGTTTTAAATAGATCCAAGCTACCAGTTGAACTAACAGGTGAAAAGAAATCAAAGAGATCTTTAGATGAGGTAATTTAATTTTACTTTTATGTAAAATATAAAGGTTAATCATTTACATCTTGCAGACTGAAACATCTGTAAAAAAACCTCGTATCGAAAGTAATGGTATTAATTCAAAAAAAGAACTTTTAACTCCATCAGCTGCTGCTACTCTTATACAACAGCAAGATGTTTTAGCTCCTCCTTCTTCCAAGTCTTCTACTGCTACTGAAATATCGATTACTAATCCCACACCTAATATTCCTACTATGACAGATGCAAGTAATGTAGCAGATAAAACTGCTACAACAGACGAAACAAATACAAATAATGATACTAATGCTACGAATACTATTGCTGTCGAATAGATAGAATATATGTGTGTATATGCCATATATTAACAATATTACTAACTCTTTTCTCTTATTAATATGTAATGACAAAATATTTAAATATAATATAGGGAAAAAATATGTTTTAGTATTATATAATAATTTTGTGTTAATAAATAAAATCAAAAAAGGTTTGTCTGTTTAGACATCCTTTTTTACTAAATAAAGCCCTCCTTTTTTTTTTTTTTTTTTTTTTTTTTTTTTTTTTTTGAGATCTGTATATAACTATGAACATGAAGGATTTTTATAATCATTGGATTTAGAAGAAAGTGTTTCGAGTTCTTCTGGATCTGCTAAAAATGGATGCTTTAATAGTTCATCTGCGGACGGTCTATCTTCGAAATTCCTATTTTTTTTTTTTTTTTTTTTTTTTTTTTTAAAGAAAAAGAAACAATGTTAATAACTATATAGGTTATAGCATCTATTTATCAATCTACTTTACAATTCAAATGTACTCATTAAAAAGTCTTTGGCATCTTCACTTATATGTGGGGGGATATTAGGGATAGTATTACATCCAATTTGAAATATAGCTTGCATTTGTGAATATTCAGGGAAAGGATGATCACCTGTAAACATTTCAACTACCATGCAGCCCAAGGACCAAATGTCTGCCTTACGTGTATAATGTGTCTGTTTTACTACTTCAGGTGCCATCCAATAAATCGACCCTTGAAGACTCGGTCGATGATTCGTGCTAGTAGATGACACTGCTGCATTGTTGGTTGGTGGTTCTTGCATTATAATATCTTCTTCTAACTTTTTTGAAATCCCAAAATCAGTAATCTTTACACCTCCCTTATTATCCACAAGGACGTTAGCCCCCTTTATATCTCGATGAACAATATCCTTATGATGCAAATAATAAAGTCCCTTTAGAATCTGTCTCACAAAGCTTTTTACAAGAGGCTCCTGAAAGGCGCCATAGCTGGAAAGAAGACCTGCAACAGATCCACCAGGCACATATTCAAGAAAGATACTAAAGTAAGAATCATCAATTTTAGATCCCAAATACTGTACAATATTTTCGTGCTCAAGTTCTTTTAGAAGCTCTATCTCTCTTTGAAGAGCTTCTACCATAGATTTCTTCTGTTGTGCTGAAGCTGAGTTTTCAACGGGTAACTCCACTTGTTTTACTGCCATAAGCTCACCACTAATAGGATTTAACCCAAGATAGACATCACCAAATGAACCACGACCAATTAATGAACCTTTCATCCAGGTATCTGGTAATGATTGAGTTTTAGTAGTAGGTGTAGATATAAACGTAGACGTAGACGTAGGTGTCTTTAATGTCATTGATGCTGTATCCTTTTGATGTTGCCTCTCCTTTAATCTAAGAGATTTATGATTTAAGCTTGATTTTCGTTCTAACTTATTTATTTGTCTTTGCGAATTCTCCTCCTTTTGGGTATCATTCATCGTTTTTTTATCATCAGATTTATTATCATTATTATTAGTAGAAGAGAAATCATTCGCTTTGATATCATGTTCTTCTTTTGTATCTTCTGTAGTAATAGCAGCAATCATATTCATCGAAGCTTCTTCTTCTTCTTCTTCTAAAAATCGATCCAAGTCAACTCCTAAAACTGACACTAATTCAGGTAACACACTATTTCGATAATTTCGAGGCTGCAAACGACTTAAAGCAGAGTTACGTCTTGTCATAGATAATCGTTGTGCTTTAATACCTGCCGTTTCTAATACTTCTCGATTATGGTTAGGGAAAAAGGAAGGTAGATTAGATGAAATGATTTCTGATGGTGGTCGTTCACCAAAGAAGCGACGACGTCCTCCATTATTGTTCATAATAGCTGAATTTCGTATATGATTAGTTGATGTAACTGATCTTATTGAACCATGTTGACGAGAAAGATTATAATAATTAGTAGGTTGAATATCGTTATCATTCACATTATTACGTTGTTGTCGCTGTTTATTACATTCTTCCTCTTTATTATTATGTTTACTATGATAATGACGCTGTTGACTGTTAATCGTTCCCTTTCTTTTAAATTCTTCATAAGTAAGGTACATATGTCGTTTACGCAATATAAGTCGCTCCTTTTCGGGTCTATCTATCGATTTACAAATTTCAACTAACTCAGTATCTGACAAGGCACGCGCTTCACCATTTGTACTTGATCCCACAAAGATGCAATAACTATCTGCACTATTTTCATCTATGCCAAATTTATGTAGTACTTTTGCCATAATCTGCTTGGGATCATTTGCTGTATTATGAACATTCACAATTCGTGTTTGACCGTCCTCACCAAATACTTTTACACATGTCTGCTTTACTTTTTCCATTGACATGATCCCTCCTTCAAAAGAATTTCTCTACAGTAAATAAATTAAGGATATCTATATAGCTATTTATAAAAAAAAATCTAGGAACAGTATTCTTACTTTTTGTGTTGTTCTTGGACTTGTTGGCATCTGTGAATAAATGTCTGAATTTTGTTGTTGTTGTTGTTGTTGTTGTTGTTGTTGTTGTTGTTGTTGTTGCTGCTGCTGCTGCATGGAAAGATTACCTTGTTGAGCTTTTTGTGATCGTTTTGATTCTGATCTTCCCAAAAATCGAGAAAATGAATTAGATCGAATTAACAAATTTTTTGCACTACTTGAATCAGATGACTTTGATGTTTTAAAGTTGGCTGTATTTGGCGTTGTTTCTATCGTATTAAACCCTTCATTATTTCCAGGTGGTGTTAATAACAAGCCTTGTCTCATGTTTTCTAAATTATTATATGACTATAACAAACTAATTAGCAAAACAATCCACTATCTTTTTTATTTCTTTTTCTTTTCTTTTATTACTCTTGGAGTTGTTACTTTCGTTGTCCTCGCAGCTAAAGAAGCGGCTAAATAACATTCTTGTCGAAGCGCTTTAATTGCAGCAACCAAACGAACTCTTTCGCCAACTGTTTTAATATCCATTGCTTTAATGGCTTCATAATCTAAATCAAGTAACACTGAACCAGAAATATTATGTTCTACAATAACAAAGTGAGAATGAATCCTGCATGTATACTAATTAGAAGTAGATTGTCAAGTTTTTTGTTTCCCCTTCTTTTTTACCTATAAATTTCTGACTAAAACGACCAAGTGCTTGATTAGATAGCCATTCTGCTATTTCTGTTTCGGACCAAGTCTTTACATCGTCAAGTAAAGTCTTTTTAAATGCATATTCAGTATGTGAGGGTGAATTTGACTGTGAATGTATTGACATGATTATTGTTAAAGGGCAATTTAACCACTAATATACATATAAATGTATTCCAGTTCAAAATACACTTTATCTTAAAAAAAAAAAAAAATATTGGAACACTTTTTAAAATAAATTTGGTGCAAAATTAAAATAAAATTGGTTCAAAAAAAAAAAAAAAATTACTACTTGTTAAAGAAAATGAAACTAGCAAAACAGCTACTTATTTAGAATATTAAAAGGGATCAAAAGGATAAAATAAATAAATAAATAAAGCAACTCATTAGTATTCTACCTTGTATTCAAGTCCCTTGATGAACAATGTTAATTATTTGTACAATAATTGAATTATAAATATCTTGAAAAAAAAAAAAATAGAAATGTCAAAGAACAGCTTAGTAAGTTAAAATAGAAAATGGTAGATCTTTTATTTATTTTTATTGTATCAAGTTATTTTAAACTAGAAATTACATATGTAATGTATATAATGTATCTACTAACTACTAAGAATACATGCATTTGTTGTTCTTATAAGCTTTCTAAATATATTACTTTACTAATATACTGTTAATGTGTTTATTATATGAAAAGAAACTAGTTTGATAGCAAAACGGAAATAATAAGCTATTAATATAAATGAGTATGTGTTTTGTAAGAAGAATCAATTAGACTAGATGGGTGTGCGTATGCAAAAGATAAGTGTTAATAAATCATAAAAAAATATTAAGTATCAAAATAATATAATGCATTAGAATAATAGTATGTATATGTAATATGCAATAGAAGCGAATAGCAGGGAAAGCAGTTAAAAAAAATTATTCATTTAAACAAAGTATTTTGTTACTACTTCTACGTCCCATGATACGACTTTGAGAAGTACGAGATGCTGTTCGCTTAATTATTCTCTTGACAATATCTTTGACATTGTTTTTATTAATGAGTTTGTTTTGCTTCTGATTTTCAGTATTCAGGCTCTTATTATCCGGAAATGAATGTTTATATATTTTTTTGTTATTACGAATGGTATCCAAAATATTGTTCTTATCAACCAATACTGATTCTATATTTTCACAACGCTTCGTATCATTCACTAACGGCAGAGTATCCAAATTAACTTTCTTGATTGTTTTTATTAATTCTGGTTCTGGTGATTCTATATTCATATCGAATTTTTCATTTTTTATATCACTTGCAGTATCAGTTGGCATTGTTTTATCATCTTTAGGGGTAGTATTACTATCAGTACTTGTAATCATTTCAGCGTCTTGTTCCCAATTGTTTTTTGAAAAATATCCTTTCAAGTTTGACCTAATATTCAAAATCGAATCGCTCAGCTTAGAACTTGAGAGTGAATGTCTCAATTGTAATTGAGATATTGACTGTGTAAGTCGAAGTTGTGAAATAGATTGCTTAAGTTTATTTTGTGAAAAGGGGTGATTTAACTTATGTGGATTATTATCAAGAGCAGGTAAGGATGTCCATTTATTTTGTTGTTTAGTAATACAGAAATCATTAAATGAGTTTTCAAGTTGTTGCTCAGTGAAAAAGGTACCGGGTTTGCTAAAGAAAGAAGAGGAAGCAAAAGGATCTGTAGATGTTGTTGACATACTATTATGGTTAGAGGACTCTACAGCTTCCTTTAATATATGATAGAGTAAAGGAGATGAGCTATGATAGGGTTGTGAGCTAGTGGAAGGAGTGTTTAAAAGGGAGTCAGCAGATGAAAAGATCGATACCCAAGGACTTTCGGGTGGTTCAGGAAAACTAAGAAACTCGTCATAATCATCTTTGTCAAAGAGATTAGTGTCTTCCATATTCTCAAGCCAGTCAATTTTGACATTCTGTACCCTTGCTACAGATCGATTGTATGACTTGGCTCTAGCTTGTGCTGCTTCCATTTTGGAAAGTGCTTTATGTTGCTTATAAGAGGCTTGATTCATTTTATTCCAACCGATACGATAATGATGACATTGTGCTAACTTTATTTTTGAATATTCAATAATTAGACAGGCTAAAAAATGGCTTGCCTTCCCAGCTGTAATAGGATTACATCTATAAGAACCTAATACTGCATTACCAAGGGCATCTCCCAGTTTAAAAGGGTTCATAGCATTTTTTTCTTTATGGTTTAACAAGTCCAAAAGAAATTCCAATATATCAATTAATAGTATCTGGCTTTCAGGTGTTATAATGGCAGATAGTTTAGAGATAGTGCAGGCTAATTAAAGAAATATATATGTATAAGTACACACTCTTTGTTGGCTTATTTTAGAATAGATATTGTAATTATATAGGATGATTACCATCATAATTCATTGTATTCAATACTTTCTTTGGTAAAATTCTTTCATCACAAGTATATAATACTCGCTGCATTAAAGTGGCCACTGTATGAATATGCATGTAAGTAAGATCATCACTCAGATACTTTCTATTAGTAAACACCTTGACGAATAAATCATTATGTACCACTAAATATTTATTGAATGTTAATTCACATGAATACTAAATAAATATTTATGAATACTTGCTTGATTTGAAAAATATTTTTCGTTCATCAAGACCTAATAAATTATTATACATATTGAATGTTAGTGTGTGCCTATATCGACTATATATATATATATATATATATACCGATTACTAACCTCTTTTTCTAATTTCATCCATACAAAGATGAATAATATAAGACGCATATGTTAATGAGAATTCCATAATATTGGTGATTCAATGAAAAGTAGACAAAAAAAAAAAAAAGAGCGTATGTAATAAATAAAAGATATATGTATAATTATATAAAGGAAAGAAAGCAAGATTTAAATGAAATATTAATTCTCTTATCAACAGAGTAATATTTATTCTATTAATAAAATTGACAAGTAGATGATATCTACTTGGTTAATTATTTAACATATACTAGAATTCTATATATATTGTCTAATTCTCTCCCTATTCAATGTGATTCACTAAATTGATTCTATAAAGATGTATTCTAAGTTAATGATGAAGTATATAATAATATCATGTCACACTATGTACATATATACCTATACCACAGAAAAAAGCTAAAGTATTGATAAGTATTATCCATTGTCCTTTAAACATTATTTCAGTATTACATATTCATAAATAGGATTCACTGTATTATATATAGATAGATATATATCGTTTACATTGTATTGCATTACATTACAGTTATAGTCATCATTCACGTATATATAAAGGAGAATATACACAATAAAAGTTATTTCATATGGTGTATTATTTTATTCTTGCATCATGTATACAACTCTTTATGGCAATATACATAAGCTATAAATAAACTCATACTTGTAACTCTATATAATAAAAAGAGGAGAAGACTTTGTCGAAATTGAAATTTTTATGAATCCTTTTTTTTTTTTATATAGAAATTATCGATTTTTATTTGGATAAAGCAGATACACTCCCAAATTATTTATTATACGTTGGGCGAATAAAGTCCAGTTTGGGGAAAGTTATTATATAATATGCATCTACAATAGACATTAGACATGATCTGCAACTAAAAATCAACCATTTATCAGACAAACTAGACATTTTTAATTGTCTAAATTTCACTTGCATAAACTTGATCATACTGAAGATTTTAGCAATAATTGTTATTTAGCCAGGAGAAACAAAAGAGCTATAATACATAAAAGCATTCTTTTCATTCGTCTTTCAGAAGTCTCTTCAAAATTATGTGGCTACCATCCTCAAATTTTCCCTCTAAACAAACGCTAATTTTTTTTGTGAGTAAGCTTTCCTACTGATACTAATAAATAGATTCTATCTTACATGAATGTAATTAATCATCAACTTAAAATATGCTTTATACATTTTTTATAAAATTAATATTTCAGTATTGAATTATACCACTAGGAAAAAAAAAGGGCAACACTAAAGGATAATGCACAGATTAAAATAAAAAAAAAGCGGAAGGAAATGAAGATATTTAGCAGATGAGCAAAAAATAGAGAGAATTGACCTTAGGTACCTCTATAGCTACAGTAGAACGCTCTTGAAGCAGTGAGACAGGCCATGCCAATGCCTGTTCTAAACAGGGTAAAAACTGTAATATCAATTAAGATAAGACGCTTAAAAAATTACTTAGTATCCAAGAAGACATTATATTTTTATTGCCGCAATTAAACACTCTGAAGAAGAGAGAGGAAATAAGAAGATGTTGCTCAAAAGAGCGAATTATCTATACTGGTAGCCATAAGAGTGCTTAGTGTACAAATAAAATCTAGTCAAGAAAAGGAATTAAAAGCCTTAAAGCTCAAATTCCTTACATCATGAACCGTTGTAAAAAAAAAGAAAAAAACAATTTTATTACTCATATCAACTACATCTTGAGCAGCTTAGAGGATTTATTCACAATTTGTAATGTCATATCAGCAACTGTTAACTTCTATTCATATCAGGGAAGATAAAGGAGTAATATTGAAATGATGGATATTTTTTTGAATGGTGAAAAAAAAAAAGATATAATCCTGCTAAGTGCAAGCACACAAGTCAAAAGAGAAGAAAGCAGACAGGAAATAGAAAAGAGAATATAATAGCTCAAAAAAGCTATAAGCATAAGAAGAAATAACGATGGTCAAAGATATCTTCTAAAAATTAGAGTTAATGCCCTTGATTATATTTGATGATAATATGAAAAAAAAAGAATACAATACCAATAAGAGGTATATTATGTAATAAATTCAAACAAAGAACAAAGTTGTTCAGATCTTTAGTAAATAATATTAATGGATCAAGAACAACTAATGTATTGTATGATGCTTAAGTATTCGTGTTAACTTTAAAGTGCAATAACTGTAAGAAAAAATAAGTGGAAACCATCAAAGCTTCCTAATAGTAAAGTACTCTTACAGTATACTCAAATACAAAAATTGCAGCACACTATGGAACAGAGATGCCAAATTTAATAGAATATACTTGATAGTTCATTTTCTATTTGGGAGGGAAGAGGAGGTCCCGCTATTCTTACTTGAGACATTGCTGTAGAGAACACAAACGATTAAAATCTTATTATTTTCGCTCTTCTAAAAAAAAATTCACTCTTGAGCTGAAATACGATATGCTATTCATTGCGTCACGTCAAACTGGATTTGAATTTTTTTTTTTTTCTCTTCAAAGTCGTTACTCGTTTTAAATTTTTTATTCCTTCTTCTTGTAATAAGCAAAAGAAGAAAAATGTCTGGTAAATAAACATAGATTTTAATTACAGGATAAAAAGACCAAAACGACAATAAATCAAATTGTTATATTTAACTTTTTTTTATGGCTCTTTTTTTTTCGAACCTGTATATAAATATTTATTAATTTCGAATTTACTAAAATGTCATTTTTTTTTTTCTTATAAAAAGATTCTGTTGACACCATTACTTTGAAGCTTGGTGATCTCGCCACTGATAAGGGTAAGAATATCAAGAATGAACAAAACTAAAGATCTTTAGATCCTAGACTATCAATTATAATAATTACTTTTTTTCCTTAGTGCCTGCTACACCTGCTACACCCGCTCCAGGTCAGTTTTGATTTTATTTTATTTTTTATTTTTTATCGCCAATTCCAAACGCTATGATAATTGAAAAACAAATGTATTAAATCGTTGTATTCTTATTTTGAATGAATAGCTCAAAATGAACCAAAGCAAACAACTAAGCCGGAAGGTAATGCAATTGATAGCCTTGATATAGATAAAATTAACTTATATCTCTTTATTTTTAGAGAAAAAGGAGGAAGAAGAAGAAGAAACTAACTTGATCAAAAGCACTCATGTGGTTCAAGTTAAATTAGCCGATCAACAAGCCGATCCCAATTCACCTTTATATTCAGTTAAATCTTTTGAACAATTGGGATTAAGCCCCGAACTTCTTAAAGGTATTTATGCCATGAAGTTTTCTAAACCTTCAAAAATTCAAGAACGTGCACTTCCTTTATTACTTGGTAATCCGTAAGTATTGCCTTTGCAGCTGAAGTTTGAAACATCGTTTTTCTTTTCTTAAACTCTCTCTCTCTTTTTTTTTATTTTTTTTTAAATAGCCCAAAAAATATGATTGGTCAGTCTCAAAGTGGTACTGGTAAAACTGCAGCTTTTGTCTTGACTATGCTTTCTAGAATCAATATGGGTCTGAACGTTCCTCAAGTAAAGCGAAGAAGAGATTTTTGTTTTTGATAACAGCACAGTAAAATTAATTTTTTTTCTTCTTTCTACAGGCAATTTGTCTTGCACCTTCTCGTGAACTTGCACGTCAAATTATGGATGTAGTTCAAAAAATGGGTCAATTTACAAATGTGACAACGAAGTTAGTTGTAAAGGATTCACTTAAGAGAAACGAACCTGTTCATGCACAGATTGTTGTGGGTACTCCTGGTTCAGTTGGTGATGCTATTAAGAGAAGACATTTACCTGTTCAAGCCGTAAAAATTTTTGTTTTAGATGAAGCAGATAATATGTTGGATCAAGATGGATTAGGTGATCAAAGTATTCGTATTAAAAAGTAAAGTGAGATAGAGATAGATAAATTAATATTATATTCTATAATTAACTGCTTTTTATATAGTCAACTTAAGGGTAATCCTCAAATTGTTTTATTCTCTGCTACTTTCCCTGAACATGTAGCACGATTTGCTTCCAAATTTGCTCCTAATGCCAACGAAATTACACTAAAACGTGAGGATTTAAGTGTTGATGCCATTAAACAACTTTATATGGATTGTGATAGTCAAGAACATAAATATGAGACTCTTTGTAATATTTATAATCTCCTCACTGTTAGTCAGAGTATTATTTTCTGTAGATATCGTGATTCAGCGGATGAAATTGCTAGACGTATGATTGCTCAAGGACATACTGTTTATGCACTTCACGGTAAAATGACACCAGAAGAAAGAGATAGAGTTATGGATGATTTCCGTCGTGGTGTTTTCAAGGTGTTGATTACAACCAATGTTTTAGCTCGAGGTATTGATATTTCTCAAGTTTCTCTGGTGATTAATTACGACTTACCCACTGATCAAAATGGACAAATTGATTTTGAAGCCTATCTTCATCGTATTGGACGTACCGGTCGTTTTGGACGTACAGGTGTTAGTGTTATTTTAATTGACAGTAAAACAAGTTGGGAACAAATGCGTGAAATTGAGAATCATTTTGGTAGACCTATTACATATGTACCAACTGAAGATTGGGAAGCTGTTGAGAAGCAATTAAAATCTATTATTTAGATCATTTTCATTTTAATAAATAAGGCATATATATATAAATAAATAAATATATGATATAATAATCACAGTGACTTGTGAATTCACATGAATTAGTTATTATTCAATATCAGGAGTCATTATTTTAAGTTAAATCTTCAACATTTGTCTTTTATTTTTATCTTTTTTTTTTTTCTCCTTCTTTCAGCATTATTTACAACATGTCCTTTCGATATCTGTCGAGAAAAGCATGCAATACAATGGTACGTTTCTTGATAGATATAGATATATAAATACAATTGGATAATAAAAAAGAGGGTTTTGTTTGTGACTGTTCATTGGTAAACATGAAGTTCTCTAACATAAATAATGCAACTTGTTTTTATTTTTATTTTATTTTTTATGTTCTAATAGAATTATACTATGCCTAACACAAGTAAAATTAAACTTATTACTTTCGATGCTTACAATACTTTATTTAAACCAAAAGGGAGTCTTTCAGCTCAATATGTATGTAATATGAAACTGCAACATTAGAGTGTCATTGTTGATGCTCATTTCGTTTCATTCTTTTTTTTTTTTTTATCAAAAGGTTGAAGAAGCATCCAAGTTTGGTATTAAAGTTACAAAAGAACAGATTAGTCAACATTTTGGTAAAGCATACAAACAACAACTACTAAAGGCTCCTTTTTACGGTATAAGCAGAGGATTGACCCCACATAGTTGGTGGAAAGAAGTAAGTGATACATATATATATACATGTATGTATATAATGTTAATACTATATAAGTTGGTCTATACTACTTTTATTAGTGCTGGTATAAAATCACATGGTATTGTATCTATAAATTCCTGTATACATAAATATGTAAATTCATCATTCTATCTATTATTAGAATTAGACAGCAAATTTGATCAGTTATTTAATGCATTATATAATCGATTTACAACTGCTGAAGCTTATTCTATATTTCCAGATGTATTAGGCACGTTAAAGGAGTTAAAAAGGAATGGTTTTCATATGGGTGTCATTAGTAATTCAGATGAAAGAGTTGGTAATTTAAAGGCTTACATTCCCCTCCCCCTTTTTTTTTTCTTCATATTAACACAATTTTCACATGAAATAGTTAAAGTAATCGAAAATTTGAATTTAAATAAATATTTTGATTTTGTGATTGCAAGTTCAATTATTGGACATGAAAAACCCAGTAAAATGATTTTTGAGCAGGCTCTTAAATTAGCGGGCAAAGATATGCGAGCAGAGAATGCTTTACATGTAGGAGATGATATTGACAAGTAATTTTTTTTTTTTATTATTTACTTGGATAAATGATACGAACTATAATATGTATATTCTATTGTAGAGATTATTATGGTGCAACTAATGCAGGATGGAATGCAGTTTTACTGGAAAGATGTATGTCTATTATTAAATTACATACATGAATTATATATTGAATATTATTCTTATTTTTATTAGCAAAGCTCTCTTATGAAGAATTTTCTCCAGCCATGATTGCAGATCATACTATTAGCAATATTAACTTACCAAGTCATCGTTCTAGACAAATCTTGACTTTAAATGATCTTTATCCATATATCAATTCTTTATTATCAGCAAATAATCAAAAGAAGGATGATAAAATAATAATTATTAATGAAAGTAAAAAAGAAGTACCAGATATAGTCTTAGTGCAAAAAGGCAAAAAAAGCAGCATATTAAAATAAATAAAGTTTTATTATATATTAATCTAGGAAAAGAAAAGAAAAAGAAGTTGATATCATTATTTCTTTTGTCTGTTATAATATTCTTCTTTTTTTTTTTGTTATTATTATTTCATTGGTACACTCTTGAGTTGAATTTCGTACATAGTACCGTTTGGATGCTTACATGTAGCCGAACGATGGTCTTGATCCCCATGAAATATTAATGCACCACCTGAATAACAACGAGCTCTACGAGCAGGGCTATCATGTGTTGGATAATGGAATTGTAACTTTGTAATTATTGTAAGAATATTATTATCTTGTTGTTGTATACATATATGTAAATTACAATAAATACTTACATGAAAGTAGACATAATCATAATCAATAGGTCGAATAGAGCAATCACGAACAGAATAATGACAACATTCACTTCCTAATGGTCCGATTGATTTACTGAATGCGCTGTATATATAATAGTTTTATTATCCATATCATTATCGTATACTTGTTATATAAACTTACCGGCCCACTGGTAAATAAGTATTTTCTTGGTAAATATCAATGTAAGTATCATCGTCAAAGTAATTATAAATACAATACGATTCAGCACTTTGAATAAGAAATGATAATGCAAAAACAATAAGCATAGATGTAATAGTATACTTCATTATAATAATATGGCTGTTTATTATTATTTTGCTTTTTATTTAACAATGATTGACTTTATATATACACATATATAAAGGAAAAAAAAAGACTATATCTTTTTGTTCTCTTCTTTTGGTAATTAAGTTTTGATTGTCTATAAAAATTTCATTATATTATTCATTAAAATGCATACAGAAATATATTTCTATTGTATTAAAAAAAAACGAACAATAATTTAACTTTATCATTTTATTTAAAGCGTTTTCTACAGTAGTCTTCAGGCATACTGCCTTCTCCTTCTTATCATGGTACCTGGAATTTTATTAATACCTAAAGAAGTAATCCCCTCTTTACTACTCGATATCAATATTTCGTATATCTTGCGAATACTTTGGTACTTCCGTATATAAATATTAGCTTCTTCTTCTTTTTTTTTTATTCTCTCTATTTTTGATTTACTCACACATATTGAATGCTTCTTGTCCGAATAATATACGAAGGAAGTATAATAGTAATAATAATAGAACTGGTGGCCTCTGATATTCAATTCATTTGATTGAGGTTTAAACAGGTAATATTAATTGCTATGGAAGTATATTAAGTTACTAAGTAAGGCTACACTATCGCTTTCCTCACTATTGAAACTAAAACCCGAATGTTTTTCAGAAAATAGCCTTGATTTATTGTTTTCATTCAAGACAAGTATATGTACATTGGAAAAAAGAGGGAGACACAAAACATGATTATCAATTAAAGAAAAAAAAATATGTTATTATAAGCAAATTGTACATGATTTGATGTGGACTGTATGTCATTATAGAGATTAAAAGCCTAAATATAGAATTCAGCAAAGTAGTTAATGAGAATTGAAATGTAACAAGCATTCGTATTCATATACAGAAAATAAAGGGATCCAAAATCAATAAAAACATGGGCAGAATTATATATAATAAATTACTATAAAACATGAAACTACATTTATATATGCATATACATTTGTTTAAGTTGGTATTTTATGCAAGCAAGGAGAGTAAAAGGCTAGAGTTAAAAGAAAAGTCTATACTACGTTATCATTAAATTCGAAATACTTCAATTTTTTTTTCTTGGGAATATGAATGGGTGGTAAAGATTCCCATGGTAATGGTACACAGTATTTAGAATCTAATAGTATATACAAGTATAGTTAGATTTCATTTTATCATTCACCCACTCACTCCTTTTTTTTTTTGTAACATACAGTACCCTGTTCTTTATCTTTTTTATTACCTGTAGTATCTTGAGAATGATGAAGTAGACTCATATCAGTTGTATACATTAAAGGAGTTTTGTTATTCATCATATTATTATAATTTAACTCGTGAGGAGTGGAGTATTGGTTTTGATGATTCGAGTCATTATCCTGACGGTTATAAGTAAATCGTTGATTTGTAATATCTATTGGATCGTCTATTGGCCTTTGTTGATTCATTGGATTGAAAATTGATGTATTATAGTTGCATTCTTCCGTTGACTGCTGTTGCTGCTGTTGCTGCTGTTGCTGCTGATTCTCTGATTCTAATAGAGGCTGTAAAATTCGTCGACGAGCGTTAATAAACCAGTTACTGATTTGATTTACGGATAAGTTTGTTTCATCGGCTAATATTTGTTTTTCTAATTCAGTTGGATAAGGATGTTCCTTATGAACAATAAGCCAGCTTTTTAGAAACTCAGTTACTACCTTGGGGATATTTCCTCTTCGTTTCTTTTTACCGTTATATGGTTTATAAGTGTAACGAAATTGAGGCTCATCATGATGAACTGTATTAGATAATGTTAATGGATTTTGTTCCTCTTCATCCTCTTCATCAAAATTTAGAATGAAAGAAGTGTTATTATACTGTTTATTATAATCGACAGATAATCTTTTATGTTTTGCTGAAGTAAAATTAGTAGTAGATAACACTGTTAATGGATCTTTGCTATTCTTGTTCGTGTATAATGGTAATGATATAGAAGGATGCATCTTTAGTTTAGCTGAATTTTTAGCTGCATCTGGAGTGATTTCGGTAGCTACATTTGACAGTATTTCATTTTCTGTTAGAACTTTGTTATCGAAGTATTCTACATATTCATCATCAGTATATTCAAACTTTAATCCTGTCTGTTGATCACTGATATCATAATGCTGTCCCATTAATGGGTCCATTACTAATTAAACAATCATTAAAGTTATAGCTATACATTTGTAAATATACATCTATATATGTACACACATAGATATATGTATGTATGTATGTATGTATGTATACATGCGTTTTTTTTTCTAAAAAAAAAAGGAAAGCCTATTTAATTTTATATTTTACCTGATCTAGAGGCTGCTTTTCCTTTATTTCCCCAAAGCTGCGCATTATATTGTAACATTTCTTTTGTCTTTATTTGATGTTGTTTTATAAGTGAGCTTCTATGTTGGCAATCAACGTCCGTTACTTCATTATTATTATGAAAAATTATTAACGGTTGGAATGTTTTTATCTATAATTATAAAGATATATATATGTAGATATACATGTGTATATGTTTGTATTCATATTCTAAAATTATACGTTTTCTTTATTATTATTAAGTAAATATATGTTATTGCTGATAAATTTAAACATAGTTTAATCACTTCTACCTTACTTTATTTGGAAAAGTAAAATCCATTTTAAAATGTATGTTTTTTTTTTTTTTTTTTTTTTTTTTTTTTTTTTTCGTAGAGTATAGTTCCTATAGTATATCCTTTCTTCATATATAAGAAATACAAATGAGAACAGTACAGAATATGTTTTCTTACTAAAAAAAAAAATGAAGTTTCCGATTCTTTTTGTTTTCTTTTATCTATATCATAAACAAATGAAGAAGGGGAATAGTTCCAGTTATTTAAAGACAAAGTAATTTATACAAGAAAGAAAGAGATAATTTTTTTTTTTAAAAAAAAGACTGTTTCATGATAGCACAGTTTTTATATCAATAAAAAAAAAAAAAAAAAAAGAGTCGGGGTCGTCCATGTGTATAATATATATTTTATTTAGTCACAACAAATATAATTAATAAAATGTCTCTTCTACATGTGTCCTTATTTTATAAATATTATATATTTAAACATGTAAAACATAACTGCGATATTATTTTGATTACTTTAATATCTATGCCATTCGACAATAAAGACATGAAAGATAGTAAAATGGTTCGCATATGTATAAATATAACAGAAGACTTGTTGGTCATTAGTTAGTAAAATATCAAGCTTTCTGGAAATGTGAAAAGTAATGTTAGATCTTGAACGCAAAAAAAGGGACATTTCTCGAACATTAAATTTGCCTAGAAAGGAAAAAAGGTACATATTTTTTACAGCAGGATAATATATTTATTATATTAATGATGCCTTCTATCTCTTTCTTTCCGAAGCCTTCCCCCAATTATAAATAATTTTTAAAATACTAACTAAATTGAAATAGATCTAATGTTACTACATTCATATTGAATACATGCTATATATTAAGAATCTTTTTTTTTCTTATTCATAAAAAAAAAAGACTTTTTGTTTATAAATGTATATAAAAATTTGAGTCTAACATTATTCTATATTCCCTTTATATAATAGTATCTTTAGTCGAAAAGATTTTATTATTTAAAGAACATTTATTGAACAAACTTATATTTGCAGAATCCTTTCTAATTAAGTAAATATAATTTATAGAAGACTATTTTATAATCTCAAAGCTTAAGTTTAATCATCTTGTTTGGAATTGTATAAATCATTAGGTATTTAGATCACTACTAAATATAGCATAGATAAGGCTACCCCTTAGTCTCTCTCTCTCTCTTATTTGTATATAATATGATAATTTATTTACTATGTAAATATTGGAACTTAATCCTTTTTACATATATAGTTCTTGCTACTATTAATTAAGTATACATTTATACCTATTATATATATTAATGTCAAAAAAAATTCATGTTTTTAGCATGAATGCAAGTATAAATGTTAGTAAGCAAATAAAAAGTCTATATATTATTTTACTACAGCAGATATTTACAATATATACACGGGATAATTTTTTTTTTATTTATTAAATAATTTATGTTCACTTGATATATCAATTACAAGCTAAATGAATATGAAATAATTCGAGTAGTTGTTTCCGCATCTTCTCCCCAACCCCCGAGGAGAAAAAATAAAAGAGATAGAAACAGAATTGCACTACGGCATTTGTTTGAATAATAGCAGCTCTTTCCTTTTTTTTATGATTCTCCATAAAGTCATTTTGTTAGTGTAACAACAACAAAATATCATAAGGTTTACACGAAGATCCAATATTGAAAAGGAAACATTATTGTTGCACGTCATTTAAGGTTTTTCTATTCAGTACACAAAAATCTTGAAGCTTTGTGTACATTTTATTTATTATGGACTCGCAGCAAAATAAATAAAAGCATATACATAAATATGTATAGTTATACATCGATAAACGTTGTATGAATATGGTCAAATTAGTAACAAAACAAGCTAGACAGATATTCATTATATACAATATGCTGATTATGATAACCATTTTACCTTATACATATATTCTACTATACTGGTTCTAATATAGAGCCTATAAATACATGATAGTCTTTTACAGTAATTTACTGTCTCAATAATTAAGTTTATCCTCATTATATTTATTTTCTTTAAACGACTACATCATATATATTTACATGGATCTATATAGAAGATAAAGACAGAAAGGGTATATACATATTTTTTTTCTTTTTTTAAAAAAAAAATAGTAATGAATATAGCTAATATATTCGTATATGTATACAAAATAAGATTGCATATTTGGCAATAATAAGAAAGATAGACTCTTCGTTATCACTATTCTTTTTGCCATTCATTAGTCTCTAATTGAAGCTTCATTGCATCCATTTTCATCATTAATTCTTCTATTTCCCTATCTGTCACCTCTAATAAGCAAACAGTTGAATCATCTTCCTTTTTCTCATCTAATGTTACTTGTCGATGATAGGTGGTAAGGGCAATCTGAGCAGTCTCAAACTTATATTTTAATGCATTTCTAATTGTTCTATGAGCCCATAAATCTTCCATAGCAATTACTAAACGAGTTTGAAGAGCACGACAGGTCTTTTCGTACTGTAGAATAATACCGTCCGATATATTTGGTTTAGTACTACTACTACTACTACTACTACTACTACTACTACTACTCTCTTGATCCTTATAAGCCTTCTTTTTAATTAAATCATTTAGTTCTTGATGTATGGCTAGCATCTCTGTAAAATCATTTGAAAATCGCTTTAGTTCTAATTTTACTTTCTCATGCTCCTCTGTTAATTGTCGATCAATGGTAGCAATAGTTTTCAACAGTATTTTGTGTTCAGGTGAAGAAGACTTGTTCGATGTTTCGTCAGCCTTCAGTTTCTTTACTTCTTTTAATACTGCTAATAAGTCCTTTAATTCACTTTTGTAATCCAAGAGATGTAGATCATACTTTTTTCGAATCTTTTCCATCATAACATCAGTCGTGTCCTTATTTAAGGAAGCGATTAAATCATTTTCATCAACTTGCGTATCAGTATTATTATTATTATGAATCAATTTTTGTAATTTCAATTCAGTTTTAAGCTGTTCATATTTGCGTTTTAATGCATCCAATTCGTATAGAATTAAATGTGTTGTTATCTTTCTTTCTTTTGATTCCGTATCGACTTCAATCGTTGTCTTTGGTTGCTCATCTAACATAGCTTGCAATTCTTGTCTTTCCTTTTCACAACTTTCGTAACGTTCACGCCAATTAATTTCCTTTTCGATCAACGAAACTGGTTCTCTCTCATATCTCTCACGTAATTCCTTCTCTTCTATTGATTCCCTTTCAGCCAGTTTCTTACTTAATTCAATTCGCTCCCTTTCAGAGGCCTCATATTTTTCATGCCATTCCTCCTTTAAGGCATTATATTCCTTTTCAGACTCTGCCATCCTCTTTTCTAATTCATGTATGTACTTTTCAGTCGTCTCATCTACCTCCTTTAAACTCAAGATCTTGGCTCTCAATTTATCCAACATTTCACGATCATGAGCTGTCTCCTCTACTGCATCCATCAATTTCTTTTCCAATTCACCAATATAGACCTCGTCTTTGACACCTTCTTCCAACAATTGTTGAACACGCTTGCGTAGCTCTAGGATAGTGTCCTCTTGTGTCTTGATGATCGTTTCAAAGAGTTGTAATTGAGTCTGTTGATCTTGAATTTGCATCTGCTGGTCTTGAAGACCTTGATCAGCATGCTGAAGGGCAGCTCTTACGAGTGCCAACTGAGATTCCAAACTAGACATACTCTTTTCATATTCTTCAATAACAGGCTCTACCAGATGTTGAAAATCAACTGTCTGTTGCTGATGGTGTCGAAGTTGATCTAGTTCTTGCTCAGCAGCCGTATTCAGTTCCTTGGCAAAATCAGCAGCTCCCTGTAAATCCAAAACTTGTTGTTGAAGATCAGCAATGACCATTTCATGTGAACTAGTAGTAGAGGTGATAGACGAAAAGTCATCATCATCATCATCATCACTATTACTATTACTATTACTATTCATTGAGGATTTAATCATGGTTGATTTTTGTTGTTGACGAAGCTGGTGTTTCAGGTTGGCAATCATGCTTCGTAAAAAATCAATATTGTCTGTTGTCATCCATTCTTCTTGCTCATTTTTGGAGATCTTGTTTTTAATATTACGAGCTCGATTTGCATATTGAAGCGTGTTCAAGGTCTCTGACAGATTAGATTCTGTAGGACTGACACAAGCTATCATGAGCGTTAGAGCACTACCTCCCAAGGAATCTTGAAGAAGACGTGTGAGCTTAGAATCACGATAAGGTACATGTGTTGTCCTTTTGGAGGGATCACCAAGAGCTGAAATAACGTTACCTAAAGCTAGCAAACCTGCATTAATATTAATACCCTCTCGACGACGATCACCTTCTGCTGCAGTTCGTTTCAACTTGAATATATATATATATATATTAATTGACATGTTACTTATATATACATTGAAAATTTTGATAACTTACACGTTCACTACCAGCTAAATCTACAAAATGAAACTTGGAAGTGGTTGTAATCCATTCGCCATTATTATCTTCTTGTTGTGAAGGATTAGAATTGGACTTATTTGAGAGACGATTTTGTGATAATTTAGATTGAATTTTTGGAGATGGACTTGCTGTACGATTGGTGTTGGAAGGTTGCCATTTCTCTTGTTTAAGTGTAACTGAAAATATGGCATGAGATCGTGAAGATTTCTCATTCATATCTGTTGATCCTGTAGCACGATTCTTTGTACCTTGTTGAAGAAAGCTAAAAAGATAAATAACAGTGAGATTTCTTCTCTCTTTCATTTCTTTTTTTCTTTTTAGTAAAGCTTTACTGTAAAACATCATCAGTATTATTCACTGTCATTTCTTTTACACCGGTCCAATAAATATATCCCTTGGTATCTTCACGAATTGTTACTGGCGGGCGTTCGGAAGGTGGTGCAAAATTCAATAAATCAATTAATTCTTCATTGTAAATTTCAACAAAAGAAACTTTAATAGAATATCGATAAGCGACTGATTTTTGAAGAAGATGATGAGAAGAAGAAGGAGGACGGATAAGGCTATGATGAGTAGCTGCTGCACTACTTGAACGTCCACAGTTATTATTTAAGTGTTCATTTTGTTGTTGTAGCATATCAAATAAAAGAGCCATAGCTCTAGGAACAATACCCACTTCTTCTGGATTCGTTGCCTCTGTATGTTGTGCTGTACCCATTGTGTAAGTCTTTCCCGAAGATGTTTGTCCCTTTTTTTTTTTCACTTTAGTCAATTTATTTTATTTCATTTTTTTTTTTTTTTTTTTTTTTTTTTTTTTATATGTATATAATTGATATACTTTACATAAGCAAGCATTGTTACATTATAACCTACATAGTACATAATTCAAATTAATTTTTTTTCTTTTTTAAAAAAAAAAAAAAAAAAAAAAATTAATTGCATATATTTATATTACCTTCAACAAATTTTTCGACAGGTTTCTGACCAAGGTGAAGAAAGATGTCATTTTGTTGTGCATCAGGACCAAACACATGATCATAAGTGAAATACTTGTTTTGTGGAATAACATGAATTTGATTTGCATTTGCCGTCAGTACATGATGACTTGTTGATTTTCCATATCTTGTAGGTTGAAGTCGATCTCGTTCACTTAGAGGTCTAACTCGAATGGCTTTATATATTGAACATCATTCGCCAAAAAAAAAAAATAAAATAAATATAACGTTAAATTATGTTATAAACAAATAAAAGCGAGTTTCATATAGGTTTCTACGTTACCTACTTGAACAGTCGATATTTGAGTTTGTTGTTGGGTATCTTTAGCCATTTATCAGTGTTATAAAAAAAAAAAAAAAAAATTCTATAAAAAACTAACAATGATAAACAGAGAGGAAAAAAAAAAAAAGGATAAATTATAAAGTGACTCCCTCCTTATTTATTTATTTATTTATTTTTTAATACAGCTGTTCCGCATATAATAGAATCACAAAACAAGACTTCTACTACTACAATAAAAGAAGGCTGCTTACAAAATGTGACGACGATATGCATATTGGTAACAAGCGACTTCAAAAACTAAGGCCACTTCCTTCTACACTATTTATGTTTATTTACGTGTGTTACTTTGTTATGTAATAAGAGAGTTATTTTTACTACACTTTCTATATTAAAGTCATCTTTAGAAATGCTAATGTACAGAAAACAATGCAAGTTATACACTTTCTCTTCTTTTCCTTTCATATATTTGTACAAATAATAAAATGAATAAATAAACGTTTATATTCATATTTTATTTATTTTAAATAAATTTAAGCAGAGTGAAGGACTTCCAAAAATTTCTTGGAAGCAGCAGTAGAAGCGCCAGACTTCTTCTTTTGTGTCTTGGTAACCTTACCAGCATCAATCTTCTCAGCCTTGATGAGCTCAGCACGACGAAGGACTTGAGCATAAGGATTGAGGCGGTTCATAACACCTTGGTTCTTCAAGGGGTTCTTCTTTTGAGTGAAGGGACGCTTGTGATGCTTGTTGCCAGCAGGACGAACAACAGATTGAATTTCATCAGAGTTGATGAGACGAGCAACATCAGGGTTAGTCATGATGTTGTCAGGCAAGACGTAGTTCTTCTTCAAGGTAGCAGGAGTCTCGTAGGTACCATAAAGTTCATCAAGAAGAGAAATAGCAGATTGAGTCCAGATGATGAAACGACCCAAATGTCCACCAGGAGCTAATTGTAAGAGATTGAGTTGACGAACATTAACAAGTTCAAGACCAGGCAAGTTACGGAAGGCCTTAACGAGACCCTTATCTTCATTATAGATCACAAGAGGACCACGGCGTTGTCTGTGGCGACGGTTACGGAGTTTACCTTGACCAGCACGCAACTTACGAGAGTTAGAAACCTTGACAACATCAGCATAAGCATTAACAGCCTTCAAGAGAGCAACAGCTTCTTTGGTCTTGGTCAATTTTTCAACGTTGTCAGAAACAACGAGGGGGACCTCTTCAATCTTTTCGATACGGTGACCACGTGCCATGACCAAAGAGGGTAAAGCAGAAGCAGCTAAAGCAGAAACAGTAGCGAAACGCTTTTGGTTGACATTAAGCTTTACATTCCACTTTCTCCAGGTCTTGGTGGGAGCAAACATACGACCACCACGACACATGTTACCGAAGGCAGCTTGACCAGCACGGTGAGTACCGGAACCATTCACACGAGGAATACGAGCAACAGCACGACCAGTACCCCAAGATTCAGCAGAAGTTTGTTCACCAGCCTTGGAGGAAACGGCATAGGGTTGACGCTTGTTCTTGGCCATGTTAGTGTGGACAAAGTTAACAATGTCAGGACGAATAGGAGCCTTGAAGACGGCAGGAAGAGGAACAGTGGCAGCGACATTGTTGCCGGATTCGGCGTAGACGTTAAGAACAGGTCTGGCAGCGGACTAAAAATAAAAAAATAAAAAGTTAATTAAGCTGGTTTAATTAAATCAAATGCATGAACGATCGATTATATTGATTTCTATGAATGTTGGATCCAAATTAATCGTAAACTTTAGCTCTTCTTTTTTTTTCCATATATTATTAAATCTCGACACATATTAGTTAATGTTGAAATTCGCATCTAAATCTAAATCTCGATCTTATCGTTCAAAGTTGATTTTTATAGTTCTTTTTTTTTATATCTTTTTTTCTTTATTGATGGATTCATAGAATTAATCGATCGATCATATTAAACCACTTTACCATCTTTAAAATAAATAAGATGAAAAAATTAGAAAGAGATTCAAAAGATTTGAATATTGGCAGATGACAGTTTCTTTTTATATGAAAGAAGTATTCTTAGTCCGGTTAAGCCGGTCCGGACTTTGTTTTTATAACAACATGTTGTTTATAATGCAACAAAATGCTGTTGTTTAAAATAACTTTTGCTTGGCCCTTTTTTTTTTATATTTATAAATATATTTATATATTACTACTATAATATTTTAATAAAATTGTTGTATAATGATGAAACCAAGATCATCCATAGAGCTTGGTAAACAAGCGAACATTACAGTTGATCCAAACATTCCAATTCGACTTTATTTTAGATCTGCTGATTTGTTATTAAAACAAGCTCGGGTTTATAAGCTTGAACAAGATTTAGAGCATGCTTATGTACTTTATATGAAATATACAATGTAAGTCTTTTGCGTGATGCGAAAAAAAAACGTATTTTAACTTTCATTATTTAGTCTCGGACTTAATGAACTTCCAAAACATCCATCTTACAAGAATTCTGAAAATAGAAAAAATCTGAAATTATTAAATAAAGTATGTTAATCAATGTTAAAGTTATTTGTAATTTGACATTATTTTATTAGAATTGTTTGGAAGCACTAGAGGCATTAGAAACCATGAAACCAGTTATAGATGAAATTTATTCAGTCTTCATTAAAAAAGAAGCACAACAGAAAATAGAACAAGAAAGTCTCAATAGAAATCAAGCAGGTCAACAACACTATTCACCTACAGAGAATGATGTTCTGCAAGATTGGAATTTACAAGATGCTTTAAAGGGCGTAGTTGGTGTTGGATATCAGCCAGAAACGTTGTGAGTGAAAAAAAAAAAAGAAAAAAGAAAAGGAGAGTACAGGAATATAATTCTTTTTTTTTTATTTATCCTTAAATTTCATATAGACCCTATTCTGTAAATAATTATCCAAAGACAAATTACCCAAGTCCTTCGTTACATAATCAAAGTGACAGGTAAGTAAACATTGAATCGAATATGTATATATGACAAACATTATATTTAGCTTTTCCTATCAATCTCAGCAACCACCTGATTTACCACCAAAGACTTTTGAGCAGCAGCAACAGCAACACCAACACCAACAGCAACAACAACCTAATTTACCGCCAAGGGCCTTTGAGCAGCAGCAGCAGCCTAGTTTACCACCTAAAATACCTATTATTCCTAGAGGACCTGAATTACCACCAAAGATCAAGTTAAATGAAGAAGAAAAAGTTCGAATAGGAGGCCCTACAGTAGATGGTAAAATAATTAAAAGGAACAATGGCTTTATCTATGTTTTAATTTTAAACCATAGCTTCAACAGAAAGGGGTGAACCTTTAAGACAAATGCTATTGCCAAAAAGTATTCAATCCAAATTTCTTTCTATTGCTGAACCCAATACACGTAAAAAGATAGAAACATGTGGTATTTTGGCAGGAACATTGGTAAAAAAGGAATCAAATGAAAGTAAATTGCATACAACTAATGATGTAATTGTATGATAGAAAAATAATGTATTAAAGATCACAACTTTAATTATACCCAAGCAAACAGGTACAACAGATACTTGCACAACAGAAAATGAAGAAGAACTGTTTGATATTCAGGATAAATATGACTTGCTTACATTTGGCTGGATACATGTAAAATAGGAGTCTATACATATAATAGGTATATAACTTACTTTCCTTGTTGTATTCTATAGACACATCCTACTCAATCTTGCTTTTTGAGTTCAGTGGATTTGCATACACATTGTTCATATCAACTGATGTTACCTGAAGCCATTGCTATTGTCTGTGCTCCTACACAGGATCCAAAGTAAGCTGCATGCATATCAATTAAAAGTAAACGAATTAATATATATGTATACAAAATATATATATAGTTTTGGTATATTTAGATTAACCGATCCACCTGGTCTGGATGTCATTAGTAATTGCAAAAGGCAACCAGCTTTTCATCCACATCCTGATTTACCCATTTATACGGTAACTACATGAACAATAATTACTATACACACGTATATATTAAGCTTGTTTAATAGAGTGCAGGAAATGGTGGACATGTTACAATATCAGATTATGATTTTAAAATATTGGATTTGCGAAAAGACAAAACATTTTAGAAAAGAATTCTCACTCATTTTTATTTGTATGTATTTATATACAAACATTATTGAAAGAGGGGGTGGGGGCCTATAAACTTGAAACATTTATACATACAAAAAAAAAAAAAAAAAAAAAAAAAAAAAAACACTTGTTGTTAGAAGACAGATTCTACATGTGTATTTTAGTTTTACATTGTTACAATCGATAACTGTTAAATTATATTTATAAAATCTACGATTTATATTATTTATTTATCTGATAGAAAAAAAATGAAAATGCTAATCATTTTCGTTTGTCGATATTAGTTATTTTGATAAATTGGCTGATGTTAATTATGTGGATGAACAATATATAATGTGGTCATTAATGACAATATGATAAAAGTGCTCATGTCAAGTGTAAAATTAAAACATCATAAAAGTATACAAGTGAATGTATACAAAACTCTGACAAATACAAGTCGGTTATGTATGATAATATTCACTTTACTTTCAATTTCCTCGAACTTTTTTCTTTAATCATTGCACTTTTATGTATAAACGAAAAAAAAAAAAAAAAAGAAAAACAAAACCAAAAAAAAAAAAAATCCTGTATTGTGTGACAACTTTTTATGTATTGTATTACAAAAAGCGCGACATGAATCTCTCCCTTTTCTCTCTCTCTTTTTTTTTTTTTATTTTTTTATGAATAATACAAAAATAGTATGAGTGAATATCATGTTGTAACAACGATAATGAGTCCAACAGCCATAACCTGTGCTGTCAAAGGCAACTTTATTTATCCGGATAAAGAAAACTTGATCATAAGGTATATACATATTTAAAGATCATCTTAAGTTGATCTAATTCTATTCACGTTTACTGTAGCAAAGGGACAAAAATAGAAATATATTCAATTTTGAACGAAGGCATTGAACTATACAAACATTTCGACATTTATGGATTTATTCGAAAGCTACATACATGCACGATACCCGTAGGCACTGCTACAGATATATATATTATATATGTGTGTGTATATCAATTAGTGTTGATTACTTATTTGCTATATAGGGTCGAAATACTTGTTCATTATTCATCTTGACAGAAAAAAACTATTACACAATTATAAGTTACGATGTTCATAATTCTAAATTTGTAACTGAAAATCACGGTCTACTTGAGCATTCTTTGGCAAGAGAAACAGAGGAAGAGGAGCATGTGGTTGTCGACCCCCGCACTAACATGATTCATATCAGTGCACATACAGGTTTCATTTTTTCCATTCCCTTTTGGAAGAAACCAGATCTTAAAGGAAAATCAAGAGAATCTAGACATGAAGTGTTTTCTCCTATTCCAGTTAGGTAAAAAAAAAAAAAAAAAGATAAGCCTCTTTTCGATAACAAAACAAATGTTTCTACTATGACTTACGTCTTATTGAAATGTTAGAACTTATGAGTTTGATTTTTTGTCCATGGTGGCATTAAAGGGTATAAAGGCATCACAAATTGCAGTACTAGTAGGTCGCATAAACGAAATCAAGACTATAAAGTCAATGAAATTTCAAACAATTGATGATCAGTTGCATGAGGATGTAACAGTACAAGTAGAAGCAACTACACATACGCTGATTGCTGTTCCTGACCCTATTGGAGGTGTACTTGCAATAGGAGAATATATCATTTCTTACCATGATTTATTGTCTTCAGGATCTGCGCCCAAGGAGCTAAGTATTGATCCTGTCATTATCACTGCACATACTTTTTTAAATAATAGTTATACACATTGTATAATTGGGGATTCAGAAGGCACATTATATATGTTGACATTAGAGATAAATAATATGAAAGTGAATAGCATTTCGAGCACAATTATAGGAAAGGTAACAGCAATAATAAGAAGAATGTATATACATATGTACAAAGAGAGAGAGAGGGTAAATATACAAGTGTATGCTTAGATATTATATGTTAGGCTTCAATACCCAATTCAATTGTGGATTTGGGTAATCAATTATTTTACATTGGTTCTTCACAAGCTGATCCTTGTATCATAAGGTTAATTACTCAAGGTCAAGATAAATTTAGTATTGAAGTTTTAAATACCTTTCCAAGCCTTGCACCTATTCTTGATTTTTGTTTGTTTGATTATGATCAACAAGGGAAGGTAAATATATACAAGTTAAAAGCAAAAAAAAAAAAAAAAAAAAAAAAAAAAAAAAAAAAAAAAGGCTTATAATAGTGTATTAGCAAACAATGGTATGTTGTTCTGGTGTTGATAAGGAAAGCACTTTACGTGTAGTTGAATATGGAGTTGAATTTAATGTGGAAGGGCAATTGGATATTCCATTAATTAATGATGTATGGGCTTTTTCTTCAAATAATAGCGAGTAAGGTATCTTTTATGTTAAATATAAAATAGTTTATTTATAGACTTCTATTAGATCAAATGATACCCTACTTGTTTCAAAAGATGAAGAAACTTGTATATTAAAGTCTGCCAATACAAATGAAATAAATTATGCTTTTATGTTAGATACTATCACAAGAACGATTACAATGACAAAAGCAGGATATTTACTTCAAGTGACGCCATTCCTTGTTCGATTAATACAAGCAAATCAAATATTGGATGAATGGAAGCCACCTAAAGGACAAGAAATCAAACTTGCTAAAGCAAACAGTACAACATGTATTGTATGTTATGAAGATGGCATACTTGTTTATTTGGACTGTACTGGGAATACATTAAGAGAAATTTGGTATGAAACGAAAAACAAAAAAAAAAAAAAAGACTGTATAGTATACATTTATTCTTTTATTTGTATATTCATTTATATTCTTGACAAGTGTAAGGGATTTTGTAGATATTTCATGTATAAACATAAGTGTACACACAGAAAATGGAACACCCCATGACTATGTATTGATTAGTATGTTAACACAACCTAGAGTGATGATATTAAGATTAGAAACATTGAGTCCTATAATGGAGTTTACTTTGGAAAGTTCTATAAGAGCAGCAGATTTATTAATGATAAAATTAGAAAGTACACTCTATTTTATGATTTTATCCGGTAAGTACAAGAAGTTATATTCTGCTATACTTTATACATTGGTGGTAACAAGTTAATTAGGTGATGGACAATTACAAAGTTGTGAAATGCAGTTTAAAGAAAATAAGTTTATATGTCAGAAGAAGAAATCATCAACAGTAGGAACATATTGTACTGGCATGTATCCTTATTATCATACAGGTCAACAAAAGGTGTTTATTTCAGGCAGTCAACCTACTGTCATTACTAGCTTTAATGATACCTTGTTCTTTTCAACAGTTAATTTAAAAGTAAAATCTATAACACATATATATCTTGCCTTTTCATTCATTCATTCATTTTTTTTTTTAGAATATTCGTGGATTTTGTTTATTAAATGATCGCATCGTTTTAACAACAGATCATGGTATTTTATGGGGACAAATTGATGTACTTCAGAAGCTTCATCACACGAGAATTGATTTAGGAAATGATATGCCTACACGTATTCAATACATGAAACTAGCCAAAGCTTTAGCTGTCAGTACAATTTCAATTTGTAAAAATGAATTCAATGAATTGATAACACGAAAGGGTAAACTTCAAATATTAGACGCTTTAACATTTAAAGCCATGGATAGTTGTGAGTTACTTGAAAATGAAATTGTGGAAAGTATGACGATGGCACAATTTAGAGAGTATCCTAATCAAGAATATTTATTTGTGGGAACTGCTATTGAGGATACTGAAGAAGGAGATATCAATCATGGTCGAATCTTGGTATTTAATATAAAAGAAAATCAGAAAATTGAATTGATTGAAGAAGTTGAAGAACCAGGCGTAGTGTATAGTATAAAAGCCTTTCAAAATTCAGTAGTGGCTGGTATCGATGATTCTGTAAAGTATATGAACATGTTATTTGGACTTGTTACAAATAGTTATTGATTATTTTTGCTAGATCTATTGTCTCGAGAAATTTAGCCCAGATTTAAGAAAAGGAGATCGCATTCAATTTTGTTGTAATCGAGTAGAGAATGTATTACCTTTGCATTTAGATACAAGAGGGAATCAAGTGTTAGTAGGAGATCTTATGCAATCTATGTATGTATTAAGAGCGTCGAAAAATAATCCAGTTAAATTAGAATTAGCAGCCAATGATTCAGAACCTGCATGGATGACATCAGTTAAATTTGTAAATGATCGTATATATATTGGAGCTGATGATGGACGTAATTTATTTACATTATCTGCTGCACAGTCTAATAAAGAGAATGATACCAGTACACATGATAAAAATGGGAGCGTTATTAAGATGGAATGGAAAGGAGGATTTCATGTTGGCTCAATGATTAATCGCATGAGATCAGGTATAGATACAAAGTTTGAATGACCTGTATGTGTGTTATTAATCAACCAAGATAAATAACAATTAGATACCATTTCAAGTAGTGTAGTTCTAACAGGCTCCAATGTAAGCCCTTATGAAAATCCTTTTACATTTGTTACAGTGGCGGGATCAATTGGAACTGTGAAATCGATATCACTTCAATCATTTAAACTTCTTCGCATATTACAAGAAGGCGTTTTAAGTAAAAAAGAAAATATTGGAGGACTAAAATATCATGAATGGCGTATGTTTAAACCTAAGATTGGACTCAATACAAGACATAGTCCACATGTAGAAGCCAGTAACTATATTGATGGAGATATTATTAATGAGTGGATTCAATTACCAATAGAAGCCAAAAAAGAAATCATAAGTCAATCTCCTGTATTTAGTGAAAAGACTATAAAAGACATTGATCAGTTTGTTCATAGTTTAATATATTAAATTTTTGTATGTATATTAAAAGATAGTTTTGACTATCTGTTTTATAAATGAACAAAGAAAGATAATGAATACACATAAATAGTATGAAACATGTATAATGAAAACAAAGGGAATAAAACATAAGATCAAGTTTGTTGTAAAGATTGACGATATTCATGACTTTAAACATCTTGAAGAAGAAGAGTCCAGTGAACTACACAATAGTGATTCCACTACTATTGACATTCTTCAAATCCATGAAATGTAAAACCTTGATACAACAATAAGTATCAAAAGAAAAGGTCCCACAAATAATACTAAAACAAACAAACAACTTCAAAATGTTTCATTCTTGTTCCAAAAAAAGGAGAACAATGCTAAATAACAGTCCTCAGGGGCTTTTAATTGTTATTTATCTAATGTACGAATATTACATAACAATTAATGAATTTATATGCACTTGAAAAAAAAAAAAGTTTATAAATAATATATACTTTTACTATCTTATTTGCATCTTTTCTTCTTCTTCTTTTCTTCTATTATACAAAGTAAAAACAGAATATGAATATTATTAATAAGCATATCTCTACTTTAAGTACATTATGGTCATCACTTGATATCGATCATTTTACAATTGATAAGAAGCTTCAGGTAACCCATAAAGTATAAAATAATTCTGATTTAAATGTATAACTTAATATATGCAATTATTAGCCTATCATTAATGATTTTGAAAAGTTAATATTTAATGAAAAAAAAGAAAAGGATTTATTAGCTGCTACTATTGAAGATATCAAGGTAATAAAACAAATCATGCTTATTCTATTACAACAACAAAACTCATATATATACATAAATGTATTAATTAGGAAAGTATTGACTCTGCATCTCAGTTATTAGGCGTATCTGTAGACTGTATGGTCTATTCTACTATTGATAAAGATAATCATATCGTTGTTTCACCTATCATTCGTAATGAGTTTTATGATTTAAGGCCAACCTATTCTAAATATAAAGCTTTATCAGAGCTTAACTCTAGATTAACTTATGTATGAATACGAATAGAATTATATCTATTCTAATAAATTAATAATGCTATTCTATATAAATAGGAGGTAGCCATTAGAAAGCAACACTTGAAAACATGGCTCTTTCATATTCAAATACTATGTAAACAATTATGTTTACCTTACAAGTTTAAGACAATTCAAGTAAATCTATCCATCCCTGTATTTATATACACATATCTACATATAGAATTATTCCTATTTACGTATGTTTGATTTGTCTAGGAATATGAAGAAAATGATCTTTCTTGGGCGACGATTCAAGCTGTAAAATTATACTCTATATATCTTATATATCTATATCCAATAATACAATTATACTCACATTTAGATACTATAGATCAGCTTGGAATTATATAATTTAAGATCACTCAAAGTATATATCATTCTTTAATATATATGTTATAACATACATATTTATTTTGTTACTTGTAGGCAACGTGTATTAAACAGTTAAACACTTGTATTCAATCTATTCAATTTTATTATCATTTGCTTCAATATAATCCTCAAAAAGAGAATTATATGTCGACTTTAAATCCTCCTAGTGTCTACCATCAATACATTCTAGCCACTTTATTTGAAAATCATCCCTTAAAATCAAGGAATTCTAAAGTCATTGATATTAATACTTACTTGAATGATTTACCAAATCCTATCAACTACTACATGCAACCATGTATTGCAGATCATCTTAAAAACGATTTAGTTCGTCAAGACACATTGAATCAATTCAGTCAACATGTCACAAGTCTAAAATCATTATATGAAACAAGATGCAGATCGTATCGATATTCAGTAAATAAAATAAAGGCTTTATGGGAAGAATTAGAGATCCCGATTGCGAAGAGATCTGTTCTTCCCACCTTTTTAGGGAAAAAAAGTATATTAGTTGTAAGTAAATAAATAAATATATTTGAACTGATAACTATACACACACAGAATAATGATGTATGATATTAGATTAAACAAATAGTGGATAAAGTTGAATATTTGAAAAGAAAACACTTTAATGAATATTTTCAACAGGTAAAAAATATATATACATCTATTTGTATTCAGTAGATGAAATATAACGGTATCACTTATTAATTTAACAAAAAAAAAAAAAAGCTTATATTAGAGTTAACTCCTTTATGGGATAGTTGTTTCATTATTGAGACGGAAAGAAATGAGTTTATATCTACGCTGTATAAAAAAAGTATATATTAATATTTATTATACTTTCTTGTTTGTTATTCATGTAATACCCTTTTATATATATATATATTTATATTTATATGCATATTAGATGTCAAATCAGAGATTAAATTAGAAGTAGAACGTCATATGACAAGTCTTAAGCAAGTGCAACATATGGCAAAAGCCCTTCACTTATTCATTCAAAAGAGAAAGGATTTAATTCAGGTACAAAATAAGATAAGATAAAATGAAATAAAATGAAATAATTTTATTTTTATAGGAAATGATTGATTTTGAAAAGACTGCAACTGATCCCAAGAGACTCTTTAAGGCTTCCTTTCAATTAATAAAAGAAGAAAAATGGCGAAAGTCTTGCTATCCTCGCTTACTTCGATTAAATCGACAATTGATCAAATCAATTCAAGAATTTGAACGATTCACTGGTAAATTTTTAATGCTAGGCTCTGTCCGTTACATAGATACTCTTGTAAGCTTATTTATTATGTTAAATAATATAAACACAATGATTTAAATGATTTTATTTAGCATGCAGAAGTGAAAGACAAAGAAGCGAAACAAACCTTTTTCGGCTCCTTGAATAATTCAAATATTACTTTAACATGTACCTGTATTCAAAATTAGAGGACATCATATCTTTTATTTATAATAACAAAATATAAATGCAAGTAGACGTTATATTATGAACTCTGTTGAACTGTATTATACAAATAAACAAATAAACAAAAAAAACATCCCAGTTAAATATTGTATACCATACATTTATATTTGAATTGATGTGTAATAATACTTTAGTTCAAAATGAGACTATTTAATATAATTGCTCCTTATAAACAAAGTTCGAATTAATGAAGACTTTTTATTATATAATTATTAGTAGAACTAACACCTTCTTGAAGACCACTACTACTACTACTACTGCTGCTGCTACTACTACTGCATAGAATTATGAACAAGACAAAAAAAAACTATCATTCAACAATAACGTCTCTGAATTAGACATTAAAAGTATATACGCAATGGAAATAAATATACTTGCTTTTCTCTGTTTAAATAAATTTATGCTTTGTGTACTTCCAAGTCGTATTTGAAACAATTCTATTGATAAATATCTCATGTCTCTGTAAACATCACTATCTTGTTTTGACGATTTTGTTTACCTATCTTGCTTCACATTGGTTTTCTAAAATAACGGGTTTTATCTTTATATCTTTTTTTTTCTTTACATTTATTGGTGGACTCAGCTTGGGTATACAAATATATAGCTTTGTTTCCCCTTATACGTATTAAGAACAATTTAATGAATATTCTATTTTGATTAAAAAAAAAATGGATATCCGTCCCTCCAATGCAGCTTATATATAAATACATGTATCTTGTATTTAATTCCAAGTGATGTATTGTTTTTAGCTGCTCTATCAATTATGCTAGCATCCAAACAAGATGAAACAATTCTTTGTATACTACATTAAGAATTGTTGTACGTAAAATCACATTGCCACAAAAATATACATAAAAAAAAAACTTGTGTTAATTTTTTTTTAAAAAAAAAAGCAAGATTTTTATTGCCCTCTCTTTCTAGTAAAGAAAAAGTCATGAAAAAGAAGAATAACGAGAATTACATAATAATTATAGCATATATGCTGCTACTAAGTTTATATATAAATATACAGTTTATTATTTCATATTAAGCAAAGAAAAAGAAAAAGAGAAAAAGAAAAAGAAAAAAAAAGAAAGTAAGAGGAGGTTGTCGTGTTCTTCTGACGGTTTTGTTCGTAGTAGTAGTAGTTAGTAGTTGTAGTTAGTAGTAGCATAATAAGTAAATAGGAGTTTAAATTATCTCGATATTGATTCTGTTTCTAGTACTTTAGTATAATATAAAGTGCATGAACTAAAAATAAACAAAACAGTGTCAATAGACAATTCCCAGTAAACCAAAAAAAAAAAAAAAAAAAAAAATAAATAAATAAAAAAAAAATACTTACTGATACCAGGAATATAACCAAGACAAGTCAAACCAATATTAATTAAAAGATCAATAGTACATCCTCTTTCAAGAAAGACGCCAAGAGGTGGTAAAATAACAGCTGAACAAAAATAAAAATTATAAGTAACCCTCTCCCATTTGACAACATTTCTTTTCAAATACTTTACCAAAAATAATTTTACAAATATCTGAAGCAGTAAAAGCCATTGTGGGAAATAGAGATTATTATTATTATAATTAAAAAAGAAAAAAAAAAAAAAGAAAATTTTTGTATGAAAAAAAAAGCGTTCCATTTTATATAAAATTTCCGTATATGCGGTGTAACAGAAAAAAAAAACGTCATAATTTTATTTATTTTTTCTTAAATTAGATACTGTTTAGAGTTTTCCAAGCATCTAAACGCCAAGGTGCCATCATAATTGACCTTTGAGCATATTTCTTTGACTTTGCTTGATCTTGATTATTTGCTAAAGCAGCATACTCATAAGCTTCTGATTGTAAACGTGCAATATATGATTTATGTGACATAACGAGTGAACTAGAAGCAATCACTTGTTTTATCGAATGATCATTGTCTACCATTTCTTTACTTAAACGAGACCAAACTAAGCCTAACCAAGGTGTTTGATGAACACTTTTTATCAAGGCACGCATAGATCCTATATTCTATAATAATAATGACGTCATTTAATTTTTTCTTTTTTTTTTTTCTTCCTTTCTTTGTTTTGTTTTTCTATCACATGTGAAACAAAATTACCTTGAGTTTATAGAATTTTGAAAATAACCAAGAAATTAATTGTTCTTTGTCCGACTCATCTGTAAATTAAAATATTGAATTAATAATTATAACAGTAATAAAAAGAGAGAGAGAGAGAGAAAAAAAAAAAGAGGCAAGCTATTGTGATATATTTACATGCAACATGGGCAGGTACTTTAGCTAATTCTTGTAAAGCAGCTGTTGTAAGTGTTTCATCATCTTCAAGTATACCCATGACACATAAAGAGAAAATAGCTGGTAAATAAGTTGGATTCTCGGTAATGCTAAGAAAAATTAAGAAAAAAATAAATAAATAAAAAAAATCAATCAATTATTATTAATTTATACCAAGAAAATAATTGATCTTTTGCAACTGATCTTTGTTCTTCTCCACCTAAAGCCCATAGTACTTTACTTAGTAATACAATCACATCTTGTCGTAATTCAATGTCATCTACGGTTGCATTCAGCGCCATTTCAAACATGGATAGTGACTCTGGTAATTTATCAAGGAAATAATAGGCAATACCAGCATTTAATTGTGAATACACACTCAATGTATCTCCAGCATGATTAGCCATGATACGAATGGCTCCTTCAAAATCACCTGCTGCACAAAGGACACGACCTAAATTAGCATGTACCTTAAAAAGTCGTTCATCCTTATTTTCTTCCTGTGAATTGGACTCTAAAGCAAGGATAGCTGACGCAAAGGCTTCAGCAGCTCTTTCATATTGTCCTAAACGCTCTAATAATAATCCTAATAAATTTAAAGCTACAGCATCTTTGTTTTCCTTTTGTGTTAATTTTTCAAGTGCAAAAATAGCCATGACAACTGCATTACTATCATTAGGGTGTTGATAATAAACGGTAGAGGCATAACCATAACTAGCCTCTATGGTTGCAAGTGCATTTGAGGAACCGTTTGACATAAATGCATGCTCAAAAAGATCTCCTGCATCTGTCTTCCAAAGTGACGCAGCATAAGCTTGTCCAACCCAGGCAGAGATCCATTCAGGATCTAATCCATGTGCCATTTCAAAGGCTTGATTTGCTAATTCATAGTCTTTACAGGTTAAACAAAGGAATCCATAATTAGTCCAAGGAATGGCGCTTTTATTATTGAACTCCATTGCTTTAATAAAAGCATATTGTGCCATTTTTAACATCTTTTGATCTTCTTTCTGACTCATCGCAATCACACCGAGTGTGTTCCAGTACATGGATTCAATAGGCTCAAGCTTCAGAGCCACTTGTACACATCGAATAGATAATTCTATAGATGATGTTGTAGGTTCTAATAAGCCAAGTTGATAATAGACAAAACCTAAATCATGCCAATAAGCTGGTGCAATCGCTTGATGATTTTTAGACAATACAATGGCTTGTTTGTAAGCATAAGCAGCACAAGAAAAGACGATGGTCAGGGCTACAGTACCATCTAAGCTATTTACATCTTCAAGAGATAAAAATTCATTTAACCAATGATGCGTCATATCATTATTTAACTTAAGAGGATCTATCGTGTCTGACAAATGAATTATCGCCTGAAGTAGTTCAAAATTACATTCTATCACATGTTGTGGTATCTGTCGATAAAACATGCAGGCATCACCTATCAATTTCCAAAACATCAAGACGGTTGCATCTTGTTTAATACCTTTCAAACATGTAGTAAGAACATGATGACAACCATCAGAGGAGCGGCCAAAGAAACCAGCTTGAAAATCTTCTTTTGCATGTTCAAGATAGGCTTCTGCAAGACCTACTAAGCTAGGAATATAATTGGGTTTATCTTGCTGTTCAGCAAGTTGAAGTGTCTTTTGAAATCCTTGAATAGCATCATCGAGAAGACCAACCTTCTGTTGTACTGTAGCTTGTTCATGATGAGCATGAATGGAAGTTGGGTCAAGTTGAGTGGCACGTTGAAAGGCTTTAAGTGATGCTACATAACGTCCTGCTTTTGAATAGGATTCAGCAAGCCCTTCCCAACATCGCACATCACTTGTATCTGTACGTAAAGCTTTTTGAAAACATACAATCGCTTCATTATATGAATGTGTATTCTATTGAATGAAAAAAAAATAAGTTAAATATATATGTATATACATGTATGAGTGTGTGAGTGTGTGAGTGTGTGTGTGCGTTTACCATATGAATATAGCCCATTCGTCTCCAAGCCCAACCTACTTTAGGACATGATTCAGTCATTTGAATAAAAATAGCTTCTGCTTTATCTTCTTCATGCTCAGCAACTAAATAATCTGATAAATGGAAGGCAGCATCCGAATCTAAAGTATTTAGTGCATATGCCTTTTGATAACACTTCTTAGCTCTGCCATGATCTTTCTTTATCTCTCGATAATAATGACCCAAGTAAGTGAATCCGCTAGCAAAATAAGGATCTAACTTGACTGCTTGCATGAAATAGTTGAAGGCATTTCCAGTATCTTTTTTTAAAATAATAATAAAAAATGGTTATACATTTTATTTATAATTAAAGTGTAACTTAATTCTTACCTTCCATAGACCAATATATACGACCAAGACGATAATAGTAATCAGCTATGTTATTTGCCATTTCAATTGCCTTTGTTGTATACTGAATAGCTGACTCGTAATCTCCTTTTTCATAGCAAATCCAGCCTAATTCAATAATTGCTTTGTGATTTAAAGGATCTAGTTCCTCGTTAATTTTCTTAAATTTTTCCATTGCCTCGTCCCATCTCCTTTCTTCAATTAAAATAAGACCTGTGCCCTCTAATGCTTCGACTTCATCCGGATTCCTTTGCAAAATTTGCTTATAAAGTGTCATAGCATCTCCGTGATATTTTTTATCAAGTAATCGATAACAATGAGCCATACAGATCTCTAATGAAGTCACTGCATTCATCATAGAATATCCAGTCTCTAATTTGATTTTTCTGGCTAAATCTCTTCCTTGAGTCGCATATTCTAAACTTGTTTCGTATTCTTTAGATTCATAATAGATTTGGCTGACACAAAGATGTCCAAATAAACTATTGGGTACCAAATCAAGCCCCTCACTAAAATAATTGAAAGCTTCATCCATATTGTCAGATTTATAGAGTTGATAGCCTTTGGCGAGTTTAGCCAACCCATTATCAGGAAATCGATCGATTAACTCATTTAATAATTCCCAGTTATATTTGTCTAATAAAGCAAAAAAAAAAAAAAAAAAAAAAAAAAAAAAAGAATTAATTTCGCTATCTCTTTGCTCTTAATATTTATATGTACCTGGTGAACCAACATTATTAAATTCAATTAGAAGTTGAAGAGGTAATGAATCTTGTGTAGATTTTAATTTTCTTGCTAAAGATATCATTTTTTCATATACCTAATAATATATATAAATGTGTATTCATGTACTCGACAAAGTATAAAACAGTTTTTTTTTTGCCATACCTCTGCTTTGTGCTCTTTATCAACCCCTAATAACCTTTTGGAATATAAATGTAACAACCTTAATTCCCAAAACTCTCGTTCTTCTTTATCATCTGATGTTAGTAATTCTAATACAGTTTCGTACATGCGATCTAATTTAGACAATGCATAAACTTCGCCTTCCACCTCTTTCAAGATTTGAGCTGGTGTTCCTGCATTCATTCTAAATCGTCTCGATTTTACTTCTTGTTGTATCTGTTGTTCCTGTTCCTTTTCAATTTTTGCAATAATGGTCTTCCAGATTTCAATTTGAGGCGGTAAATCGGGCTGATCTTTAATGAGATCATAATGTGGACTAAGAGGTAAAAAAAATGACTTTAATAACTCGAGATGTCGATCTTCGTCTTGTTGATCCTTGTAAACTTTTAAAAGTTTTTTTAAATAGTCTGTTAATCTAGCTCCATCGCCACTACATCAAACGGAGCATAAAAGTGAGATGATGTCAAGTTTATAATGATGTATTTTTTTTTTTTTATACTTTTTAATAAGTCGTGGTATCAGTTGATTAATCGTCTTTGCTAAAAGATCTTGTTTGTTTCGCTTTTCATAAAAACTGACAAGACCTTGCCAAGCCAGCATGGTTTCTGGATTGATTTCAATCGCTCTTTTATAAGCTTCTTCTGCCTCTTCATCATTTTCAAGACCTGTATAAGCAACACCTAAAAATACCCATCTAATAAAAAAAAAAAAAAAAAGAAAAAGAAAAAATCCTCAGTTTTCAGTTAATGTCACAAAATTCATTTCAATCAATTGTCTTTTATATATACGCGTTGTAGTTTTCGCCCTCCCATAATAATACACGTTTGCATGCTTTGACTGCTTCATTAAATTCTTTTTTTCCAATGGCTTCTCTTGCAGTTTTCAAATCTGCTTTTGAATTCATCATGTATAATTACAGAAAAAAAAAAAAAGGTGAATTATTATGTGTTTAGAATGGATATAGAGTGGAGCGTCAAAAAAAAAAAAAAAAAAAAAAAAAAAAAAAAAAAAAAAAAATATTGTGCTAATTTTTATACTTCCATATTTTTTTTTTTTTCCCTTTCCTTAATTTAACATTATGAGAATTTATTTCAGTTTGATATGTATAGGTTTACTTGCTTTAATAACTTTATGTAAAGCAAGCATTCATCAATTAACAGATGAAAACTTTTCTACTCTTGTTAAAAAGGAAGATGAATGGTTAATTGATTTGTAAAGCTTGTATAAGACATAGAGTGTGAACAAGGATAATAACGATTATTATAGTTATGCTGATTGGTGTGGTTATTGTAAACGCTTGGAACCAAAATTTTTAGCAGCAGATCGTTTATTGTCTAAAATCGAAAATAATAATGTTAAATTAGGATGGGTTAATATTGAAGATAATCCTGGTTTGGCGGCTCGCTTTTTCATTTCTCGCTTACCTACTGTTGTACATATTAAAGATCATCAAGGTAATAATAATAATAATAATAGTACATGCCCTCTAGTTTAAACCTTTTATTATGTATAGTCCGTATTGTAAAACGTATACAACGAGATGCAGATATTGTTAACTTTATTACTTTTGAAGAATGGCGTAACGTGGATCCTAAATCAAGTTTAATGTCACCATTTAGTCCATTGTAAATACTAATGAGTTATATATATATATATGTATAATATAGTCTAATAATATCTATTGTTAGCGGTAAAATGGTAGGATTTACAGGAAAAGTGGTTAAAAAATTATCGTCCTATTCTCCTTGGACAATGATAGGTATCTTGACTGGATTCCTTATTTGTGCTATCAGTTTACCCATTATTTTGACTAAGAAACAACAACAATTCGTAAAAAATAAGGATGACCCTATACAGAACACAAGTAAGAAGAATACAGCATTGCGTGCAAGAAATAAATCAAAACGTATAGATTAAAATGAAAGAGTATTCAACTATTTATTACATAATAATATCAGGGTTCAAACAATAAAACAAACACGCTTAAACTTTAAAAGACCCTCCCTTTTTTCTTTTGACATATTTTATAGAAATAGGATTCAATTGTATATACAATGCTGTTACTATAAAATTCCTTTTAAAACATGAAATTTTTTGGATTTATCAATACTGGACAGCGTAATTGATAAATATTATCAAAATTATACAGTTTTCATAAACATGTTCACTTATTTCTTTCTTTAATACTTGTGATGGAATAATAATAAAATTTACAAATTAGGAAACAATAAGTGAGTGTCATTCTTCTTCTTCTTCTTCTTCTTCTTTATTACTATTTTCTTCTAACCAACGTTTTTTCACTTCTCGTTCCTTTTCAGCTTTTTCTTTCTTCTCCTCTTCTGTTTCTTCAGGTAACCCAAGCTGTCGACGTAACCTTCTTAACTCCTCATTCATTTTCTTTTCTTTTTCATCTTTTTCTCTATTTTCCTTTTTTAACCGTAAAATATATTCATATGCATGTTGTAATAAAACAACTTTACTCATCTGTTTTACATCCTTTTCCTTTTCTCTACGCAATTCCTCATCATCTTCACTACCGTTAGCCAGGATGGCTTCCATGATTTCTGAACGTAATGAATCAAAGCTCTGCTTAAGAGTATCACGTCGCTTTTGCTCTGCTGCTTTATGCGCAGATCGTCGTGTTTCAAGACCTGATTGAATCGTTGTTGCTGAGGCAGGGGAAAATAAATCAATGCCTAATAAGCTCTTCACGACTTTACCACTCCCTTCTTTTAAATTTTCATAGTTAGATTTAGCTGTCAGAATGGCACGTGCTGCTTCTTCTTCAATGCTCGAAAGTCGTTTACCATTAGGTTGAAGTGATGGTGAAATAAGGGGTTTAAGAGCTCGAGGTGAAGGCTGTAAGGCTCGAGGTGATGGCTGTAAAGCATGAGGTGACAGTAATGATTTGTTTGGTGATAGCCCTGGTGACAATCCTGGAGAAAGTCCTGGTGATTGTTTAACAATTGGACGTCGACGCTTTTTACTTTTAACAGGAGGCTGTAGGATGGCAGCAGGTAAAACAGGCATATGGTCAACAGCTGTCGTGGATGATGATGATGATGATGACGACGATGTCGACGATGACGATAAATTATTAGAAGCGGGTAGTGGGGCTTGTGTACTGGCTTGAGTGTTTGTTACACCACCTAGTTTCATTAATAATGAGGGAGTAGCTGGTGCAATAAATCCGCTATTTGTGCTATTATTTGTTTTTGATTGAGATTTATTGATAAAGGTTGTACGAGGAGTCATTGGTTTTAACGCAAGTGGACTACTACCTATTTTCTCACTAGTAGGTTGCGGACTAGTTGTAAAAGGTGTTGAAACAACCACTTTTGTTTGTTGTGATTTATTTTTATTACTGTTTAAAATAGGTGAGGATCTTAGCTGATTATGCATATTTTTAAGCTGTTGCTGTTGCCTTTCAATAAAGGCGAGTTTTTGTTGTAAAATAGACGATTGCTCCATTGTAGAAAAAGGATTTAAAGCGGGGGATGTTAAAGGTGAAAATGTTGACATAGTATCATGATTAGTATTATTTGATAATGCTTGATAATTATTATATGTAGGTGCTATAGCAGGAGATACTAATGGTGTAAAAAATTCCTAAAGAAAATACAAAGTTGGTGAATTACTTTTTTTTTTTTAAACTGGTATTTACATCTTCATCGACAAAGTCATCTAGAGAAAAATTAGTTGATGATATGGGATGTTGTAAAGGGGTAGTATAAACATTCATTGTAGTATTATTTTGCTGTTGTGCAATTTGTAATGGAGACATGTTACTAAATTCAGGATTGTAGCTAGATAGAGCACTACTTCCTGTAAAATTACTATTGTTCACATCTGGACTTAACTGAGGTATATTCACGATTGATCCATTATGACCTTGTAAATTATTGTCTTGAATAATAAAATTAAGTAAATCCTCATTATTGCTATGGGTTGACATGGATGTTGCATCATTAAATGTTAAATTATTTTGATTATTATTGCTGTTTAAGTGAAAATATGTCTGTTTATGTATATTATTATTAGTATCCTGAATATAAGAAGATGTAAGATCCATAATTAAAAGTGAATTATAAAGAAAAGATGCAGTTTATTGAAAGGGTTTTGTTTTTTTTTTTTGTTTTTTTGTTTTTTTGTACAATAGATAATGATTGGTTCAAATAAGTGTTATAGATGAATGGTGTGCACTTAGTAGATATAGTCCATCTTTCCATTTTGAACGACGCGCAACAATCTTCTTTTCCTTCTTTTATTTTCAATAACATTCTCGAACGTTACAAAAAAAAAAAAAGGCTCTTTTGCATTATTCTTATTACTTTATATAATTAATACCTTTTTTATTTTATTTCTTAACTTGTATTTTTATTATTCATTATATAAAAGATGGCGGAAGCATATTCAGGCTTAAAAGTATTTGTTTTATTACATTCCGGTATTAAATTAGACGGTATTGTTTCCCAAGTGTTTCCTTCTAGTCATCAAATGACCTTAAAAGATGGTAAAAAGAAACTGAGTAAAAGAAAAACTCTTTTATTCATATTAGTATTAAAAATTACATATTAGTTACTTTACACATACCTGGACAACTTCCTCATTTTACACCTATTTACGGTGTTATTGGAAAGGATATTAAAGATCTTCAAGTGCTTGCACCAACAACGCCCAATGTACAACAAACGTTACCAATAGATAATCACATACTTGATCAAATACCTTCTTCACACCCACCAACAAAGGTATATTTAAAAACGAAAGCATGACTCTTTTTTTTTTTTTTTTTTTTTTTTTTTTTGTTTCTTTCTAATATATTAAACCATATCATAAAAAGACTGTAACGACTATTAAATCAACTTCAAAAAGTAAAGTAAAGACATATTCATAAAAAGAAAAAAAAAAAAGAAATAATTCATTTTTTCTTTTTAGCTCGAAAAACAAAGCAACAAACAAATAATTGTCGAAAGAAGAATGGCTGGGCTGGTGAAGATGTAAATATATTTAGAGAAGAAGAATTTGACTTTCAAAAGAATTTAGATATGTTTGACAAGGCAAAAGTATTTGCAGAGATTAGTGTAAATTAAGTCAAATATATATTATTATTGTCCTTTTTTTAATTATTATTAAATTAAGGAATCAGATGAAACTGCACCAGAAGATTTATTAGTGACTTTAAATCGATTGCCTCAAAAGAATCAAACTCATTTATTACCTACAGAGAATGTGTTAGGTGTAGAACGTGTACCTCTTTACGATATGACTACAACACGGCACAATAATAAATCAAAAGATAAAAAGAGACAATCGGTCAAGATTGTTACTGCTCAAAATGGAAATATTCAATGTTCTGCAATGACTCCACTTCAAATGACTCAAGTAGAACATGAATGTGATAAAAAGATCATTCAGATGAATCAAAAATCATGCTTTGAGGATGTCGTTATGGAGAATGGAGGTCGAGGTGCTGCTTTATTAGTCTTGCAAATCTTAAATCGTATGAATATTGTATCTTCTCCTTCCATTGTTATCATGGTTGGACAGCACGATAAAAAGGGGTGTGTTGGATTAGTGGCTGCACGTCATTTAATCAATCATGGATGTCATGTGACAGTTTGTATAGAATCAGGTATAACGAGTGATGCTACATTACAATATGAAATAGCAGCAAGACGGTATGGAGCTCGTGTCTGTCATCATATTCAAGAATTAGGTGATAGTTATGACTTGGTGATGGATGCAATAGTAGAGATTGAAGAGATGAGTCATAGCATCTATGATATGATAGATTGGGTAAATGATCAATCTAAGCCAGTACTTTCAATTGATTTCCCTAGTGGTGTAGATGCAACTACAGGTAAATAGAATAGAATATATGAAGAAGATAGAGTCATGGAGGATTAACTCTTACTATTATGAATACAGGTATACCTTATCAACCTGAATACGTTATTCATCCAAACTGGACTTTATGTCTTGGTGCACCTAAAACAGGCTGTAAATCACATGAGATTACAGGAGATTTATATTTAGTAGATATTGGTATACCCAGACTATGTTGGAAACATATTAGTGTCAAAGGGAATATGGTACCATGGGGTGCTGATTTTTTAATAGCCTTGGAATATGATAAATAATAATAAAGAGTAAAAAAAAAGAGAGAGAGAGAGAGAGATTGCTTATCTATTATAATATACATGTATATATCTTTTATTTTGTATGGATAAAGGTTTTAATTGAATGAAAGTGAACGAATATCACTTTCTTTTGGGCAATTGAAGACAGTGTTATTATTAAATAGTGGGGGTAAAGTAATTGAATCATCAGTATCTTTTAAAGCAAACAAGGAAGGTGTATCATGATGTTTATCAGTAGTAGTAGTAGTAGTAGAAAAGGGATGATTGGGTTGTTGATCAGTCAAGGTATCTAATGATGAACATGAAGATTGTGATGAAAGCATCGATTGTTCTTCATTCTCTTGTTTTTCTAACTTTCGTCGTTTATACCATTGATGTTTTCTTTCTTGTGCCTTTAATTTACTTATTTCCTTTGTCAGTCGTTTCTTTGTCTCTTCAAATTCAACTAATTCAGCTTCTAGTGCTAATTGAGAGAGTCGATCATGATCTGATGACATTGCTTTCTTTTGGTCTTTATAAATATTATTCCTTGATTGAATTAGTGTATCTAGATGATATTGTAAATCTCGTATTTTAGCACATCGTTGATCTGATGCACGTTGTGCGTTTTCCTCTCTCTTTTTACGAATGGCTACTAAATGATGTTGTGTTGATGTTGTCCTATTATTGTCAAAAGACGATGATGATTTAGAGTTGGCACTATAAAGTTTGGATCGACTCGAACCTCGTTTATATCGATAGCCTTCATCGAGTAACTTTTTTTTCGCTAAATCAAATAGGTCACCTCGTTTCTTGGATATCAGTATAAGTGGGTTTTCGAGAGCGATTTGAAGGGAGGCATGATTGATAGCTTCTTCATAGGCAGTTAAGGGACGACGATTTTTGTTTTTACCATAAATAATGGAATTAGATTGAATAAATTCGTAAGTTAAAAAGGAGGAGAAGAGTGATCTATCTGGCGTCTAATAATAATAAGGTTGGTTAAATCATAATAATATAAGATTGACATATTTGCTTTTACATTATCCGTTCCTTTTTTGTATTCTTTAATAGCTCTTTTTAATTGAATAACATGAAAAGGTAACATATCTATAGCTGATAAAAGTTCATTAAGTTCTTCATCGTTGAATTGAATGAGCTGTGACAAAGCTTGATTAGTAGCCCCTGCTTTAATGAAGGCTTCATAATATTGTTCTAATCCAATTGAATTCAAAAATGCGTTTAAATCTAGTTTTAAAGACATTTCTGTTAATAATAATAAAAGGGTAAAGAAGATTGATAACAGTTATTATGTATAGATAATATAAAAAGGAATAATGTTTCAAATAAAGGTTTATGTATTGTAGCAAAAATCTCGCATCAAATGAACTTTATAGACAGTAAAAAACGATGTGCGTCTGTCTTCATTTGACGATTATAAATTTTTTTCGTTTAATTTAGCCAATAAGATTTATTCATGACAATAACAACAGACATTATTAGTCGCCCTTTTTATAAGCTTTGTTATCTTATAAAAAGAAATAATTTTTACATAGCCTTTGTCAATAAATATATGTCATTAGCCTCTTTTGTTATACATCTTTGATAAGATTTATAGTATAGATGCTGTATTATCGAATTATAAAATATATAATAAACTTGTTTTATGACTCATTTTACAGGAAGCTGGACAGTATAAAGTCTCTTACATTATTTTGAAGAGCTTATCTTGATATTAGATTCCATTGAAGTCTTTTTACATACACATTAATTTAAACTGCTTCTTCTTTTGACTATCAACACGATTTGCCTGTATGTAATAAATTAGAAAGAATTATCCTACTTGATCTGAATTTACGGAAAGAAACGAAATATTATTAAGACTTGTATGAATCCTTATTTTATTAACTTTATGGACGAAATTTCTTCTTGAATATGAATATTTTCCCATTCCATATCACATAACAATCTTCCATTTTCTTGTATTACGTTTAAATATTTTTATTATTATTACATAATCTTTATGAGCACATAATACTAGGTTTTTTGCTCTAATTAGTTCAATAGAATAATAGAAAAAAAGAAACTAAAAGCCCTTGTAAGAGATAACAAAGTTGATCTAAAAAAGTTTGTTTAACAAGTCTTCATTTCATCCGAAAATATTGCACCAAGAAATTCGCTTCTTCCCCCTTGAGCCCATTAAGTGTTTATAATTTATTTATTTATTTATCTATTTTTTTTTTTAAAAAAAAAAGGAACTTCTCCGGGCAATATTGATATATAATTATCAGTATGCTCATTGGGTTTAATGTTTCTTGATAAACAAAATCTATATTTTAAATGTATTAAGAAGTTCGTCGTATATTTTTAAAAATCAACTCAAATGACAGTCTGGGAAACTAGGTTGGGCCAATAAAAAATTCAAAAATTAAATTAGGACAGAAATACACCCAAATGAAAATGAGACACAGATGCGAAAATAGGACAGAGTTGTGATTAAAGAGTAATTTAATTAAAGTAAAGACTATTGCGCACGTAGTGGCTATGAATACATTGTTTTGCCCTAGCTAGTTCTGAGTATTATTTTGTATGAAAAAAACCTCTTGCAAAAAAAGAGGAAAATGTATAAAAGTAAAGAGAAACAGAATCAGTAAAAGAAATATTTGAACTACTACTACTATGATTGATTTAACCAATTCACCAGTTTAATGCCAGAAATGATGAGTTCAAGAGGCGGTTTGTTGTGGAAGATATAGTCCAATTCGTGGAATATTCGGGCATACTACCGGCTAATGAACGGACCAAATGCAGGAAACTTTGGGACGGCGGGAGGTTTTTTTTTTTTTTTGGAAGGGAGCCTGTTCAGGATGAAGGGAAGAGGGTCAGGAATGGTGTGTGGCATTTGAAAGTGGGCATGCATGTCGAAGCAGATAATAGCATGATCCCAAGTAAGCCTTGAGTTTGAGTGGAAGACACAATGTTGCGGCTTGCCACCGGGAAGCCAACTAAGTCACCATCGACATATTATTATTTTGAATCAGGAATAATTGTAAGTTATGCTAATATTTAAAATAAAGACTGAGTCTGACTTTAACCGAGAAAAATGTCCTAAAAGTATAATTCAGACAGATCGATAGCTTTGTCACTTTAGAGTGTTTTCCATAAATGGTAGAATTTGCTGAAATTTGATACTTTATTAGTATATGTATATTCAAATCAAATATATGATCTGTCAGAAATATTTGCAACAACATGCTCCAGCACATTTTACCAGTCGACTGTAAAGTAGAGTAGTCCTTTTTATCTCCCTCAAATCTGTGGTGGCGTCTTAAAGTATTTTATTATAATAAGAATTGTTTACGTGGTAGAACTACCACCACACTGCAACGTGATATAAGTATAGTTCCTGTAATAAGTGACTGTACTCTTAGTGCCCGTGAGTTCCAGTTAACAACATTTTGTTCAAAATTGAATGGTTCAGCATCGTTTTTAATCTTCATTGACTGATGTTTAAGCAAAAAATACACACGATACTTCAAAGAGTTTGGAATCGCAAGAAGGAATTAAAAGAACAAAGTGAGACTTATAAAATGAAAATATTTGTATGCTCTCCTGACTTAACTCGCTTTATGAAACCTTATTTAGATAAACAAAAATGCAGCAATTGTGGCAAAAATGATCATCGATCCAAAAGAAGTAGTGCGTGTGAACAATATGCATCGTCATCAACTGCTGGTAGATATACATTATATCTCATAGCAGTGATAATACAATATTAGCTAACATATAACATAATGTAGTTGGAACAAAGAATACAAGGAAAGCTGAAACAGAAGAGACAAAAAGAAAGAAGAAGAAAATAAGAAAAATGCTCTCTCAAGGTGAGGGAAATGTACAAGTGTGCACAAGCTGTGGTCAACGAGACCATAACAGCTCAATGTCCTATGAATGTCCCAATTATAAGTTGACAAAAGAACAAGAAATGAAACTACTATTAGGGGACTATACCATCATTACAAGGAAAATAAAGCTGCCAACTATTTTGAGGGAAGGCTACAGATCTGCAATTACAGAAAAAATAACAGCAGTTTCAAACGAGATTCGCAACATCATCATACGTGCACAACTGTTTGTGAATTATTATATCGTAATACATGCAAGTCTAGTTGTGGACATGAAGGTCTTTTCCCAAAGCTTCTGGTATTGCATAGCTCAACTGGTCTTAAAAAAAAATCCTGAAAATATCAAGGCTTTACCCAAGGACTGTATAGCTTGCTGGGAGAGTTTTTCTACTAGATACAACAGCATCACATACGATATGGTTCCTGTAAATAGTTATTCACATTGCTTAACAGCCGCTTGTGTTGAACTCGTTACTACGTACACAAATGCCATTGTAGAAGTTTTTGAATCAAGAGTAAAGTCATATATGATGTATGAGATTTCAAAATTATTCACACAGATAAATTCGCACAAAATTAGATTATTATTTACAAACTGACCCATTAATTCCATCGCTATTCTAGCAAGTTTCATATAAGAAACAGTATTTACAACTATTGCTATCAATGTATCTGCAGTGGTTCGCCAGTCTGGCCCAATAAACTACCTGAAAAGTACAACGATAAAAAAATCAGACATTAACACAATATTGCGTGAATTATCGTCAATTGATATGCCCAAGCCTATTACTTTGATAAGTCTGTTTGCCTCTTCTGGAACCTATATACCCTTCTTAGCCCACATATTAAAAAAAAAGTTAACAATATCATGAAGAATCCCAGAGAAGTCCTGGCAGGCAAGATCAGCAAGATTGTATTTATCTCCCTCGTCTTTTTTTTCGTTTTTTCCAGTACCCTCCTTAAAATGGAGGTTCGTATCCATATATGCCAACGCTCTTTCTGCTTTTGCTAGGATCAAATTGCCTACCACTTATGAAGCCAAACTAGAAATGTTCAATACAGTGTTTGATTTCACAAGATTGAAGATAAATAGGTAATTACTATATATTGCTTCTAGTGTTGATGACTCACAATCTAAAATACACAGCTTTCAAGACCTCCAAAACCCGGATAGACAAAAAAAGATCACATTCTCAAATGTCATTAAAACCGATGGATTTTCAGCTGATGTGATTGTATTGCAAAAAATTACAAACAGTACAGATGAATACAGATACATATCTAGCAAAGACGTAGAAGTTTTCCAATTGGGAGATGCTATAAAGAATGAAAACTTGGCTGATGTTTCTCTTTGCGGGCTGGATCCCAGTCGATATCAGGTTTTTGCTGCTGCTTATGGGGAGGGTGATGAATCCCATCAAACCAGGTGATGCTCTACTAAAGAGTACTATACCGTAACAGGGTCTACAAGACACGCAAAGAGAGAAACAAAAAAAATGTCTCGAGAAAATATAGAGGATATACTTTTCAACATTCCTACAACCAAGAGAACTGTTCTTTCAAACTATTTGCAATACATAACTTATACCCTCTTACATCTAAACAGAATACTAGTATTTAACAACTTCTCAACTGCTGAAAGTCGCTTTCACCTATATCAGGGAATTCAAAAGGCCGGACAAGAAATGGCCAATGTCCTCATTAATGGTGGAAAAGAAATACAATAAGGCCAGAAGAAAGAACACAAAGAAGAAGAGGAAGAAGAGGAAGAAAAGAAAGAAGAGGAGAGACAAATAAGTTCCTCAGCAGACAAAGTGGGTATACTAGCATCAAAGCAGAGAGACAAACACTATATTCATTAACTATTATATCAGGAACACCAAGAAGCTTTGGAAGCCCCAACCTTTCAAATACGACAAGAGTAAATTACCTGTTATAGCTTTCGGAAATGGCATGTTCGGAAAAGATGGTGTACATTTGAAGGGTCTCAGGGTGGGAGTGACAGGAGTTCTTTACAAACAACTCAAAATAAGACAGAAATCAGGGGAACTTTTACTTGCTTCTGTAGATGAGTTCAAGACTTCAAAGGTACAACAAGATTTACCAAAACTGGTCAAAGAATAATTTATTAATGCTGTAAATATAGACCTGTCATACATGTCTTCAAACATGCTTGACTGATGCTTACAGTGGGTTGCACAGTGTTCAAGCTTGCCAAAGTTATAGAATAATGTGGCAACGCGACGTCAACGCGTCGAAAAATATATTCAAGATCTCAAGACAAGTGATTGGTGGTCATGGGCGTCCACGAAAGTTCACGAGAGAACAATAGGTCTTGTTTTTTTTATATCGCCGTCTCGTACACGGTTTCTCTTGTTAAAGAGATTTAGATATTTACAGGTATGCTGTATCTATTTTTTTTTTTTTTTTTTTTTTTTCGTCCAGAAAAAAATCTTATTCTCCTCTCTCCATTTTCGTATTCCTGTCCCAATTTAATTTTTGAATGACCCAATTATTTTTTTATTGGCCAACCTAGTTTCCCAGACTGTAAGACGCCACCCTCTTCTTATTTTATTTTACTTTACTTTTTTTTTATTTTTATTTTTTTTTTTGTCGCGTATACACATAAAATGGCAGAACGTAAAAATAAATACTGTATTATACTATATGCAACTTATTAATATATCATCTATCTAATAGCAGTGGAACTAGCTTCTGATTCACAACCATTGTCTATGAATGGTAAACGAAAAAAAAAGAAGTTGTTAATTTAAATTCTATGTCTTTAATTTCTCGTACTTTTTTTTTTTTTTTTTTTTTTTTTTGTTAGTCTTGAGCATCATCAATGATTCTCGAATGACATATGGTTTAAGACATCAAGACTTTCAGCGTTATCGGTAAATAAATAAAGTTGCTTATTCATCTTGAATGTTTTTCTTTTCCGGGAAGAATGCTTACTTTAGGATCAAATCTTAAACTTACACTTTCTTTTACATGTATATAGGGAATATTGTGCCAATCGAGTTCGTCGTCTTCGACAAATTCTTAAACTAAGTCAACCTAATAATAAAAAAGTAAATGTTTCTAAACCTCTTCCAGAGATTATCAATGATGTACGCTATCTACATTTGTTTGTCTTTGATGTTGAAAGAGCATGGTCTTATGCTATGGAACTAAAGCAAGAGTCAAGTAATAGTATGGAAACACGTCATCATTATCATATGATCAAACGACTTAAAAGAGCTAATCAATATGCTGAAACCCTATATCAGTTATGTACAAAACAAAATGTCGAGAAAAAAACTGTATTAGATGTTAAAGTATGTATTTCTTTTCTTTTTTCTTTAACTTTTCCATCCTTTAGAATGAATATTAAATGACTCTATTTCTTCTTTATCATTTATATAGGCATATGCTTCGTTAATGAAGGGCTATCTTTATTTTGAACAACAAAATTGGAAAGATGCCTTGTCCCAATTTATTGAAACAAGGTAAAAAAAAAAATTAAACGCAACATATAATTTAAGAGAGGACACTCATAAGCATTCTCCTTTAGAATAATTTATGACAGCTTTGCAAAATTAGATAGCACAACAGAACAAGAAGCACTTTGTTATGCTACAATTGATCAAATAGATCCTAATATTCGTTTTTGCGGTTATCGTCTTCATTTACCTGAAGGACAAGATGTTGAACGTATTGTTACTAACTATGCTGAACAAATGGTCGAATTGAAAGAACAACTTGATCTTTTAACTCAGTCATCTACCAAGAAGGAATTGAAACAGTTTAAATGGCGTAATAAGGACTTTACTATTAAACATCAAGATTTAGTGAATGCTATTACAAGAGCACAACAAGTAGAAAAAGATGAAGCAAAATTAGTACAAGCTTGGAGAGAAGCTGAAAAAGTAGCTAAAAGGGCAATCAAGGAAAATAAGATATCTACAGCTAAGGTGACCTCATCTAAATCTGCTAAAACAACAGAAGATTTACAACGTGCTTTTGCCTTTATTGAATATCACTTATTTGGTTATCTGATTCAACGTAATATACGACTTATTCATGAACAACAAAACAATCAACACATTATCAAGTTATATGATGATATTTTAAAGGTAAAAAAAAAAAAAAAAAAAAAAAAAAAAAATAGGGGCGACAAAGACAGCTTATTTAATAGTAAACTAATAATATGAATTTTGGAAATATTCATGTGTAGGATATTGAATATATTTGGGATTTACCTAATTTGAAGCAAGAGGATATATCGCTTGACAATGAATTAAATATTTTATCACTTTATTATAAAGGCCGTCGATGTGTTCAAGTAGCAATTACTTATGCAGACATGAACAAGGTAGTAGAATCACTTGCACTTTATCAAAAGGCTCAGACTTATCTTGTTCAAGCTAAACAACTCAAATTGAAACAACAAGCAGTTGAGAATGTTCATGATGATGATAGTACTTTATATTTACAAGTGACAGATGCTGATATTTCAAATTTGGAACAATCGATTCAATCAGGAACATGGAAGTCACGCGCAACATATTATCTTGAACATGATACAGATGAGCATCAGCTTGTACAAGAAATGGAACAATTGATGGATGATGACTATCTAATGGATGGATTAGATTCTTATCCTAAGCATATTCAACGTCATCATCTGGTTGAATTTCCACCTCAATTCAAGCCTGTTGCCTGTAAGCCGTTTTATTTCGATTTAGCAGCTAATTTTGTTCAATATCCAGAACAAGCTCTGAAGGAGCGTATTGCGACAAAGAGCAGTGGAGGAGGATTTTGGGGACTCTTTGGTGGTGGTAGAAAATAAATAAATAATAACTGTGTTTTAATTCTTAATAGTGATTTAGTCTGTCCGGCTTTTTTTTTTTTATTTATTTATTTTTATTTTATTTTATTTTTTTTTTCCTTGCCTTTTTATAAATATATTATTCTACTATGAATAATGAACAAGATATTAGTTTTAGTGCTGCTTGGCTTGAGGGCAAATTAACTGATGAACAGGTTAATCAACTCACGCCAGAACAATTAAAAAAGTAAAATAATAATAATAATAATAAAAAGTACGCTATACAAGAAAATAAGTGAATCATCTACTTATACTATAATTGTAGTTATAATTTGCAATTAGAATATAATAAAGAACATAAAGGTAATCGAGATGAATGCAATATACTATTATTAATTAAAAAAAAATAACTTGACCTTACATGTGTTTACAATATATAAGGTCATGAATCACAACATGAATTGATGGCCATTATATTATTATTTGCTTTGTTTGCTTCACAATTCTTAATTTTATGGTGGAAAAAGAAACATTATAAATCATATCAAACTGTAAGTTTAGCTGGTCTTTATTTCTTTCCTGTATTGTTTGGTCTTTATGCAGGATGGTCAAGGTTTTTAATCTTTTGGACACTATTTTCACTCTTAAACGGCTTTGGTAATAGAATGTACATGTATATAAAAATATACATATATAACATCTGACTTAAATTACTGCGATTAGTTATTTATAAGGCAACAAGACAACCTTTAGAAGCCATGACGCCACGCATGGTCTACAAATGGTATACAGTGGTTTATAACGTATCATTTGTGATTGGATTAATAGGTTATTGTGTCATTTTATTTGTCTTTTTTGGATTATCAGAATTGTTTGGTATTGGTCCTGGATTTATACAAGTAGGAGTCTTATTATTAAGCTATGGACTTTACTTTGGGTAATTAGAGTGTATAATATAATATATACATTATTATTAAATATCCATCACGATATAAGTGTATTAGGAAGAGATTTCGTTGAAATATGTCAGGATAGAATGGCAGCTACAATTGGATATTATTCAAAGGATGGATTACCTAATAAATATTTAGGAGAAGGGATCTGTGCTGTTTGTGGTTATTCAACTTCACAACAACCACAGGGAATAGAGTCAACAAGACCTGTTATGTTTTCAGATGACCCAGTACATCAATTAACCTGTAAACATGTATTTCATGAAAAATGTATTCGTGGATGGGTTTTAATTGGTAAAAAAGACATATGTCCTTATTGGTAAGAAATAGATGTTTGCTGTGTAATTGTCTTGAATTTATTAATAAAGGTGTTCTATAGTAAGGAAAAAGTAGACCTTAAACAGTTTAAAAAGAATCCGTAAGAAAGAAAGACTCTATTTTTTTTTTGTTCTGTTACTTACTAAATAGTTTAAAATAGATGGGATACACAACAACAGCTTTATCTTAATTTATTAGATGGCGTTCGTTACTTGGTTGTTTGGCAACCAGTAAGTTTTTTTTTTTTTTTTTTTTTATTACTATTTTTATTAACTTATTCTTGTAGATTATTTTTGGTGCTGTTCAACTCGCTTATTATATTTTTGGTTTAGATTAAAATAAAATATAAAGGTTCATTTTCTTTTGAAACCTAGCAACAATAATATCTTTTTCCATTTTTACAGCAATTTTCCCGTTTTTTTTTTCTTTTATTTTTTTATGCAATATTATGTAAAAGAAAAGGGGATTTTGGTGGGCTTATTGTAAAAAAAAAAAAAAAAAAACTATAAATTGACCTTTTTTTTTCTTTTATTTATTTATTTATTCATTCATTTATTCATTTATTTGTTTATTTGTTTATTTGTTTATTTGTTTATTTGTTTATTTGTTTATTTGTTTATTTTATTACTTTACTTAAAAATGACAAGTGTTACAGTATCTAATGGACTATTTTCAATAAGACCTTATCGACATAGTAATTCGAATCAATCTATTCTATCATCATCTAGTACACCATCATTATTATCTCCAGTAAATCATACACCAAAATTGACTATTAAATTAGATCAAGAAGATAACGCTTCTATTCGACCTAATTCAATTATAAGAGGCAGTGTTATATTAAAGACGATAAAGACGATACATGCAAGTCAAATTCGTATCAAGGTAAATAAATAAATACATATGTATATGTTAAAATAGAACTTTTTTTTTATTCATATATTATATGCATATATAGTTTCGAGGAGTTGAATGTGCGAGTGCAAAAGTAAAAGAAACAAGTCTTGATAAAATGGATCGTATTGAAACGATAAAAACACTTTATTTTGAAATAGATACTCTTGTATGGGGAAATGAACCAAATGGTAACAAATACATATATATTGAACTACTAGATTATATTAACTATGTAATATGATAGCATTCGCTGTTGATGGTTGGCAATCTATTGAACCTGGAGAACATGAATATCAGTTTGCCCTCAAGGTACAGTATAAAGAATTTATTTTTTTCTTTATTCGTTTCCAATTAACTCTTTTTTTTTTTTTTTTTAGTTTCCTAATGTTAATTTCCCTCCTTCTACAGAGGATCCTGCTGGATTTTCTATTCGTTATATTTGGACAGCTTTCCTTGATGGTCCTGCTCATCATCCAGGCCTTCAAAGTCCAGATCTAGTCACTACCTTTCGTCCACTTTTAGTGGCACCCATAAATACCCCTTGGACATTTAATGATACTCTCTTCAGTAAAAAAATAACTCCTTTAGCTACTTTGAAAGTCCAATTACCAGCTCAAGTCTTTTGTCCTGACCAATCCTTTACAGCATCTATTCAAATTCATACAATTCCTACTGATACCACCATTGGAAGTTTCGGTTATAAATTACGCAAATGTTACGAGGGTAAAGTGCCATTATCATCCTCCAATACGTCCATTCGTAGTATTCGTAAACAAGATATCTTTCAGTCTATGATACCCCTTCATCATAACGATTCACATATAGAACAAGATGTCACCATTGATTTACCTTCTCGTCTCTTATCACCTTCATTTACCTCTCATTATATTCGAGTTTATTATTACTTGGTCTTAATGATTCAATTTGATATCGGTAAAGGCATAAAAAAGACGAGTCATCATATGCAAACAGAGGTACCCATTGGTATTGCCAACTTAAATCATGGTTATTTAGTACGTGTACCTGAATTGACATCTATACAACATTATCAACTTTCACTTGAGGCACCTTATTTCTTTGATCCATCTTTAGAGACACCACCACTACTATCATCATCATCGTCTCCTTCTTCTCTAGAATGGTTTGAGCCATCAGAGAATGACACATTACCTCCACCACCTGCTTACTTTAGCTTAACTCCTCAGTTTATTCGTAAGGAACGACAAGAAAAGACAAGGTATGCAAGTTTTCTGGTGAAACCAAATATGTTTCCTGAATTGGGTGAACCATACTTGATAAAATCTGATGATCACGAATGGTAAAAAGATTATGTAATAAATTGCTTATGTAATCAACTTTTTTTTTTTTTTTATTTCTCCACCCCTTCCCAAAAAAAAATTAAATACCATTAGAGGAAGTTTATTTTATTTTATTTTTCCTAATAAATGAGAGCTATTAAAAATAGTATTATCTTTTTTTTTTTTAATAAAAAAAAAGGTTTATTTAAAATGATCAGAATGCAATGGATATCATTCATAAAGATAAATATGCAAGTTGTTATTGTAAATAAGACAAAAATAAAAAATAAGATTTGTTTACTTGAGCTGAATTTACTGGGAAAAAAAATTATGCCAATTTCCGAAAACGACTTACAACGACTTTGGCTGAAAATCTAGATGAGTAAAAAAAAAAATCAATTTTTAATTTAATTTCGTTTTTTTTTTTTTTTTTTTTTTTTTACTTCTTTTACCTTCTTCATTGAGTCGAACTTCCTCGTGATAGCATTTATTTATCCAATCTAACGTAACAAATCTTGGTAAAGACTTGTTACGACGTAAAAACCATTTTTTAAATTCATCTACTCGAGAAACATCATCTTTATGAATAATGATATGAGTAATATTCTCTGTCATTTTTGAGACGACTTGTCCAGATTCAAATACATATTTAGACTTTGCTATCTCTAATTCTTCTTGGCATTTTTTTAATGCTGTCCATTGGATTGTTTGTGGTTCAATATCTTGCTCAGCAGAAAAATCAAAATAAGCCCTTGTATTGATGAATAGCATACCATGAATTCCTTCTGGGAAATAACGATCGACTAACTCTAGAGCTTTATTCATTGTTTCTTTTTGTGTACTAGCTACTGTTTTCATTCTATTTGTTATCTATACACAAGCATATATTACATAAGCTATCTTTAAAGATGGAAATTTCGTTACCTCAATAAATTCTTTAGCCAATATTTTCTTATTGTAAATATCACCATATATATCTCTGGATTGCAAAAACTTTTCTTGAGTAGCTGATGAAGTATAAAGCATATATCTTTAAAATATGATGTATTTGTGTATATTATTTATTTTTACATACACTTTAAGCTTTTCTTTAAAAAAAAAGACTTACTTTGGTTCTATAGATAGCATTTTCCTTGCTTCAATTGAATCAAGGATATATGAAGGAAGTATAATATCTCGAGTTTTCACGACTGTAATAATACTATTGACTCTAGCATCTTTTTTTTTAAAAAAAAAAAAAAAAAAAAAAAAAAAAAAAAAGGTAGAGGAGAATATTAGTCTAGAATGTGAGTTAAGCCAATCAAAGTATTTTTTTTTTTTTTTTTACTCTTAACACCGGCAATCAAAATATCTGCAGATTTGTTTTGTCGATACTCGCCACCATTTTCTTTAATCAAATAATCAAGTTCATTCTTCATAAAGCCTCCTTCTTCTTGTTCATTTAACTTCGTACCATTGATAACATCTAATTTTAAATTATATGACGAATAAAAATAAGAATTTTTTTTTGTTTTTTGTTTTTATCCTATTTTACAGAATGATGTTCCTTCGAAAATGTTTGTCTTTTGAATTACAGGACTTGAATCCAATCCTTGTTGACTAGGTAAAAGTATTGTTCCCTAATATCAAGTATATACATATGTATATATATTCTTAAAAAACACACACACACACAACAGCTGCTGTATGTTTAATTACCCTTCTTGTCTTTCGAACCTTGCTCTTTTCACTAGTAAATCAATAAAAAATTAACTACCGTTTTCTCTCTCTCTCTTTTTTTTTTTTTTTTTTTTTTTTTTTTTTTTTTTTTTTTTTTTTTTTTTTTTTTTTTTTTTTTTTATCTTTACATTCTATCTTCAGCAGTTCTCTTTTTACCAACACCTCCTTCAGCTTTAGCCTTCAAGACATCCGTATAAGTCATAATATCTTGCCATCCTTTATCTTTTCGGATTCTTATAAATGTTGGGAAACGTAAAGTACATTTCATACCAAATTTTTCTAATAAGATAAATAAGCAATGTTTGTAAGATATTGACTATTATACACTTTTTTCCCCCCTTTTTTTTTACGTGTGTCATTTATAAATGCTCCTTTCACTTCCACTACAATTGAACTAAAATATCAATGAGTCAACTAAACAATGTACATGTGTTTTATATAAACATATAGTTTACTCTTGGTAATGAACTATTTGATCTAATAAATCTTTTCCATTAAGAGGATGATCTAACCAATCTGGAGTCTTTTTCGGATCATAATCTGATATTGTTTTTATTAACTCTCTATAAGTAAATACATAAAGAGAAATATGTATATTTCATCAATCTAAAAGAAAAGAAATAGAAAAGACTTACGTTAATATGATTATATCTTCATTTCTTAACCCAGTACCCGGCAAAGCAAATGTAATGAATCTATTAAAAAAAAAATTATTATTAAAAAAAAATCCTTTATATGTATATTAACTTGATATATAACCTTGGGGGCTCAGTATCTGGTATAGTATCATCTCTAACTGCACATAACAAACTTCCTATTTTCCCACCTTTTTTTCCATAGCCATATTTTATACCTACAAGGACCAGATCACAGGTATCTACTAATGTATCCAAAAAACTAGGTTTAAACTTGATCCATTTTGATGATTTTTTATTTATGTGATAACATGAGCTTTTATCTTTCAAAACAAGCCCTTCCTCCCTAATATGTGTTGTAAGTAAACAAACTAAAAAAAAAAAAAAAAAAAAATCCTATTTCATTTACTTGTTCAATAAAGCTTTTTCTAATTCATCCATGACTTGCTCTTTTGTCTGCATTTCTTTACTAGGCAAAATTTTCAAGTAAGGTTCCTGTTCTTTAACGACTGAATAAAGTGTTCTTAATCGTTCTTTCAATGTATGTCCAATTAAAGGTAGCCCATTCACCATTAAAATATCAAACACATAATCTAACATAAAGACAAGAAACAAGGATAGGGGTTAATCATAAAACATATAAAATATATTCTATTCTTTTACAGCATGGATAAGTATCTCCCCATTCAGAAAGATCCGTCTTGGCTGCTGTCTTTAATGTACCGAAGGGTAATTCTGCTCTGTCTTTAACAGAATGAGCCACCATTTCTCCATCCAAAATAATACTATACATAAATATCAGCTTGTGGTCTGTTCATAATATATGCAAATAAATATTACTTTTTTACTAATATTCCTTTCTGAATATAAGATGATAACTTGGTATTATCTTTACTAGAGTCACCATAGAGTGTATTTTCTTGAACTCGATTTCTTTATGAATATAACAGTTAGAAAATATATTCATACAATTACAACTTGTATACATACCGAGAATGCCAAAGAAATCGATCTTGGTCACGGTCATAATGCATCAATACTCTTTCTCCATCAATCTTTTTTTGTACATAAAATGGTTTCTCTAATTGTTCAAAATATTTATCACTAAAGGGAATGGCTGTTTGAGGAACAAATTCATAAAACAACTTGAGTTCTTGTTTCATTCTTTTCGTCTACAACAACAAAAAAAAAAAAAGTCAGGTAACTCAATATTCTATTTAGCCTTTTAACTTTACCTGTCCTTCAAGTAAATAACTTCCTAATTGACAAATGTCATATAATGACTTGTTTGTAGTCCAAGCATCATAGGCTCCTTTATGAACTGCATTTAAAATTAACTTTTCACCACAATGAATTCTCATATCTAATGAAAGATTATATCAGCCTATACTCTTCTCACTCACTCACTTGCTCTCTCTGTCTCCCTCTCTCTCTCTCTTTTTTTTTTTTTTTTTTTCTTTTTTCTTCTCTCTTAAACCTTTCAATATAATACGAATTATCCATTGTATCTGCTTTGCTGTATAGACTTTCAGCATTTCCTTAAATAACATAATTTTATCATTGGTTGCATCAGCTAATTGATCAAAGTAGTCATTTGTATCTTTAATAGTTTGATCTGATCTTTCAACTGTAGATCGTTTACTGATCTGATCAAAAGCAATCAAGTCTAAATTACCCGGTGTCAACTAATTGAAATAAAATAAACATGATTACTTTTCAATTAGATAATGTGAAAAAAAGAGAGAGAGAAAGAAAGAAAGATAGACGAGAATCTTTACGTTATGTACAGAAGGTAATTTGAATTTCCTTAAACGAACACCATCTTCTGATTTGGAATCAATTCCTAATGCTTTTAATAAAATGAGCGCAAGTCTTTCTTCCTTTATATTATATCTTCTATCATCTCCCTTTAAAGGTGTTATTTTTTTTTAAAAAAAAAAAAAAAAAAAAAAAAAAAAAAAAAAGAGGAATAGGTTTGTATATACATATCAATAATAATGAAACTTTTTACAGCCTTTATTATTATTATACTTTGGGGAATATTAATCGAACAACATCAAATACATTAGATCCATAACTACGAATCCATTTTTGAATGTATGTTTGTATTATTTTTTTCTTTTCACTAGGCTTTGAAATTTCTAATCTATCAAGAAAGTGACAAAAGTGTTCGAATAAAGGAGAAGTTGTTGTGGTCATTTATTAATTCGCAAAAGAAACAAGTTATACATTTAATTGAAAATAATAGATAGATTAAATTATGAGTGTCTATGGGTTGGTGTGCGCGTAGTATGATACATGCATCGCTGCATGAATAATGACAACATGATGAAGCGAGGGGAAAGTATAACTGTGTAGATCGAAAAAGTATATCATTATCAATATTAGAGAACGATGATGTAAAAATAAATAATCTTGATATCATCATCATAATCGTATTTATGTGGGGATTTTCTTAAAGAAAAAAGCGTATAAATAGGCAGTTCTCCCTTTCTATTCTTATTATTATTATTACTTTATTTCTTTTATTTCTTACATTAAATCCAATATGGCTAATATCAGTCGTGCATCTAGCAAATTTGGTGAAAAGGTAGCTTTATCTGGAGCCCCTGTCTTCACACAAGGAGAGAATATCATTGATTTAATTATCAAAGATCATAGACACGCTGAGAATCTTTATGAAAGCTTCAAAAACGCACCTAATCTTGAAGAAAAGACCAAACTTCGTAACAAACTTGTCAAGACCTTGGTTCAACACGATGAAGTAGAACAACTTCTCGTCTATCCTCTTTTACGTGAAAAAATCGGTGGTCAAATTGGTGAATCTCATTATGAAAGAAGTTTGAATGAACATCAAGAGTTACGTAACCTGATGTATGATGTACGTTATTCAGACGTTAAGGTGGACACACCTCAATTTCAAGAAAAGATTCAAAAGGCCATGGATTATGTTATCTTCCATGTTCAACAAGAAGAAAAGGATGTTTTGCCTTTATTAAGACAGCATTTAACAGAAGAAGAATTAAAGAAAGTGGGTGCCTCCTTTGTAGCTCATAAACCTACAGCCGTTACAAGACCTCATCCTAATGCTCCTGCTCAAGGATATCCTGCTGCTATGGCCAATTTAGTCATGAAGCCTTTTGATTTAGCAAGAGATATTTGGGAAGGCAATGATTAAAACAATAAAATTTGCTCATTATTATTACTGTTTATGTAAATTATAATTTTTTTTTCCTTATAATAAATCATATATGACGTATTTTATATCTTTTTTTTTTTTTTTTTTTTTTTTTTACCCTTGTCTTCTATTCTACTACTTGAGAAAGAATCATTGATAGCTAGCTCATCAACAACAATTGCTATATAACGTCATCATGATCTTCTATAATATAGAATGACGGAATATTCTATAACGTTGTTTTAAGGTTTTTTTTTTTTCATAAAGCAAATTAAAGCAATCCTGATTGGATAATAACTACTTGGATTTTATACTACCGAGCTTTCGCCCCCCTCCCCTCCCCTCCCCTAGCTTACTTTTTTCCTTCTTATTTTTTATCTACATAAATTTCTTTTAATCATCATGTTACGATTCAACATTAGAAAGATCAATCCTGTCATATCACAAACACGTGCATTATCTATTCTTCAACCATCATGTACAAAGCATAGCCATGGTGGTGACCCCTTTCCTAATCTTGCTATTCGACATTCAACCGCACTTGATACCTCATACCCTAATCTACCTCCTATTCCACGTCCAAATGAATCGACTGAAAACAAACGTCGTCGACTCATCTATCAAAGTCGAAAACGTGGTATCCTGGAAACCGATCTATTGCTATCTACTTTTGCAAAGACTTGGTTACCACAATTTGATAGAGACCAACTAGACGAATATGACCGTCTCTTGGATGAGCCTGATTGGGATATCTTTTATTGGGCTACACATAAAAAGCCTGTACCTGAACGATGGCAAAAGTCAAAGGTATTGGAGATGGTGAGTGATCATGCTAGAAATGATGAAAAAAAGGTCTTGAGAATGCCTGATTTGGAGGCATAAACTGTTGTTAATAATAATAATAATAATAATAATAATAATAATAATAATAATAAAAAGAAAGAAAGAAAGAAAGAAAGAAAGAGGAAAAGAGAGTTAAGGTACGTGTTGTTGTATAGCCTATTTTCTTTATCAGTCTGCATATGATAATAATATTTAAATCTTCAATAATAATAAAAAAAAAGAGAGAGAGAGAGAGAAAGGCAGGAAATAAGTTTTCATTTAAAATTTCTTTTCCTCTTTTCTTATTTATGACTGAAAAGAATAATAATAATAAACCTTCATTATTCATGGTACCTGCGCTTTATAAAAAAGTGATTACCTGCTTTTTTTATCTTCAAATGATGATTAGCAAAAGAAATAATTCATCCCAATTGTTTGATTACACTACCACTGACTTTAAGCAGCAATGATGAATCCCATCCTCTGCTGTCATCTTGGATCATAAAAAGAGTAAAACCATAGGATACGGATGATTAACTATAAGAATTTACTTGTGGGCTATCAAAATATGTCATGAACGAAATCCAAAAGAATCTCAATGTCCTTATAATAAGTGAATATTGTATTTCCAAGACTTTTGATCGAATCATCATAACACACATCATTATGTACTTTAATCATTTTATTGTATTAATTAAAAAAGAAAATAATAATAATAATAATAATAGTAATAATAATAGTAATTAATTAATTGGGAATAATAATATTAGATCACAAAGAAAGGAAGGGATAATAAGCTTATTTTGATTTTACATTTTGACTTAACCAATTTAGACCTTGAAAGAGACCATCACCGGTCGTAGCACAAGAAGGATAAACATACCATGGACGTTCCTTCATTTTGTCAAGTCCTAATTTTTCAGTGACTTCTTGTGGAGTCATGACACCTGGTAAATCTTGTTTATTGGCAAAGACCAATAAAAGACAATCTTTCATTTCTCGATCACTTAGGATACGATGCAATTCTTGTCGTGCTTCATCAATACGATCACGGTCTTGTGAATCAATAACAAATATAAGGCCTTGTGTGCCTGTGTAGTAATGTCTCCATAAATTACGAATCTTGTCCTGACCTCCCACATCCTAAAATAAATAAATATTAAACCAAGTTTTTTCTTTTTTAGGGGGGCTGTGTTAAAATAAAATAGTTTACCCAAACATTAAATTTAACATTCTTATAAGTAACAGATTCAACATTGAAGCCAACTGTTGGAATAGTAGTTACGTTTTGATTTAATTTTAATTTGTAAAGAATGGCTAATATAAATACAAGTGTTTAAATTTCTCATGTCCAAAATTTTACTTTTTTTTTTATATATATAAATATTTACTTGTTTTTCCTGCTGCATCTAAACCTAACATTAAGATACGCATTTCTTTACTTCCAAACATTTTTGATAAAGCTTTTGATAAATTTGCGCCCATGATTAGAGAGAAATAAATAAATAAATAATAAAAAAAAAAAGGAACGGAAAGGGTGGTATTATAAAGAAAGAAAACGAAAGTTAGTGAGAAAAAAAAAAAAAAAAAAAAAGGGTTTTTATTATATACATATAAAAAAAAAAAAAAAAGTCCGCGTAGTGGTATAACAATTAAATACGGTAAAGCATTTCTACTTTAAATTCGGATGATGTTAGTTTTTTTTTTTTTTTTTGAACATCTGGAAATCAATTTTGATTCGTTCAAAAATAAATTAGTTTCAGACTTTTTTTTTTTTTTTTTACCTGTAAAAGTTTTAATTACTTTAGAAGGAAAACCGTGTTCGATATGGCGATGCAATAAAAAAATAAAAAACGTTATTTTCTTCTACAAAATGTTTGAGAACGAGCACGACCACTGATGATGTCTTTTGAAAATATTATTCGAAGCATTGCCATATTATTTCCATAACTTTGGCAAGTGAGAAGATGATTCAACCCAATGTACGCTTTAGTAAAAGACATTTCGTTACATGAATGGCAAGTGTGTGTGTCTACAAAAGTAATAAATTGAGTTATAAGACAAAAATTTTATTTGACATCCTGTGCCTTTGACGTCCAAAATTTGTCAACATAAACGAGTAGGAGATCACCACATCTCAGTCTGTATTTAAGCTGCTGCCGAAAGTATTCCAATAACGCCTGTTAGTAGAAGGTGGGGCTTTTTGTTCGAACATCTCATTCCAGAAAGATAGAATAGGTAGTCTATATTGATGATATTGGCTTCCAGTATCTATCAACTCTTCTAAATAAACAGCGGATGAGTATGGCAATCAATCAAATCTTTTACTACCACTATCCTTTTATATCTTTTGGTAGTTGCTTGTCTTTCTTCTTTAGCTTCTTGTATTTTCTTTTAGGATTTTATAAATTTCTTTTCTAAATATTTATTTTTATAGGCATATATATATATTGCAACAACAACAATAGAACTTTTAACTGTTTGATTCAATCTTTATACAACCCATTCTTCTTTTTGTTGATGACCTTTAATCAAACGTTTATATAAAGCACTATTTTGTTTATGGTTTGATATCAACTAGGATAAATGTATTTATAACAAAAGCTGTAATTCAAAACTCTCCCTCTTTCTTTTACCTCCCCCCTCTCCCCAAGAAAAAAAAAAGAAAAAGAAACGGACTAGGATCTTAATAGGATGAAGCAGGAGAAATACAAAGCCAAATTACAATAAATAATAATTAGTCAAAACACAACTAATAAAGGAAAAAAAAAAAGGCGGGAGAGAAAGAATTACTAAAATTAGACAAGATCAAATTTATATACTTCTTGAGGAAGCGGTAGTAGTAGTAGTAGTAGAAACATAGCAGTAAAATTAAAACAAGAGAAAGAAGTCTTTGATGACAGAGGAGGAATATTACTTTTAAAGAATTTATCCTTATTAATCCCCCAAAAAAAATAAAAAGATATTACAGGCTGGCAATGACATTATTGTCTGGAATGAAAGTTCATGATAACAAATCAAGTAATTTATCATTTAAAAAGGGAGAGAGGTAGTTTACTTATACAACAACAACAACAGAAAAGGAAATTTCAAATAAAGGAGCCTATCAGTTTACATTGTAACATAAAAAAAAAAAAGTCTATTTTTATTAAGAGTAGTTGTAGTAGTTCTTGTAGTATTTAAGACTCATATTTTAAATCATCCAATCAAAAAGACTATAAATTTATATATATATAAAAAAAAAATCAAGTCTTTTCGTTTTTAAACTTTTTCTCTTTCAATTTTATATAATATATTTTTATATACATACATATATACATTTATATATCCTATTTTTTATTTTATTCTCCTCTCCCTTTCCGTGACATGATGATAGAGAATCCAGTGATAGCATTAATTGGTGGAGGCAATATGGCAGAAGCAGTTTTAGGTGGACTTTATAAAGGAGGACATCCTGCCAACCATTTACGTTTCTCAGAACCTATTGAAGAAAGACGTCAATATCTCTCTAAACACTACCAGGGCGTGATTTCTTCTTCTTCGAATTCAGACGTTGTGAAGGGCGCTGATATCGTTATCTTGGCCGTGAAACCACAGGTGATGCCCTCTGTCGTTCAAGATTTAGCACCTCATATCGATCCCAAGACGTTGATCGTTTCGATTGCGGCTGGTATCGAAACCAAGGCCCTCCAACGTTGGTTTCAATCACCCTTAGCCATCGTTCGTTTGATGCCTAATACACCTGCTCTTATCAGTGAAGGCGCAATGGGTCTCTTTGCTAATTCTTTTGTTTCTGTTGAGCAAAAACAGATTGTAGAAAGTCTGTTTGGTTCCATCTCAAAGGTATTAAGTTGGGTTCATGAAGAATCCATGATAGACGCTGTGACGGGTGTAAGTGGAAGTGGTCCTGCTTATTTCTTTTTAATTATGGAAGCCATGGGTAATCATAGATTTCTATCTTTTTTTTTTTTTTTTTTTTTACGTTTTTTACTTTTTTTTTTTTTACTTTTTTTTACTAAATCATATACATATATAGAAAATGCGGCAATGGATTTAGGATTTAGTAGAGAAGATGCTAAAGCATTGACAGTACAGACATGTTTAGGAGCTGCACGTATGGCACAAGAGAGTAATGAAGATGTATCAAGTTTACGTCAAAAGGTAACATCACCTAATGGAACAACAGAGGCAGCCATCAAGGTGATGGAAAGCTCTCAAATTCGTGATATTATGAAAAATGCTATTGTAGCTGCTACAAAACGTAGTCAGGAATTAGCAAAGGAGTTGGGTGGAGAAAAGAAATAAACATGATCATATAGTCATAAAATAAATGTATGTATTATTATTAAAAAAAAAAAAAAAGAAAAAGAAAAAAAGTCGGAGATTTTATTTGTAATTTATCTGATAAAGACAACACGTCAAAAAAAAAAAAAATACTTCTATTACACAAAAAAAGTAGTAAATAAAGGAACTCTTTATAGTCTTCTAGAAAAAAAAACATATTCATATACATATACATCTTATATATAATAGTAAACAATGTATGTATAAAAAGGGAGGATTTACATATACGTAGATAAAGTAAAAAAATGAAAAAATGAAAAAATGAAAAATGAAAAAAATGAAAAAAAAAAGATATATAAAGGGGAAGGGAAAAGGGAAAAAAGTATACATATACATATACATATATATTTATATTTATAAAGAATAAAAAAAAAAAGAAAAAAAAGAAAAGAAAAAATTATATATACATATATATTTCTAAAGTATACATATACATATATGCATATATCCAATTATTATCCATTCTTAAGCACGAGGAGGAACCCATGAACCTATTATATAAGAGAGTTAACTTCAATTCTTTACCTCACCATTAAAAAAAAAAAAAAAAAAAAAAAAAAAAGTTACCTGAATCAGGAGAAGATGTGGTTGCAGTTGATGTAGATGTAGAAGGGATGGGAGTCATAGACTGAGGCTTTGCGAAATGATCATTTTGTGGATTCGTATTAGTAGGCGTATTGGTAGCAGTGTTAGTTGTATTGGTAGTAGCCGCATTTGGTTCAGTCTTGATATCAGGTAAATGAGGGCTATTTCTTTGAGAAGGAGGTTGACTATGAGACTGATTACTAGTTGTTTGTGGTTGATAATAAATTTGAGGACTGCCAGCAGGTGAAGGTTGATGAATAACATGATCTGTATGTTGTTGCATCATAGGAGGACGAGCTAATTGAGGACTTGACTGTTGTTGAATCATGGTATTGTAATGTTGATGATAAGCAGCATGTTGAGGCTGTTGTTGAGGCTGTTGTTGTTGAGGCTGTTGAGAGGGCTGATGCTGACCATGATCATTTTGCTGAGGAGCAGTCGCACCAGGGACTAAGATAGGATAGCCCATAGGAGGATAAACAGGATTTACAACATAAGGTTGAGGCATCATTTGATCTTTATGATACGTGTATTGACCGTAAGGATCATAATGTTGACCATATTGATTCAAGTTTTGTGGATAACCGAATGGAAGAGCAGGTCCACGCATAGATGGAGCATATTGAGTTGTTGGTGCTGTATTAGTAGGCTGTGGTTGTTGATGATGTTGGTGATGATGTTGCTGCTGTTGTTGCTGTTGTTGTTGATGATGATGATGATCATTTATACTATTAGCTGTATTTGTTGTAGTTGTCTTGCGAGGCTTTTCTTCTATAAATACATGCATGTAAATGTAAATAAAACAACATAAATAACACAACATCTATTTAATACCTCCAGTCTTTTGTCTTCTCTTATAAGGACCACGTTTAATTCCCTTTTTACGTTCCTTTCTCACTGAATTAACACAAGTATCCGCAATACCATATTTAATACATCTAGGACAAGGTCTAGCATCATCACATTTTTTACAAGCTTTTTGACAATTGGCTATATAAGAATTAAAAAACAAACAAAAAAAAATTTTTTTTTTCATTCGGGATTAGCTTGTGTGACTCTATCAGATAAGTAGTGGTAATAGTATTACTTACTGCATGCATTTTTGACTTGCTTTCTTTTAGGAGCTTGTTGTTGAGGTGGTTGTTGTTGGGGTGGAGGAGGAACTTGATCAGGAATACCAGGATGTTGCATAGGAGGTAAACCATGAGGAGGTTGATTCATCATAGGAGCTCCATTATTTAATACACTGGCTTGTGGTTGATAAGGTTGTTGATAACCTTGCTGCTGTTGATAATATGGCATTGACTGCATTATATAATTAAATGACAGAAACTGAGAAAAGAATAGGAGTTCCTAAAGAGAAAGAAAGAAAGGAAAAAAAAAAAAAAAAAAAAAAAGATTGTGTGAGTGAGAGTGAATGAATGAGTGAATGAATGAATGAATTGTGTGTGTGTATGGAATTTTTTTATACAAGGGTTTCTCTTAATTGAGTAAAAAAAAAAAAAATAATATAATAAAAAAAAAATTTTTTTCTGTTACCAGTTTTTTTTTCTGGTATATGTGGAATTTTAGTGGTATAAAAATTGTCATGCATTTTTTTTTGTGTATAACAAAATGTCAGTGGGATGTAATATATACAAATATGGTATATATGTAGATATAATGTATGTATGTATGTATGTATGTGTGTATGTGTGTGTGTATGTGTGTATGTGTGTGTAATGTTTATGTTTGTATGTGACAGGTAAAGTATTTTATATGAAAATCACATTTGTGATGAACTATGTACTTTCTTTTTTTTTTTACAAAAAAGGGGAAAGTGATGACATGACGATGACTCCGATTATAATCTGACTTTGTAAGATTTTGCAAGTAAAAAAAAAAAAAAAAAAAAAAACACAAAAGTAGAAGTCTTGTCAAAAAAAAAAAATACATGACAATTTATATGCTATATAAACCACATAGAATTGCTTTTTTTTTAACCCAAAAAAAACCCCTTCCAAAGAGAACCCAAAAGTATTTGCGTAGTAACTTTTTTTTTTACAAGAGAAAATGGTTAAAAAGGAGTTCTAAACTTACTGTGTGTGATGTGAGATGATGTGTTGTGTTCCTTTTTGACAGAAATTAAGAAAATATATGAATAAATATTTAATTATTTGCTGTCGCTTTTTTTCTTTCTTTCTTTTTTATAGAAAAAAAAAATTGAAAAGAAGAAAAAAAAAAAAAAAAAAAAAAAAAAAAAAAAAAAAAGAACAAAAAATTATTATTGACAAAAAAAACATATATACGTGATTACATTTATACAATTTTTTTTTTAGACTCTCGATTAGCTATAGGTCAATATTTGTCGGTATTTAAATTTGAAACATATAGTCCAAGTACATCTACAAACATGGAATATAGAAATATTAGCCTATTATTCATATTATACAAAAATAAAAAAATGAATAGTAACTCTTAATTGCTATCTTTTTTAATATTCTAGTAAAAAAAAAGGAGGAAGAATAGAATTACATAATTAATGAAGGAAAAAAAAGCTATTATTCTTTGTATTTTATTTTATTTTTTCAAAAAAAAAAAGGCTGACATTTAACAAACAATTTACCATGAAAAACAACACGTTTTTTTCTTTTTTTTTTATTATTAACATTTAAAAGGAAAAAGGAAGGCAAGTGAATATAATTCATATTTTAATATAAACATTGTATACATATAAATTGAATATATTACAAACTCAATATTGAATATAATACAAACTCAAAATTCATAAATATCACAGACCAATTTAAGGGACAACTTTTTTTTTTGTCAAGGTGAATCAGCGTATCACGCTTATTTTATTGATGCTCCGCATTCAATGATCATATGTGAATTATCAAAGTTGGAGAATAATTATAATAACTGCACAATGGTAATGCACATATTTATATTCATGTTTACAGTGTGTGGGATCAATTCCGTTCACATGGTAACGATCAAAGATAAATCCGTGGTTACCTTTGTTGTTGCTTTAAGAATTATGAAAGAAAAACAAAAATGATTTCTCTACTCATACAATAATATGGATAACCTTCTTGGCCTTTTTTTTTTTTAATTTTATTTACTTGTTTTTTTTTTCTTGATAATACTAAATAAACTCTTTATGCTAATTTTGAGATCAGATATAATTACAGCAAGTAAATTAATTTAGGAATTGGAATACGATAGTGTTCTCTTGGGAAATAATGAAACTAGAAACAATGGATAGTAAATGTTGTGAAGAAGAGGAAGCAAGACGAACTCCAAAGAAATCTCCTTCCTTCCTTCCTTCCTGCTTCTTTAGATATTATGAATGGGATTTCATTTTATGGCTCATTTATTTTCTATTGTCATATCCTCCTAAACAAAACAATAAAGTAGTAATGACAATCATATTTATTAAAATAACGCCTTTCTTTATTATTTTTGAATACGTTGTTCTGATCTTTTCTTTTTCCGTAGAACGATGATTCGATGACAAATAGAATCAATGACTAGTATATGATACGTATTAATATATGTATATCTATTTCTACACGTATATATGTATATGTGTATAGACTTACATTTATGAATAATACCTCGATCCTCTTCTTCTATAATAACTTGTTCTTTATGGTTAGGTTGAATTTGTAATATGGCCTCTAGCATCCATATCGCCATTTGATAATCTTGTTCACATTCATTGATATTCTCTCCTACTAATTCATGAACTGCAGCAGCACGACTCTATCATAATTTATTATGTTTAAAAGAGAATAAATTTGAGACAAATAGTATCTATACACGTATAAAAAAAAATTACCATTTCTAATGCACGGTTATAAAGTAACTTTTCAACAATACAACTTTCTTCTATTGCATGATCTACTACTTTATGTATTCTTTCAGCACGATCTAAACAACTATTAAAACGATCTCTCATCCATTGGACAGTGTCATTTAAACGAATGGTTAATTCCTCCTTTCTTTCTATTTCATCTTCTTCTATCTCTTGCCAATATTCCTGTGCAATATAAAGACCTTCTTCTAATAATGACAATGCCTTTACATAAAGTGCCATCGTTTCAGATAGTTGAATGGGTATTGTTGTATGAGTATCATATCTTTGATCTCCAAGGGTAGCTACTGCATATGCCATACAAGCTAATCTTTCAATTTGATTCATTGTTGTTAGTGTGATATTTGTTTGATAATCAAAGAAACCTTGAGGTTGATTTTGTATGGATAATCGAGATCCTATTATTAAATGAGGCACATTCTCCTTTGGGGGTGAAGGTGTACCAAATAATCGGACTGAAGCCTTACAAAGTGCTTTAGCTAAAGCTGAACCTGCAGCTGAAGAAGAACTTGTAGCGACACTCCCACTAGATTTTCGTTCACGAATTAAAGGTGCTGAAGTAGGTTTGGGTATATTCACTGCATGTGTAGTCTGAGGTGTTGATTTTAACTCTAAAAATTGAGAAAGAAAGAAAGAGAGTATAAATGAAATCTAAAATAGATATAAACATAAATTGAAATAGATACCATCAGCAAATTGATTTGTTTCAATAGATCGAAGATCTAATACAACATATTCTTGTAATATTTCTTCTTCTTCTTCTTCTCTTTTCTTTGTCTTTAAAGTTGGTTTAGAAGATAAAGAATGAATCGGGACAATTTTCCTTATATAAAAAGGGATTAGAAAATACAAACAAACAAACAAACAAGTATTCATAAAGTTACTTGTTACGTGGTGAAGATGGATTCTTTGTTGATGACGAAATAATAGGAGCAAATGGAGGTGGTTCATAATTTTTTAATGGTTTTGATAATACAGCAGGATGTTGAAAGAAATCATCAAATGATAATCGTTCTACTGGATTCCTTTTAAGTAAATGTCGAATTAAATCTTTCAAATCATGACCGACATTATCAGGAAAATGAATCTGATCCTTATTTTCTTGAATTTTCTTTAATAATTCAATATGATTTTGAGCACGAAATGGAGGTCGACCGGTGACCATTTCATAAAGGACAGCGCCTACACTCCAAAGATCTGCTTTTGCGTCATATTTTTTATAAGAAAGTATTTCAGGACCCATATAAAGGGGTGAACCACAGAGAGTATCAGCCAAACTAGCATTTGGTAAGAATCTAGCAAAACCGAAATCAGCCACTTTTAAGATAGGTAAATCGATATCATCTGATGGAGATAATAATAAGTTCTAATTGATAAAAAAAAAAGTTAAAAAAATAAAATAAAATAAATAAAATAAAAATACATGATGGCTTTATTTTATTTTCTTTTTTTTTACTTGTGGTTTTATATCTCTATGAATCAAGTTTTGAGACCTCAGAAATTTTAATGCATTTGCTATCATCATATTTTATTTTTATTTATATTTTCTTTTTTTTTTTTTTTTTCAAGTACAAATGTTATATACATGTTATCTATTTTACCTAATTGCTTTAAAAAATGACGAACCATTCTTTCAGGTAAACCACTTGATTTATTAAAATTCTTTGACCTTAATTCTTTTATAAAATGAGACAAATCACCTAAAGAACAATATTCCATGACTAAAAATATATTGGATTCCGTTTTCTATACATTATTGTTAATTTTTTTGCATAATTTTATTCCTATTATTATTTTTACCTGACATTCAATTAATCCAACAATATTTTTATGTCTTATTGCAGTTAATATCGATATCTCTGATTCCAAGTTTTCTAATAACTTTTTAGTTAATTTAGATCTCTTTACAGACTTGATAGCTACAGTTTGTTGAGTATCCTAAGTAGGTAGATGAATAAATAAATAAAAGAGACAGAGAGAGAGAGAGAGATTAAGTTTATATGTAAATGGTGTAATTTATAATTCATTTACTTTATGCTGCGCTTTATAAACAGTTGCAAATGAACCTTGACCAATTCGATTTTGAATAATGTAATCACCCACTTGTTCAATACGTTTATTATTTTCTTTTATTGATGACATGATTAAATAAATTAAGATGTGTATGTGTATGTGAAAAAAAAGAAAAAATAAATAAATAAAATAAAATAAACAAATAAAAAGATAAACTATTATTTTGAGGAGAACTGATTTAAAAGCGGGAATTTTTTAACTTGTTATCATCAGTCATATGGATAATAGTTAAATGAATGACGTTTCTTATTACATGAATAAAGTAAACAAATAAAGAATCATGTGAACACATATTCACTTTTTACTTTTTACTTTTCACTTTTTACTTTTTACTTTTCACTTTTCACTTTTACTTTTACTTTCGCCTTTCTTCTCTTTCTTCTCTTTCTTCTCTTTCTTCTCTTTCTTCTTATAACGAAAATTATGGTATTAGAAACAATCTATCTTGTCTTTTGTTCTATTTTTTTTTAAAAAAATGGTTTCTTTTTTATATTAGCTGACTGCACCTTATGTTCATTTGAATAGTCATGACAACATAACGGCTATGATTGATTATACAAATTTATATATTAAAAATCTAGATCTAGAAATAACGAGTTATGATCTATTTAAAAAGTTTAGAATTTATGGTAAAATTATATCAGCAAGAGTAATGAAAGATACTGTGACAAGTATTTCAAAGGGATATGGATTTGTTAGTTTTACAACAATGGAAGAGGCAAGTGAAGCTTTACAATATATGAATGGTGCATTGTTAAATACAAAGAATATCATCGTTACCTATCACACGCATAAAAAGAAGATAGCAAAGGTAAAAGAAAGTCATGTTTATTTATTTATTTATTTATTTATTATCATTAGTTGTCTTCTTCTTCCAATCATCATCTTCTTGAAAACCCTTTTTCGACTACTACTACTACTACTACTACTTCTTCTACTTCTTCTCCTCTTCCTCCATCTTATCATACACCACCACCACCACCTATACAAGCCACTAATTCTTTATTGGATTCAACTTATTGTTTAATACCTTCTACATCTATTCAAATACAAAAATTACGTGAAGCCATTTGTCAACATTTATCTAAAGAAGAACAGGAAAGAGATTTAAATGACCTTGTGGATCTTATTCAATCTTTAAAGAAACGTGAATTATCACTTTGTTTATTTAATCCTCATTTTTTGAAACAAAAGATAGAAGAAGCTTATGACGCACTCTATTTATTTAAAACGAATACTAGAAATAGAGTAGAGCATAATGCTGCTGTAGCTATATTAAAGTCATTAGAAGGATTATCATTGAATAAACAAAAGAGATTATTTGGTGATCTCTTTTTTCCATATGTGAGGGTAAATTCATATTTATACTATACGCACACTCACACTCACACTATTATATAAAATAGGCTACAGGCATTAAATATGCTCCAAAGGTGACAATTCAATTATTAGATACCATTCCTTTAGAAGAATTAGCTTTTATTATGTATGATAAACCTGAATTAATGAAAAAGGTTCAATATGCTTATTCTCAACTTTATAACAACAACAATTAAGAAAACAAACAAACAAAAAATAGTCTTCTTCTTCATTTATCCCTTCCCTTCCCTTCCCCTTCTACACTCTCTCATCCTTCTTCTCTGTCTTCATTCATCTTTCTTCTTTTCTAGTCTTTATATAAGCAGGTGGTTCTTCCATTTCTTTCCAAATAGCTTCCATTCTTTTTCTCTTTTCTTTTGATTTTCCTTTATTTGCTTCTCTTTGTGCCAAAAACTAGTTGTTAGTATCAAAAATAAATAAATAAATAAATAAAATTAACATACACATATATATATATTTTTTACCTCTTGCTTTAAACATTCATCTACTGCTCGTTTTGCTTCATTACATGTACCTAGAAACTTGTTAAAGGTACCTGCTTTATGACAGGCTTCTAAGGCTTCAATGACATGATCACATCCTTCATTTTTATGTGCATCTAATAACGGATGCATTTTAAAATAAAAATTATAATAATAAAAATATCAAAATAAAAAACCCTGGGTGTTGTTTAGTGTGATAAAGGGGAGGGGGGGGAAGAGAAAAAAAAAAGTTTAATTAAATCATTTCTATTGGTTTATCTTTTAATGCATGATTATTTATTTATTTTCTTTTTTAAAATAAGGTCTTCTCTTATCCTTTTTTTTTGTTATTTTTAAAAGTTGAAAAAAAAAGAATGAATAAAGAACGTCTTGTTCAATGTCATTGTTCATATAATTGTAATTTGCAATATCCTGGATATCAGTGGATTTTGCCTAAAATCAAAGACAAGCATTTATATTATGAAAAAACAATTCAATGGCAAAAAGAACAACAACAATCATTAGAAACAGGTTTTAAACTATTTTAAACTATTTTTTTTTCTTGTTTGTTTCCCCCTCCCCTTCCCTCCTTCTTTTTTATATTTATTATTATAATTGTTATTGTGATTGTTAAAACAATTATAGACATCATCATTGATACTCTTGGGAAACAACTAGCTTCTATTTCTATTCATCATCGTGCTATAAAGAAAAAAAAACAAATACCTCTTTTACCTACTAACAAAAAGAACTTGACTGTTGTTTTGAAAGGACTACAATCATTACGCGATGACGAGGATGATTGTATAATGGTCTTGAAGGAATTTACTGTGATTAAAAGTAAAGTGGAAGAAAAACAGAAAGAACGGCAACCAATTATATGGCAAACTGAATATTATTAATTTTTTTTTTAAATGTCCCCCCCCTCCATCATGCTTATTATACCCATCAACAACAACAATAGTAATAATAATAATAATAATGTGACGCGATAATAATAATAAAAACTGCCTTCAAATAGTGATGGTCTCAACAACAACATCATCATCGTCATCATCCCTTATTATAAAGAAACCAAAATGAATTCTATTATTGATAATATTTCAGATTGTAGCAAAAAAAAAAAAATCTGTTAAAGAAAACTTGCTCAATAAATAAAAAAAAAGCAGTTATTTACTACTAAAATATTCATATAATATCATTACAGAAATGAGCTCGTTCTATTACGACGGATTCAATTAAGAAACTAATAAAATAGAGTTATCTTGTATGAACGAATGATATTGATAGAATTCAATTACTCTCTCCCAAAGAAGGTGGTAGCATCACGGATTGTAATTTTCTAGAAATTTAATTACATAAAACCAGTCTCTTTATTTTGGAGTGGCTTTTAAACTAAGTGACTTGATAAATAAATTTTCTAGTCAGAAATAAAAAAAATTTTTTTTTTTATTTATTTTAAAAATATATAAAGAAACCTTTATTCCTTTTTATTTAAATTATTTCTCTTTCATTTTTTATAATATGGATTCACTTTAACAATGGTAAGTTATTATTTATAGTAGATCTTTTTTTTTTCTTCCTTTTTCTCTTTTACATTTTTTTGTGGAAAGATGAAGAAATTTTTCATTGTCTTCATTTTAACATATCGACCATGATGATATAACCCGCAGTACTTCGCTGAGTACTGTTGATACTTGCCAGTATAACTTCCTGACCACAAAAAAAAAGAAAGAAAAAAAAAAGAATTTATTTTTATTTTTTTTCGTGATTTATTAATTTCGTTTTATTCTTTTAGGCTTCTAGTTTTATATCTTTACCTTAAGGTTTTGATAAAAAAAACTTTTCGAGTCATTTTGGTGTATCCATCTATTTTGCTCAAAAAATAGATGAAGAAAAGGTAAAAATCTCTTAAATTCATTAACTTGGTTCATATGATGATGAAATCCCGTGTTCGCAGTTTCCCCTGGAAGAGAGCTTAGTTTATGGCGATTATGAATGGATGGATTCGCTGTTATTTGGCTTTTGTCATTTATCAGCTTATACTGAACTTCAGAAAGTCCTCTCGATGTCGGAATAACACTTCCTTGGATGTCTGATGAACCAGAAAAAAAAGGAAATAATTTTGTAACTTTTTACTGATTTATTTTTAATTTCTATAGGAATGAACAACTCATTTACTTCATTTATTTTTTGACAAAATATAAAGAAATATGTCATAAAAGGACGAAAAAAAATTTTTTTGTCTTTTTAGATATTTTCTATATTATAATTTGTCATTTAATAAAATATTTTTTATTTGTAACATAAATGATGGTTTGATGTTTTTCTTATTCTTTTTTTAATTAGTGTGTGTGTCCGTGTGCATCTTTTGCAAAGTACTTTAATTTCTTTTTTCTCGTGAAAATGATGAATCCTTTATTTGCATTATTCTGGCATCTCTAATATCAATGTATTTCCGTCTTTTGACCGAATTACATAATGTATTCAACCTTGTATTCTGATAAAAGAAAAATGAGAAAAAAAAATTTTAAAGTACTTTGTATAAAAAATATTATAAATAAATAAAAGTAAATATTTTCCGATTTTATGTCTGTTTGTGTGTGTGTTTTTTTTTTTTTTGAGCGACAAAAGTAGTAAAAAGGAAAAAAAAGGTTTTCTTTTATGAATATATAAAACTGTAAAGGGCTGTGTAGTACCTCCCTCTTTCTATTTGTTGTATAGATGATTATGTAAAGAATGTTATGTTACCTTGGATACCAAAATAACGTGTTGTAATCACATGCTACGAATCATCATCCTCTTTCGCCTTTTTGTTATTGTGAATTTCTTTTCTAAAATAATAATACTGTGGTTTGCGTTTGAAAATAGAATTTTTTATTTGGCCAATAGAAATTTTTGAATTCAATGGAATTTTTTTTTTTTTTTTTTTTTTTTTTAAATCCAGTAGAAAACTTTGATCATTAGTAGAAATGCTTGACCATCAATATACGCATAAAAAAAAAGAAAACTCTATTGGTCAAATAAAAAATTCCATTTTCAAACGCAAACCATTGTATGCTGCATTATCGTGCTTTTGCTGGTATCTGTAAAGCATACCTGAAAGATAATCTTGATGATCGACGAAACAGTAGCACTGCTGTTCTCTTGTCTGCCTGCCGTCCTACTCTAGGTATCGATCCTAACCTCTGGTTACCTATGTCAAATGTAGAACGCAGCCGAATAGTCCGCTGGCGTCTAGGTTGGTTACCTGGTGGTGTTTCTAAACCGTGCATCTATCACCCTCATGCCTTGTTCACAAGATCTCATGCTATATGGTGTCTACATATGCATCGACGATTACAAATGCCTTTGACCGAGCCCGACCCTTTGCCCTTCCTCCTTAAATAAGCTGCCAAATAAACAAAAATGCAGACCACCAATCTCATCAGCTTTCAACTCATCTGTCTTTTCTGCCTGGACGATTCGTTGGCCTGCTATGTGCCGTATACTTTTTGAACTTGACTATCTTCACCATGGTAAACTTCCTCCAGAAACTGCCCCCCTCTTGGTACAAAACTTGTAAACTGGCTACGTAACCCTGAATCTAGTATTTGTTGGTATATCTTGCTTTTCCTCTTCCCTTCTCTTTCTTTTTTTTTACCCTTTTGCCTATCAAAAGGTTTTTTTTAGTACACTTTTATCCTTTCTCGAACTGACCCGGGCAATCCAATACGCCAGTATTATGTGCTCACATGGGTTGTTTAAATTGTTGTTATAAATAAAATAATTCTTTAATCGTAAGCACACAGTGTTATCTTCGGGGAATTAAAATAATTACTAAAAAAAAAAAAAAAAAAAAAATTCTATAAAAAAAAAATGCATAATTGTTCAAATGCATAGTTTATCTTTTCTTCATTTTACTTTACAAAAGAACAATGAATCTTTCAATAGTATTTAGAGTAGTTAACATTATTGTAGCAGCATTCATGATTATTGGTGGAATTATGACTTGTATTGCAGGAGGTAATAATAAATATATGTAATAGTTAGTAGTAGTTGTAATTGTTGTTTCATTATATCATGTTAACAACTTGTCTTTTTTTTTTGTTTTGGATATGATAAGGGTTTCCAAACTTCATTCAGGGTATTTTTGTCATGTAAAGAAAGAAAGGAAGAAAGAAAAGTCTGTTGAATGAAAACTAAAATTGTTATATTTCAAATAGTATTTTTGGCTTAATGACATTATTGTTCGAGTTTAGATTACCAGCTATGATTACTCAGTTTGCATCTTTTATGTTTTCGTTTATGGGACGTGGCCTTTGTAAGCTTTAGAATTATTGTTATTATTTTATGTGATAAACTAAACTAAACTGAAATCAACTTTATTTTTTTTTCTCCCTTCTTTTCATTATTCAGTTTATATTTTGTAAGTATACAAAAAAGAAAACATAATCACATAGAATAAATGGGGTCTTACAATTTTTTTTTTTTTAAGCCTTGGCTGTATTACACTCAGTTATCGTGGGCTTGCTCTTGCTTCTGGTATCATTGTAAGTTTTGATTTATGATAACCTAGTCTAGTGTTTTTTTTTTTCCTTTTGTTTATATCCATTCTTTCTGTTATCAATCATAAATATACATGTATATAGGTTGCTGTAATTGGTATCGTTTTTGTCATCCTTCATTTCTTTAGAAATAAAATTGATATACCTTCAAATATGACAAAGAGAGCATTCGAAGATGCAATGAGTGGTTATGGCAGTAGTCAGGATAATACTACTCAACTCAATGATCCTACTAGACCCGTGCCTCCTCTTAACTATCCAACAGATGGATTTTCCACTACTCAAAGTCCATACGTCGCAAATCCTAATAATCCCTACCCTCCTAGCCCCACTTATCCACCTGCAAATTATACGAAATCAAGTGCAGTTTAAATAAATAAATAGTGTGTGTACTATATTTTAAAAGAAAAGAGAAATGTCTATTTAAAAGATTGATTCTCATATTAATTATACACTTTATAAAAAGACTTTTATTTCTAATAGCCAGTTTTTTGAATACTTTTAGGTATCTATTCAAAGTAGTATTATTTTATGCATCAATCCTTACTCTCTCTCTCTCTCTCTTTTCAATATCTCTTGTAAAAAAAATAAAAAAAAAATAATAAAATAAAAAAAAAAGGGAGGTGGACTTGTTTTATTTCTTCTATAATAAATATATGCATACATATACATATACACATGTATGACTGGCTAATCTTCAAGACCATTGACATCGCCACCAAATACACCCTTTCTATAATGCTCGCGTTGTTTTCTTAACCAAGCTCTATAATCATGAACGGATTGAATTTTTTCACCATAGTAGTCAGGTACAGGATTACGAATTGAATTAAGACGAGCATCGGCACGATTCTTCTTGATGTGTTTATAAAATTCTTTATCACGTACATCCATAGCTGAAGCAACTTTTCTATTCATCAGTTTGAAAAACGTATTACCCATCATGGGTCCCAATAAGAACCCACCAAAACCCTAGAAAAAAAAATAAGAGAGAGAGAGAGAGAGAGAGAGGGAAAGAACGAATTCAGTTTTTTTTTTTCTAAAAAAAAAATAATGTAATTAAAATGTTAAAAGACATTACTGCTCCCAAGGTACAAGCTACAGCAGCCATAAGAGGATCCATGCCTAAAATTTTTGTCAAAGGATCCACTTGCATTTGAAGAAAATAATTAAAGGTTCCAGCAGCAGGAATAACTGTACTGGGTAAATAAGATGCAACTTCAAAGATGCGTCTTTTTTTTCGAAGTTTAAAGTAATCATCCCAAGTTGGAATGATTGTTGTTGTTGTTGTTGTCGCCTTTGTGCTAGTCAACCGAATTTGTTGGCTTGTTAAAAAGGGATTTTTTATTAAGAGTCGAGATCTAATTGCTGATGTTGCCATTTGTATTCAATCAATCAATCAAAAATAAAATAAACTGAAATAAAATAAAATAAAAGTACAAAGCTGGGGGTGACAGTAAGTAATGGAGTTTTAAAGCCCGTTTTTTTTTTTTTTTTTTTTTTTTTTTTTTTTTTTTTTTTTTTTTTTTCTTTAATTATTATTATTGCCGCTGCTGCTGCCAAATAATGGTGCTTTTTATTAGAAATTAATAAAATTTTTGCTGATAAAAGAGTAATAGTGGTAATAGTAGTTTGCAATCTTGATTCTATCCGTCAATTTTGCTTTTGTTTGTCTATATGTAGTAGTGTACATATGAAGAGGATAGATAAACAATTAAGCCCCTTATTATATATGTATATTTCAATTTTCTAACTCAATATCATATGTGCTTGGTTAAAAAGGCTATGTAAGAAATGACAACCTTAAAACAGACTTCTAATCACCTTTTGGATTCAAAAAAAAATGATAATAAAGTAGAATAGAGTACAGTAGAAATAGGTTTGATTTAGACTTTTGAGTCTTCCAAGGAATAAAGTTGGATCAGTAGTAAAACAAGAAAGGAGATATTATAACTATGCAAGCAGTAGTAAAAAAAAAAAAAAAAATAGACAAAAGATACGCAGCATACAATTCACTTCTAAACAATATACCTATAGTTTGTTTGCTAAAACATTAGAATTAATCTCGTTAAAGCGAAAATGATTATAATTACATAAAAAAAAAACAAGTTACATAGGATACAGAAAATAGTAATAAAAAAAAATATTAGTATACTTATTCCAATATAAGGATTTTTGAACTTACCCGGAAAAAGAGGGGAAGGAATTTTGGGGCTATCAAAGCGATAACTATGTAGGAAATCTTTATAGGTATCGTGAATGAGCTCTTTTTCGTTGACTTTCATCCATATATTGCTGTCTACGTCTTTTATATATAACGCTATCTCGTCGAAACCTTTGCAGGAATATTACCCTCCTCGTGAAGACCATAAAGGATATAAAGCATGTTTAAACAAGCTGTTAAAAAAAGAAGCCCCGGGTCCATAAGCGATTTTCAAATCCATGTGCTTGTATAGCTCGTCTACAAGTTTGATTGGCACATCTACGTTATATATTATATGTATACTAATATTAAATAAAGTAAATCGGATGTCTATCATTTACCTTAAAAGACTGTGACAAATAACGCAAGAAGTATGTTCTCGTTTATTATGGTCATGTATTAAGAACTTTGCAGAAGGTTTGAAGGCTTTCATTATGACATGTTGGGTAACAATGGCTGGTTATTTGGTGCTCATCAATTAGAGAAAAGAAAAAACAGAACCATCCATGTGTTGAATAGAAATGATAATCCTGTATACTTGATTGAATAAGCATTTCATTTTATTTTACATACAAGCTTGATACACTCTTTATTTAGTATGCACTTATATCAGGAAAAAGAATTTATCATATCATAGAGATATATGGTTTATATTTAATATTTTCTAAAGCTAGTTTATGATATATCATGCGGGAAAATAAGATAAATACGAAGGCTTATTCAATATAAAGAAAGTTGAAAACATGTATCTTTTGCATCAATGATATCGTTTATTATGATTTGTCATTATATATCATAATGGATAAACTTAAATCATATAATATCCAAAACTTAATACAAGTAAAAAGATACTACACAATTAAGCATATCTAATTAAAATAGCTATGTCATAGCATTTAACCAATAATATTATAACTATTACTTGTTTTTTATCAAACTAATCTTAGAACGTAAATAGTAACTTCTAGCAAAAAAAAAGAAAATTTACTAATCATGTCAAGGCATGTTGCCTGAATAAACAAGTTGTATTAAATAGTAATGTATGTTGGTGTTTAATTTAACTGAATCAAGGCTGTACCTTAGATATCAAATATAGATTCGTTACTATCATTTCTCTTGGATCAAACATTCCTAATATAGGATCAAAGCATCAATTAAAGAAACAAAATCAAACGGTTACAAATTTTGTACTATATTCGCACAAATATGGCCCTAATAAATTTACTCATCCTTGTATCAAACAGCATATAGTTTACTATGTGACAGTAAAGATACCGTTTTTGGATGGAGCATGTGTTAGTTAAAGGGTAAGAGTAACATCAATTCCCGCTTACAGTTAGGACATTACTTAAGCCTTGAAGCTAGAGATGCACTCAGATACCCATAACGTCAAAAACAGTGAAACAATGTTTGAAAATAAGGCTTTTCTTACATTTTTGTTAGATAGAAACTCACATCTGGTTAAGCCAGAACTTATTTTCCCTTTTTTTTTTTTCTTTCTTTCTAAGAGCATTCTAACATAATGTGTGCTTTAATTATTCTATTTCTTGTTGCCTTAACGCAAGTCACTGGATGTAATTGAGAGATACTCAAGTAAGCCTCTTAAACAGCAACGAAACGATGACGTCAATTATGAGACGCTCTAACAAGCGTAATCATAATGGCAAAATTATGATTTTATTTGAAAGTTTTTTTGGAGCAACTCTGCAAATTATTCGTCAAAGGCTGCATATTATAAGGTCAAAGGATGCGAATTTAATTTCAAAACCCGTCAAAGATGTTAAAAAAAAACAGTATATAAACATAAAACTGATAATCGTTAATATTTGACACTATATTGTAATATATGCAAAAATAAATGGGCCTGTATCCGCAATGCTTATGCCAATTTGACTGCCCGATATGCAAATTTGAAATTTCTCATCTGCAAAAGAAAAGAAAAGAAAAAAATGCCCAACTTGAAAGCCCAATTATAATCTCTTCCTCCCAATCAAATTGTACATACATTATTGTATAACTACTCATTTAATTTGTACTTTTAAATTGGCTCTTTCTGCACTCCTCCCCCTGAAACATATCTAAATTGTGCATCTTCGTTTGTTAAAACTCATGATACACAATATAATTAATTTTAAATGTCAGTTAAACATAATCTACTCTTACAGGTCCTTTCTTTTCCAAAAGAACAATAAGAATCGAATATATTTATAAATCAATTCTATATCATTGTTATTCTCCTCCTCCTTTTTTTTTTTTTAAATAAATAAATAAACAAATAAATTCCTTTTTTATTATTATTATTATTTATGACAGCTTATACACTCTTAGGAAAGCCAGAAACAGCAAAACAACATCTAATACGAAAATATTGGCGACACATCACTGCTGCGTTCGTTATTATTACTATTATTTCTACTACAGTTATCATATACTATGTTAAAAATGATATTCAATTAGAAAGTGATAATGAAGTTATCGGATTACCAGAAAGATACATTAATTTTTCTCTACCCACACAATCGGAACCCTTTTGTTTAGACCTCAATAAATATCCTATTGAAGATAATATTTTACAAGTTTTCCCTCTTGCTCGAAATGATATTCAAAAGGCTACAGAACATAGGTTATTAAAACAACACAATAAGGTGCTTAATAATGTGTCATGGGCTCAGACATGGCTTATCAAACCCTCTGATACTAATCTTGATCTTTCTTGTAATCAACTGCCTCTTCCTTATCCTATCTTAAGACATATGGCTAAAGATTATTTCCCAGTCAATGACGCAGATGACTTTTATGAAGATACCGATATTCCTTTCTTATCACAGAATAAGCCATTTGTTTTATTACCCTATTATGATGATGATAACAAGCCACTTTTGGATATCGATCTCTGCATTAGAGTTATTGTACCCTTTCAGAACGTCGGTGGAGACGATCCAATTCATCAGTCGCTATATCGTCCATATCCCAAAAATAATGCAGATCTTACTTCACCTTGGTGGGATACCTTCCTGATGCATCTCACAGATCCTACTACAAACACAACTAATTCCATTCAATTGGAACCATGGAGAGGGCATCATACCCTTCGTCAACAGGCACGAAAATTACGTAACATAAGTCCTGGCCTACCTGAATGGGCAAAATTGCGTGAGGATGAGATATACGAACGTCCACGAACACATATTTATGAAGCCAACGTTAGACTCACAAAAGGTTGGCAATTGTCTTGTTTGTTAGAGTTTGTAGAGGCTAGATATAATTTTGAATATGGTCCCGTGACTCCTTATCAGCCCATCAACTTACCCATCTTCCCTGCTATCATCAACCAGGTTGGAGACACACATGACTCCATCAATAAAAATATCGATCTGTTAGATGAACTCAAACATCATTTATCATTACCACTTTGTAAAGGATTTGATCACCCAGGTCGTTGGCTTCGCTTCCCGACTTTCCCTCATCAACACTTCTTAGTAAACAATTCATTAGCAGAGTTAAAGTCGCAATTATTAGGTTTAACACGAGACAATACATATTGGGCACCCTATGACTGTCATTATCGACACATCAGTTATGAACAATTCAATCGGTGTGCAGCTCAAAAATACCCTCGAGGATTAAATTTGTTTGGCGATTCAAACATACGTCGATCGATTAAAAAGTTCCTAAGTCAGGGTCATTGGTGTCAGGGATGGGAAAAGCATCTGAAGGGACCTTTAATAGAGGATAATCAAAGACCCACCATCATAGATTCATTCTCAACAACACCAAGTATAGAAAGACGTCAACTAGTGAACGATCCAAATCAATACGAATCTCCACAAGAGTATCGATTCTCGATAGACGAACAAACACGAAGCTGTTTCTGTGAGGATTATTCTGAACCTTATTGGGATAAACGATGGTTTGATCCTGTCGTAAGACGATTTGACATGGTCTATCGAAACAGTGAAAGGCAAACACGTCTGTTGGGTGTGACGGAGTGGGATACGACCAATAACTCTCAAAAGGGAGCGATTATCAATGATGATAGCTGGCGTGTGAGTTCTTATAAATGGGATGGACTTACATTTTTAAACAGCCCTAATTGGGATACAGCTGTTCCTTCAAGTCCTGCTAATGCCGATATAGCTATTTTTTCTCTTAATAACTGGGACGCTGCCTTTGGTGAACTCGAGCCCTATCTAAGGGATCTAGATCATCTAATTTACCAGATTAAACAGCACTATGATAAGGGAACTCGTATCATCTATCGTACTGGACAATATTATTGTTGCCGTGTAGATCATTCAGATCGTACAAGACAAGTCAGTGGACCTCGAATGGATGTCTTTGAAAAATTGACACAACAAAAATTTGTACAAGAATTGAATGCGGATATCTGGAACACCTATCGACTCGGGGAAGCCAAAAGTTGGGAAGAAAAAATAGTGGCCATTGGCTGTCCTTCAAATCATGTTCCTGCTGACCAAGTTGAAATTGAAAATCAAGTATTAATGAATGGTCTTTGTAACCTTTAAAAAAAAAAAAAAAAAAGTAAACTAGTTTTATTACAATTTTCTTCTTTTTAATCGAATAATAATAATAATAATAATAATAATAAAAGTGAAGAAGGGAAAAAGGAAATATAATTATTTATCAAGAATCAAGGGTTCTCCTGTATCTGTTAAATCATGTTCACCAATATCAATTGTTTTCTGGTCTGAAATACGAGTCACTGTAAATTGAATTGTTCTCCATTTTGCACCTTCACGTTTTGAAATAAAATGAACAACAGCTATTTCATCTATTCTCGGACATAAAATAAATACACTAACTCTCTCTCTCTCTCTTTAAAACTTAATTTTTACCTTTTGATCCACGAATTCTAAATTTTATATCAATTTTTCCTTTTAGATGGTTCACTGAACCACTAATCCAAGGCCAATAATCTGCATAATTTACTTTATCCCCTATAAGTGAAATGACTCGATGATCATAACGTACCATAAAAAGTGTACCATGAACAACACTACTTGATAAACGTTGATGGTTAAGTGCAGCGCCTAATCCAACAAACCAGACTAAAGCACCAACTCCTGCACCTGCCCAAAGCCAACGTTTTCTTGAAGGTGGTGCTGGTCTTGGTAATTCACGTTCAACAACTACTGTCTTACCCGTTGTTAACAAACGCCTTGTTGTTGTTGTTGTTGTTGCTGGTCTACTAAACGCTACTACATTCAATGTGAACAGTTTAGATCGTGATGACAGACGTGACATTAGAAACGACATTTTACTAAAATCTCGAGGAAAAAAAAAAAAAAAAAGAAAGAAAAAAAAGGGCAACTTCAAATTAAAATAAAATAAAGTCCTTCCCCATGATTTTAAATGCATTTAAATTTAATCTCAGATGATTTAAACGCTTTTAATCATTCTCTTTTAAACTCTAGCGTTGTAGATACAGTCAAACATGCTTTGTAGAATAATTTCAAATGTTTGATAGAATTCCTTATAATTATAATATAAATACTAAACTCTATAATAAGATTCTATTATCTCCTTTCACCTTCCCACTCCCTCCACTTATAAATACATATACATACATACATATATATATATATATATATATATATATATATATATATATCATAATTGAGCAGTAAGTGTAAACTTTCAGTATAGAACCCACTCGAATTTATACTATCATTACCCTGAAAGAAAAATTTACATCCTATTATACAAGTACTATTTGTTATAAAGTGGTGCATTTACCATTGCCACTCCTTTTTATTTTATCTTGTTTAATTATAAGTTTGTTAGTATTCTTTTTTTGTTTTATATTTGAATTAAATACCTAATAAATGCAAAAGACACAATTATTTGAAAGATGTGATATTCAACAACAAGAAAGGCCTATAGACTAACACTTGGTCACTGTATGAAACTCTAGGCATATTCTCTTATCTTTGAGAGGAAACTACTTACAACCCATAAATTAATATGACAAATACTTTAGAAAAAGGGGAGGGGGAGGGGAAAGCGTAGATCAAACGAAGGCATAAAAGAAAAAGAAGAACATATTATCTTCCTCCGTAGCTATTTAATACAGATATGATATTAAAAATATATATTTAACACTCGTCTATAAACCTTACTGCCAGTGTTTAATAATAAAAAAAAATCGTTTAATTTTATTATTCACATTTATTTGAAAGCATTTTGACGTTAATCTAAAAATGCAATCGTTCAATTCTATTTTGAATCGACTGATTTATATTTTAACCATTTAATTTTACATCTGTATTATTGAGTGATAGTTGATATTTACAGTCATGTTTAAACTCATAAAAATGTATCATAAGCTTTTATTATTATTATTGTTAAATTTGACCTGTCAATTGCTTAGTTTCTTCTTCACTTTGCTTCAAATCCTCAGAAACATATTTATCCAGTAACTAAAATAAATGAAGTTAGTATCTATATAGAACAAAAAAAAAATATAAATCTCCTTTACCTGTTGTTTTCGCCTTTCCACTAGATATGTCTCTATTTCTTTCTGTGAAGGCACATTATTATTATCTGTTGCTGCATTACTTTCTTGTTCTTTTTTATCATGATACTCTTCGTTTTGATCTTGCTTTGGTCCCTTTTCTTCCACATAAGTCGTATCAGGTGCATCATGTAATTTTTCAATCAATTCCTTTTCAAGCGCTTGTTCATATTCAAGCAATATGGTCTGCTCATCATCATATCCATAATATTCTGCATCAAGATCTCGATTTATTTCAATCTTTGCTTTAGCTGGTGTAACATCAGCAGCTATGAAAAGAAGAGGATACCTCATTAACACAATCACACACACGCATATACGTATATAAATATATGGATGTAAACTTACCAGCTTTTTCAAATAACTCTCTTACACCGGGTAAGTCTCTTGCACGACCAAAATATCTAATAATCAAAATAGAAATGAATAACTATCCTATTCGTTTATTGCTTTTTTTTTTGTATATACTTGTATCCTCTTGTGCCAGGAACTTCTCTTCCTTCAAAATTAATCATTTTAGGGGCAGATCTCTAACAATATTACAATTATTAACATACTGACTATTACATACCTATATATATATATCACTTACAGTATAATCAGCGCCACCTAATTCCTTAATACGCATTTCCCAAGCATATTTTTGTCCCATAAGTTTATTAATGTCATCATTTAGATCACGCACTTGATAATCAGACAAACTCACTAATACAATGAAATAAATCAACATGTGATTTTATTCCAAAAAAAAAAAAAAGTTAAATGATAGACATACCATCCTGAATCTTTGAAATCTTTCTTGAAATTTCACTCAAAATATCTCTTCTCCATCTTTCTGCTTCTTGTACTGTACTAACAGAGCCTGCAAAAGCAGGACGACGTAATCGTACCTTCCCCAGTCCTAATTCGGCTGCTTGCGCCTCACGAAAACGATATAACATAGACTGTGCTTTTTCTTCATTACGCGCCTTTTTTTATTTATTAAAAAAAAAAGTAAATAAAGGAAGAAATTGACATCAGGTTGAATTTAGACAATTGTTATTGATCATTTACCATTTTATTTTGAGATAAGGTTTAAAAATAATAGTTATCGCGGACTAGAATGATATAAAAAACAAAACAAAAAACACAAAAAAAAAAAAAAACCTTCAGTGACTGGGTTATTATATTTTATAATTCTCTAATGCACAAAAAAAAAAAAAAAAAGGAATGACCTATTATTACATAATACAAAAATGAAATATATACATGTGCATATTATTTTGCATTATAAATGTAATATTTATGTACATGCATATATGTATTTTTTAAAAAAGGAATTCCGTCTTCTGCTATAAAGAAAGAGAAAGCAAGTTTCTTGACGGGAATTGTTTCTCCCCCCAAAAAAGAAGGATGTACAAATCAGCCGATTTTTCCTTGTGACTAATTAAATTATTATAAGCTTATCTTTTTTTTTTATCGTTTTTTTTTCCCTTTGATTTATTAACAAAGAAAATATACAAATATGTTTCGCTTATCTCGTGCTTTAACCACTCGTTTACCAAAGAATAACAGTAGTTTTGCTCATGTTACTCGCCGTATATTACCTACTCGTTGCTTAACTACTACTGCCTATAAAGTATTTATTAAAAAAAAAAACGAACGAACAAATAAGCTTTTTTTTTTTTAACTTTTTTCTTTTTTTGACAGGCAACAACATCAAACATAAAAAATGCATTTGTTTTAACTGGCTGTGTAGCAGCAACTGGCACCTATCTCATATATTCTCAACAACAGCAAATTGTTTATGCAGAGGCACCCCTTGCCGCTACCGACACTGTAGCAGGTATTGTATCTCCCAAAGGGAAAAAAAAAAGACAACCATGGTTAAGGACTAGAATTAATAATCAATTTTTGTTGTTGTTGTTGCTGTTATAGATCCTAGTACAAATATTGCTTTCCCACTTTATATCAACTCTCTTGAAGAAGGATTAAAAATGTTAATCGGTTTAGGTATACGTAGAGTTTCGTTCTTAAATATGGGTGTTTACGTACTTGGTTTATACATGAAAACTGAGGATATAGATAAATTGAGAAAATTATCAGAATGGAAGGTAAAATTTGCAGAGTAAAAAAAAAAAAGAAAAAAAAGCGGGTGTTTATATTTTATATATAGGATTTTGATAAAAGCAAGTTATTATCAGATAAGAAATTAGCAGAACAACTCTTAGATGAACCCTATGAAATCAGTATTCGTTTAGGTAAAAAAGCATAAAGACTATAAACAAAGCTTTTCTCTTTCTCTCTTTCTTTTTTTTTACCATTTGTACTTAATCAATTTTATATTATAGTCCCCGTTCGCAATACGAATACACAACATCTTCGTGATAGCTTCATTCGTGCCTTAATGCAACGTATGAATAGCCAACAGCTTTCAGAAGAAGAAGAAAGACAAATATTAGAAGCAATTCAAGAATTTAAAGCAAACTTTATCCCAATGCGTATCATGAAGGAAACTGCATTTATCTTTACGAAAACAGTAGATGGTGGATTTAAGATGGAATATGAAGGAAGAGATTTAGGTACTATTAAGAACCCTTGGTTAGCCAAGAACTTTATCATTAAATATTTGAACCCTGATTCACCTTCAAGTCCTGCTGCTCTTAACGATATTGCTGAAGGATTTGAGAGATTAATGAAAAATTAATAATAAAAAGTAATAATTAAGCCCGCGGATAGAAAAAAAAAGAAAAAAAAAAGTTGGGCGAGTTTTTTTTTTTTTTTTTTTTTTTTAAAGTCAGGCACGTTTTGTCATATTATCGCGACTTATCTTTGACCCTACCACCCTCTCTTCCTTTAAATAAAGCGAAAACGTAAGTAAAAAAAAACATGAAAATGAGTTGATTATATTTATTTAGGGATAATGTTAAAGGGAAGAAAGAGAGAGAAAGATTGAAAGATGGATGGATATTTGATGGATGGATTTTATTTTTATTCTTTTTTTTTACATAAGAAAGTTTAGACATGGATATATGTATATACATACACCTATTTATTTATAAGGGATGTACCTCATTTTGACATTTAATGTCGAGTTTTATTTCGATGAATGACCAACAATAATAAAGGAAAAACACATTACAGTTAAAGATGATGCTTAATTTTGATGATGGAACAAACAATTATTAATTGCAATTTAATGACAATGTAACTATTACTCATTTAGGAAAAAAAAGCAATTCTTTCTTTCTCTTTCTTTTCAAATTTATCCTTACGCATATATATACGTATATATATTTATATGTGTATACATATATAAAAAAAGGGAAATAAAAGTAATGAATTTAACTTTTATATGTATATTATAATTAGATGTCTACTGAGAACGCTCAAGCTTCTATCCAATCCCGTGGTGAACAAAAGGCCCGTAAGGCCATTCTTTCTCTTGGTTTGAAGCCTGTTAACGGTATCAACCGTGTTACCTTCACCCGTGGTCGCGGTGTAAGTAATAGAGGATGCCCCCTTTTTTTTACAACATAACGCACTAATTTTTTTTCGTTATTATTGTATATAGTTGGTCTATGCTATTAACAACCCTGAAGTCTTCAAGTCTGTTAACTCTGATACTCACATTGTTTTCGGTGAACTTCATGTTGAAGATTTGGCTGCTCGTGCTCAACAAGCTGCTATGGAACAACAACTCGCTGCTGATGCCGAAAAGGGTGCTGAAGAAGCTGAAGCTGCTCCCGCTGCCGTTGAAGAAGAAGAGGAAGAAGTTGATGCTACTGGTGTTGAGGAAAAGGATATTGAATTGGTTGTTAGCCAAGCTAATGTTTCTCGTGCTAAGGCTATCAAGGCTCTTAAGAACAACGAAAACGATGTTGTTAACGCCATTATGGTAAGTGATAGCGAAGTAAGATTTATAAAAACTAATTTTATTTTATAGGAACTCACCATGTAATAAAACTACTCCTTTAATATACTTGTCAAAATAAGAAAAAAATAAAAATTACATTTTATAAAGACACTATTTCAAAAAGGGTGAGGGGTCATAATCACTGAGAAAGAGAGAGAGAGAGAGAGAGGAGGGGAGGGGGCGGGTTCTTGTTATTAAGGAAACAAATATTTAGTCTTGTGCTACTGTAAATAATAGTAATAAAAAAATATATAAAAAAAGAGAGAAAAGGCATCAAATGAAAAAAAAAAATTGTTTTTTCTTCTCCCTTCTTTTACAAAAACTACCTTTTATATAGAAAATGTTTCATTCTTCAAGCCTAAGGCATGAACAATACATGATACGTTCTAATTCAAACAAAAAAGCTATTTTACATAAAAATCGTTCTTCATTAGAATCAGAAACATCTAGAACAGATAGTGGATATTCTTCAATCACTTCACATTCTATAAATACCAAAGAAGATACTTCCAATAAATCTATTGCCACTACTACTATTACTACTACTGCCGCCACTGCCACCGCCACCGCCACCGCCTCCACTACTACTACTACTACTATTTCTAACAATTCATCAAAAAAGAAAAAAAAACATCCATCTCCTCGTCAACCAGATCTTGTCTATTCATGTCCTAGACCACTCGCCTTTCCGTTTCACAACGATGACCATTTTTTACCTATTGCTGAAGCAGATCCACGCGATATAGCCAGACTCACACCTAATTATAATTCATATTATTCACGACAAGCACATATAAATAAGAATCAAAACAATACAACACCATCATCATCTATTAGAACAAGCAATAGTAGTCAACAAGGATTTATATCTGATAATGAATCCAGTTACAGTCGTCGGTCTTCCTTATTGAGTACAATACAACGTGGCACCGTACGTTCAATCCGGTCCTTTTTTATGAACCAGCAACATAATAATGATACAGGCTTGGATACTGATTTCAAAACACAGCAACCGAAACTCGAGATAAAAAGAGGAACAGTCCAGACCCTAAAAGACATGTTTAATAAGAGGAAAAAAGAGGACTCTTCATCGTTCACTCATAATAAAGTTGTACAACAACAACAACAGCAGCAGCAACAACAACAATCAACCAAGAAGGGCCACGCTATTAGCAATACAATTAATCAATTCGAAAACATGGAAAGAGTATCACCGCTTAGTAAAGAATTACCTACTACCAAAAGGACATCACTGGCTTCACAAGCTACTAAATTTGTTACAACAAAATACAATTTATTAACAAATAAACAACAACCTGCGCAAGAGAGAATAAAAGTAACAGCTTCAAAATCAGTACCTATATTTCCCACTACTGGTACTGCAACACAAGATAATTTAGCTATCAAATTAAAATCTAAAGTTAAAAAATTTTCGAACCGAATATCCGACGCCTTATTTCAACCAAAGAAGAGTAAATCGACTTCATTTTTAAAACAAAAGCCAAGGAATGAAATAGAAAACCAAGATACTGGCATCAACAGCAGTCAAATAGGTGTTAGTAAAATGTGGAATAGTTTGAAACGACTAGTCACTGGTAAAAAGACATCCCGAGTTGGTATTCTTCTCTAATAATATCTTTGTGTCATTTTTACTACTTATTAATGATAAACCTGTAACTTATGAATCCCTATTTATGATTTATGCATCTTGCTAAGCTTTCTACTTGAACACCACATATGTAAACAAAACAAAACATTCCTTCATTGCCTTTTTCATTTCTCTCATTTTTAATTTTAATTTTAATTTTATTTTTCACTTTTTTACTTTTTTGATTTTTGCTTAGAAAAAAAAAGAAGATAATAAAATATGATATTTAATACTATTGTATGGACATTTTTATATAATTGCATCCTTCGAAAGTATTGTGTGTTTCTGACTAATTTTTTTTTTTTTTTTTGTCAGCAATTAATCATCTCGTTGAAAGAGATAATTTGAAAACTGAAACCTTTTATTTCTCAGCAGGTTATAAATATGTTTATGCAAAAATAAAATAAATAGCTTTTTTTTTTTTCTTTCTTCTTCTTCTTTCTCTTATTTATTTATTATTTAGAATGTCAGCTCCTCCCCAATGTGCCTTTATTGGTTTAGGTGCCATGGGTAAAAATATGGCTGGCCACATTGCCAATAAGTTGGCCTCAATGAATTACCCTCCACTTTTAGCCTATAATCGTACACAGGCGCGTACTGAAGAACTTCAGAAGACACATCCTATCGAAATTGCTACTAGTCTTGAACAGGTCGCTAAATCTGCTGACATCATCTTTTCTTGTATCCTGAATGATGCTGCTGTTCAAGAAACAATCCAAACTCTTCTACCTCATCTTAAAAAGGGTGCTATCCTCGTTGAATCCTCTACGATTAGCCCCTCTTTAGCCAAGGACCTGGCGACTCAGCTCAGTTCACGAGGTGCTCATTACTTGGCTGCCCCCGTCATGGGCCCACCTGACAGAGCCAAAAGCGGTGATCTCACGATCTTGATGGCCGGTGGTGACTCCGTCGAGATTCGCCAGCAGGTACTTCCTCTCCTCCTTAACGTGATTGGTAAAAGAGTCATTGAATTAAGTTATGAGGATGCAGCTGAATCCTTACGTCTCAAACTGTGTGGCAATTTTTTTATTACCAGTATGGTTGAGATGATTGGAGAAGGTATGGCCTTGGGTGAAGCAGTAGGTGTCGGACAAGATAAAGTAAAGGAGCTTATTGATTGTGTCTATCCTAATTCTTTATTATCACTTTATGCTACTCGTATGTTAAATAATACCTATCGTCATTATAGAGCTTTCCCTCTCTCGACTGCCAAGAAAGATGTAGGACATATTCTTCACATGGCAAAGGAAGCAAATGCGGAGTTACCTATTACTCAGATCTTTTTGGAACATGCTAATAAAGCTCAAGAAGAACAAGGTGATATTGATATCTCTGGTGTTGTTGGATGTAAGTTTTTTTTATACACCATTATAAATTGAGTAATTATAATTAGTTACTTATTCTTAAATATTTTTTATTTTATTTTATTTTTTATATATGAATATTATATTAGGCTCAAGAGAAAAAGCTGGACTTGGATTCGATCTTTAAAAAACAGTAAAAAGAAGCATTATTAAAATAGATTATTATCATCATTATTTAATTTATAATAAAATATACTACTAAAAAACATATCATTTATTTTGGATTAATAATATACAAATAAATATTTTTTTTCCTGCAAGAAATTCCTTTTTTTCCCCCTTTCTATCCAATGATAAAATTCTAGTCAAATTCCTGATATTTTAGTCTTTCTTCTTTTTATTTAATCATTGAATGGAATCAGTCAACTACTTTTAACATATTGACATCATGACGATTTCTTTAAGAATCGTTCATCTCGATCATTACATGGCTATCCCAGATCGCTTTGATCGCAAAGATTGTCCATTCACAAATCAAAAAATACAAAAAACACCTGTGCTGCGAATTTTTGGATCTATCGCAGGACAACAAAAAATATGTGTTCATATTCATCAAGTAATAATAAGCATATTGGTCTTGATAAAGTATTAGCTTTTAACAAAGGGGAAAAAAAATTTTTTTTCTTTTTTTTTTTTTTTTTTTTTTGTCCTCTAGGTCTATCCTTACTTTTTTATACCTTATGATTTACCAATTCATGGTGATATTGAACGAGACATGTTTGAGTTTGGAACAAGTCTAAATGAGGCTATGAATTTAGCTACACATACCAATAAGCCCCATATTGCAGCCATCATTTTGACCAAGGGCAAGGCGTTTTATGGCTTTTGTCAAACATATCAACTCTTTCTCAAGATTTATTTTTTAGATCCTCAAGAGAAGCAACAGATGTTGGACATCTTGCAGTCAGGTGCTATGACTAAAGTCTATCAACCTTATGAAGCACATCTTAATTTTGAACTACAATTTTTGATCGATCATAATTTATATGGCATGGATTGGATGCATGTGGACGATCAAGAGGCTCAGTATCGATCAGCGTCCGGATTTGGTGATAATGGAATACAACGTCAAAGCTATTGTGAGTTAGAGATGGATATGAATGCGATAGCTATTTTAAATAGAAGAGATCTGATTAACAGTGAAAATCAAAATGCAACAAAGCTTGTCAAATCGCTCGAAACTATTTGGAGAGATGAATTAGATCGTCGTCGGGAGAGAGGTATAAAGGATCCTATACCATCTGTCACTCAAATAAAGGATCCAGTTGATCCAGAACCATGGCTATCCGAGTCTATATTCCGAAAGAGACTAGAAAAGATGTTGAATAATGATGCAAAAGAAATACCTAAAAAGGAACCAGTTATGTTGGAAAACATCATGACAACCTTTGAGGCTGTTGAGGCTCTTTATAAACCTAAAGCCCAAAGACATCCCTTTCATATATCATCAACAACTCATGAATGGGAACTACTACCTTCTCAATTAGACAAGGACATCCTGAACTCTTTCATTGAGGAAAGTATATTAGAAGAGGGAAAAGATGAAGAGCAGCAACAACAAGTCAGTAGTGCGGATAATGATGATTATTCGTATTTTGATGACGAGGACGAAGAAGAAACCAATGAAATTCTTACACAATGGTTAGAAGAGGCAAACATTTTATCTCAAAATAATAATAACAATACTGAGAAACAAAAGTCTTCAAATGTAAATGAAGAGGAGTCATTTCAAATCAGTGATATACCTCCTGACCCAATGTAAGCAATATCAACATCTACTACTTGATTTAACATATTAATTACATGATCTTTATAGGTTTCATATCAAAAAAAGACAGCCCACAACAAGGTTAGTGTCTAGAATTGAACAAGTTGACGGACTAAATGATTCAAATGTGGTTAAACAAAAGAAGCTCAAAACAGCAGCTGAACTATGGGAAGAGGAGAAGAGAGTATTAAAACGAATGAGATTAAAAAAATCAGAAACGGACATGCAGATACGGAAGCAAAGATTAAATGCTACGATGGTAAAATCATCGACTATCACAATTCACCCGACTGACACTCATGAACAAAGATCAGAAATACAACAAGAGGATGCGTATCTTCAGAAAGTTAGTGTCGTCATTCATCGATATCCTGAAAGGAAACAAAAGACATCAAATCACCACCGGTTACAAACAAAACAAACTCTTATTCAGGAGCCAAAGGTTGTGATTGTTCAACATAAAAAGTCACAAAGTATAAAGTCTAGCCTTCTAATTGAAACAGATAAATCATCAAAATATAGCACCAAGAAGACTACCATGCTTAATGATGATAAAGAAAAGGCACAGAAAACGCCTGAAAATCAAGTTATAATGCGACCTGCTACTCAGCATACCTTAGGGGAAAAAGACCACAAATCTACAAGTAGAGCGCATACTTCTATTTGTCATGCTGAAGAAGATAAAATACTATATAATGCCGAACAATCAATTAAGCATAAATCCTTTCAACCATCAACATCAACATCAACTGGTTTATGCCCAATAATATCACCACCATTTGATATGATGACTCAAAGTAGTGAGGTTGATGATGGTACGTTATTTAGTTTAGTATTAGGTTGATTAGAATATTCTAAAAATAATAATAAAAAAAAAAAGATACAGTCTTTAACAATACTATAGAGAATAATCAACAAACTGGTTACAATGTTCGAGAATTTGTCTACAATCATGCGCCTCCTTTTATTAAACAATTTTCAGGGCCTATTTCTTACCGAGAGCCATTTTATAGCAAGGCATCTGATCGGCCTAGCTTTCCAACTGTCTTTGCAGGTAAAGAGTTTAAGTTGCCTATTGGTGAACAACTCCTTGAGGAATTTAAAAGTACCTATCATGTTCCAACTCGACACCCAACTACACATATTAAATCATGGACATTAAGCAGACCACCACCCTCCTTTCATGAAGTTCAGCAGTGGATTGATGATCCTAAAGATTCCTTAGAAGATAGTGCTCAACCTCATCTCCATCACTCTGCTTCCTCTAACCCATTTCAATATAGTGCAACAAAACCCAAAGCGCTGACAAGAAATGAAGATGAAATGGTTACTTTTTTCAGTTTGGAAGTACACGTAAACACTAGAGAAGGATTGCTTCCTGATCCACAATACGATGCTGTCCAACTTGTATTTTGGTGTCTGAAAAAGGATTTGACATCTAAAGAAGGGAAGATTGGATTGATTGCTATGCATAATTTTAATACTTCAAAAATTGGTTTAAACTGTGATGGTAAGCTCATTATCATAACACACACACACACACACATGTATACATATATAAACAAAAAATAACATTTATTTTAAGGATTAATTGTGGATTATGTACAAGATGAAAAGCATTTAATTTCTCTATTAATTGAAAAAGTGCGATATTATGATCCTGACATGTTGGTAGGCTATGAAGTTCAGAATGGGTCTTGGGGATATCTTATAGAAAGAGGAGCACAATTAGGTAATTGGTTGAAAGGAAAAAAAAAAAAAAAAAAAAAAAAAAAAAGAAAAAAAACCCTTCCCCCCACTAAATTATTTTTAAAACTACATAAAGGATTCCATTTATTGGATGAATTGTCAAGAGTAATTGTAACGTCTGAAAGTATCAAAAGAGATGAATGGGGTTATAAAAAGGCATCTATGTATAAAGTCTTGGGTCGCCATTTACTTAATGTCTGGCGAATTTTAAAACATGAACTTACACTTACAAGCTATACTATTGAAAATGTTGCATATCATTTATTACATACCAGGTAAAAGAATACATTATTATTCCATCTTATAAAGGAAAAAAGAAAAAAAAATGTTTTATATTTATTTTTTTTTTTTTAACAGAATACCTTATTATTCTCATTCTACCTTAACAAATTGGTATTCAAAGGGAATTCCTATACTTAAAAATCATTTAATAAAATATTATACAAGACGTGTTCAACTTAATCTTGATCTACTTGACGCCTCTCAAGTTATTAGTCGCACATGTGAATCAGCACGTATTTATGGTATTGATTTTTATGCCGTCCTTACTAGGGGATCACAATATGTTGTCGAGTCTATTCTCTTCCGTATTGCTAAACTTGAAAATTATGTCCTTATTACACCCAATCGAAAGCAAGTAGCCGCTCAACGGTCTTTGGAAGTTTTACCTCTAGTGATGGAGCCTATCTCACGATTCTATAGTAGTCCTATGGCTGTTCTTGATTTCCAAAGTTTATACCCATCAGTCATGATTGCCTATAACTACTGTTATTCCACTTGTTTAGGAAGAATTCGAAAGTCAGAAGATAATGATTTGAGGTTTGGTGTACTTGATTCATTTGAACCTGATAAAGAGACTTTAAATGACTTGAAAGATTATATTCATATATCACCCAATGGCGTCATGTTTGTTAAACCAGAGATACGTAAAAGTACATTAGCCAAGATGCTAGAGGAGTTATTGGACACAAGAGTGATGGTGAAAAGAGCGATGAAAGATTATGAAGATGATCCTGTAAGTAATTTATGATCCATAAATACTGCTGTGTATGTAATCATGAATGACTGATTACTCAAATTGTTTCTTAGGGACTTTTACGTATGTTAAACGCTAAACAAATGACACTTAAACTGGTAGCCAATGTGACTTATGGTTATACATCTGCTTCATTCTCTGGTAGAATGCCCTGTGTAGAAATAGCTGACAGTATTGTAGCTACAGGACGTGAGATTTTAGAAAGGACGATCCGATTGATTAATGAAACAAAAGATTGGGGGGCCCAAGTTGTCTATGGAGACACTGATAGCGTCTTTGTTTATTTCCCAGGTAAATCTAAAGAGGAAGCCTTTAAGCTAGGGAATGAGATTGCCAATACTGTTACACGCTTATATCCTACACCTGTCAAGCTTAAGTTTGAAAAAATCTATCATCCCTCAGTACTTTTAGCCAAAAAAAGATATGTTGGCTTTAAATATGAGTCATCTCAGAATACAACTCCTATCTTTGAAGCCAAAGGAATTGAAACAGTGAGAAGAGATGGTACAGCTGCGACACAAAAGATTTTAGAGTCTAGCTTAAAGTAAACAAAAAAAAAAAAAAAAAAAAAAAAAAAAAAAAAAAAAAAAAGAACACAAGAGTATATGAAAATAGAAAGACTTATCATAATCATTTTTAGAATTTTATTTCGAACACAAGATATGTCAGAATTAAAAGAATTTCTTTATGAAGAATGGACCAAGATACTATCTAATCGAGTTTCGTTACAAGATTTTATTATTTCAAAGGAAGTGAGAATGGGTACATATGCAGGTCAGGGACCAAACGGAGCAGTTATAGCTAGAGCTAATATAAATCTGGATCCAAGAGCAGAACCTCAATATAATGAACGAGTTCCTTATGTTGTGGTTTATCGAGGACCTAATGCACGATTAAGGGATAAAGTAGTTCGCCCAGAGACTTTATTAAATGACAGGTATATAAATATATTAAACCAAATAGAAATAGATGTACATAACTCATCATATGCAAAAAAAAAAAGCTCTTTAAGACTGGATGCTGAATACTATATTCGAAAACAAGTTATTCCTCCTTTAAGTAGGGTATTCAACTTGATGGGTGTAAACATTTTAAGCTGGTATGAGTCTATGCCACAAACAAAAAAAGCAGAAGCAATGGCTTTAGCACAAATTATGGGAGGACAGCAAAGAAGAAACTTGAATAGAATTGATCAATATTATGCAAGTTTACATTGTATTGTATGTTCTAAACTAACAGATCAACAGTGTAAGTATAAAACAGTATTCTATTTAAATTATCCTTAACATATCAATAATATAGCACTTTGTAAACAATGTCAAGAGAATCCTATGCATACTATTTTTACTTTAACGACAAGACAGAAATTAGCTCAACAGAAATTGAAAAGGCTACTTTCGGCTTGTCAAGCATGTTCCAAGTTACCTTTAATTCATGACTTTGATGGTCTTTTAAATGTTCCTTGTGAGTCGTTAGATTGTCCTATTTTTTATCAAAGATTAAAAGCCAAAGAAGATGTTCAGATAACCTTAAGTTATGATACCCTTATTCAAGAAAGATTTAAAATTACATAATTTAATCTCCCCATACACACACACACACACACATGTATAAACATAAACATTTAATTACAAAATAAAATAAGATAAAGAAGTTCTCTCTCCCCCTTGCTTACACAAAATATAGACATGTACATTCTTGTTTTATTGTATTTCGTTGATTAAATATAAAAGGGAATTTTGTTAATAATTCGAAACAATTTATTTAATTACTCTTTGGGGGGTTAACGAATTGCTAATGAATGGATATTAAATTAGTGTCTTTTTTTTTTTTCTAATTAATTAAAGCTTCAATGAACTTACTTGTTCCTTTTGGGCACCATTTTCCCACTTGGCAAACTTGAGGTTATTTTGGTTACGACGAAGAGCAGCAGCACGAACGTCATCCTTCAAAGAATTACGAACAGCACGAGCACAAATGTTGGCATATTGAAGATAACTAGGAGAGAATTAAAAACAGAGTTAATTACTTGTTTTATAACATGTACGGAAAGCTTATTATCGCACATACGTAATACCGGCAGACTTCCAAGTAGACATGTTTAACTTTATTAAAATGACAAAAAGAAAAAAAAAAAAAAAGATTTGGGAACTGAGCTTTTTGTTATTATTTTATGGGGTGAAATAGACCCTGCCCTGCGGACAAGATCATTTAAGGTAAGAATGCAGTCAACGGTATTTAAATTAAGTTACTTTATTTTTGATTTTATTTTTTTATTTTCAAAAGAATGAAAAAAAAAAAAAAAAAGAAAAATGATGACGTTTCTCTTTTGTAGCCTTAAAAAAAAAAAATAAAGAATACTACAAGGCCATTAGAATAAATTAACAGTCTTTCTAATGCTTGTGATTATTAATTGTAGCCTCTTTATGGGGCGATCTTTTCTTACATGCAAAAGCTTAAAAAGATATAATTCTTTATAAAATGCGTATATTTTCACTTTATCATGTTTATTGTTGTTGTTCTTAAATCTTCCTTACTATTAAACTAACAAGCAATATTTGGATAAAAATGATAATTGACTCTATAGGATTTTAATTCTAAAGAAAGCATCTGTTTCTACTAAGAATATTCTCTATACTCATTTACAATTGCTTCTTTATTATTTCAGCCTATTTATCCAATTTGTTAAATATTCTTTGAAATAGACTTTTAAATGACGCTCAGTATCTTTAATAAAGGTAGTTGTCCGTCATCTTTCTTATTCACTTTATATTTCCTTTTCTTCAGGATACTTGAAGCTTTTTGACTCCATTATTTACAAAAAAAAAAAAAAAAAAAATCTGCCATTACCCTTTTTTATCCTGTATCATATCTCTAACAATAAATAGGACAGAAGCATCCTATTAATCAAACTTTACTTGCTCGATATAATAATATAAAACGACTTTATGTAAATGTATACTTATTAAAGTCTTTAAATGCTTTCAAGTATCCCTGTCATAGAACCCATAAATATACTCTTTTATGGTCGTCATTTGTCTGTGGCTTATTTTGTTAGTGAATAGTCTCTTCTTCATGAATACAAATCTTTAGTTTGTAATATACATTTATAAAAGAGCTCCTCTTGATCATTATCATAAATCCTTTTATTGCAGCTCCCTTATCGATTATTATCTTGTTATCAATAATGGATTTATGAATATGTTAGACTTCGATCATAATTGACCTTGTCTTTTCAAACTATAGTAGTAGCAGCATTACTATTTTCATATGATAAAATAAAATATATCATATAATAAGTCTAATTTAGACTAAACAAACATGTTATTTACTCAATCCAATGAAAGAAAAAAAAAATTTTTTTTATAGTTTTCTACTCCAACTATTTATTTTATCCTTTACAAAATTTGCAAATTTATTAATTCATTGTAATAATAATAATGATATATAATATGGGATATTATATCAAATATATAAGCAAAATATATCTTTATATTTTCTTTAGTAACCATCAGAAGTAGGACAGTCACGAGCCTATACAATAATAATAAAAGTATGAATAAAACTATCAATTGAACAATCAAAAAAAAAAAAAAAAAAAAAAAAAAAACTTACAATATGACCGGATTGTTGACACTTGTAACAGGTCTTGGCTTGAGCAGGTTGATCACAATCTCTAGAAAAATGACCAGAGTTACCGCAGTTATAGCACTTGGGTCCACTATTGTTACCACTTTCAGGACAATCACGACTCATGTGTCCAGTTTGGCCACAGTTATAACAAGAACGGCTGTTACCACCAAAAGAACGACCTCGGCTGTTGTTATTACCACCTTCAGGACAATCACGGCTCATATGTCCGCTTTGACCACAGCTATAACAGGAAGGACCATTGTTATTAGATGATTCAGTACAATCACGAGAAATATGTCCAGTTTGATTGCATTTATAACAAGTCTTTTCAGCACGAGGTTCAGTACAGTCTCTTGACATGTGACCTTCTTGTTGACAGTTATAGCTAATAGAAATGAAAATCGATTTATTATTTATTTATTTATACATGTAAATATATCCTAATCTTTCTTACCAAACAGACTCGGACTTGGAACAGTCTCTGGCTTGATGACCAGCTGTAATAAAATAAAACGGTAAGCATTAAAACAACAACAAAAAAAAAAAAAAAAAAAAAAAAAAAAAGAGGGAAAGGGGAAGGGGAAAGAAATAATAATAAAAATAATAAAAGGCCATCATAAACGTAATTTAAATATCAAACTACTCCTTCCTTTCTTCTTTATTTATTTACGTGCTTTCGCAATAATAAAAAAATAATTACTTGATTTTTTTTTAAAAAAAAAAAAAAAGTGGGAGCAGAAAGAAATTAACGTTGATGAAAATGAGATCATCAAATTTCTTTTTTATGATGATGAAGAGTATTTCTCTCCCTAAAAAAAATGTATATATTATATAACAAACTGGAATTTTCTACTTGCATTCACCACATTTGTAACAGAGACCACTACCACGATAAGACATTATATATAAAAATTTGTATAAAAGAAAAGAAAAACTGGTATAAAAAAAAAATTATACACTTCAATTTTATATGGAGAAAAGGAAGATTTAGAAAAAAAAAATTTTAAACCAATTAAAACAAATTAAACTATTATATTTATTAAGCCTCTTTTTTTTTTTTTTTTTTTTTTTTTCTTTCTTTCTTTCCTTCTTATTTTTAGGTTAAAATGCATAAATTTACGTTATATACAACACTGTGTTAAGGAGATAAAACATACCAGTTCAATTGATTATCTTTATTTATCGAGTTTAAGATTAATTTATTATTTGTTGAATAGACATAGACTAATCCAATCATAAATAAGAGGTTTCAAATACAAATATCAAAGGCCTTCAACAATAAAAAAAAAAAAATTAATTTAGTATGATATTTTAAAGATGTAATATAATAACCAACGTACCTATTAGGAAGCCTATATCATCTTCTTGGTTCTAAAACTACACTTAAACTTAAAACCATATCCATTGGCATCAGACAACCACCAATAAAAGGCTGTTATTAAATACAATAGCCATAAAAAGAAAAGTTCTTAGTTACGCTAGAATAGTCCATCAATAGTTAAAGTTAAAACAACTAGTTGAGTTAGTAACAAATTGAAAGGTGGTCACTTTATAATTGTTATATAGAAATATCAAAAACAAAGGAATCAAAATTTGTTACAGTGAAAGCACTAGTGGAGTATGTTCAATTAAGACCCCTAGTAGAGATTTTAAGTTTGAGAATCCAAGAATAAAACTACAAGCTAGTTATTATTATAACAATAGATTAAGAGATAGCTCATGTAGCAAGTCTCTAATAGAATCATCAATAGCATTTTTTTTTTGACATGGTAACTGAAAAATAGAATCATGACTTGACCATACACTTATAGCCAGTAAAAGGATATATAAGAATATGAAATCCTTGACAGATCATTTAAACAAAAAGAACTAATACTACTTATCTACACTTGTAATTTAAAAGTGAGATAATAGAGACTTCAGCATCAGACAATCTAATAAAATGTACTACAATCATCACTAACATAAGCAATCATATATTGTAACTGAACATATTTAATATTACCAGAAAGTGACCTATTCGCGAAGATACCATCTTTTCGGGAACAGATTGCTTTCTGTAATAGCTCAAGTCATAATATGTTTAACCTTGAGTGAGCCAAAAGACGATTTATTCATGATTACATCTATAACGAATAGTTTGTATTTATATCAATATCGTTCAAGAACAGAAATGGATAAAGCTACATAATTGATTGTGAGCGTGTTTATTTTACCTTATTTATATCAAAATAAATAACACAAATGTTAAAGTTACAGTATTTCCTGAATATCAGCATTTCTATACTTTTACTGTAGTGATGATGTAATTAAGTGACTTTTTAGCTTTGTATCTATGCAAAAACAACAACAGCATTATAGCCCATATTGTTAAGGGTCTATACATGTATAAATATATATATTTTTGGAAACCACTACTGTATTATACTAACTGGGGACTAATTGTATCATTGAGGAAATCCTACACAGACCAGTATTATTTAATATAAAAGTATCTCTTCTCAACACAATAACCCTTAATAGTGTGCCCCTCATTTCTCTCTCTTTAGAATACAAAAAAAAAAAAAAAAAAAAAAAAAAAAAAAAGTAAAGGTCAATATCGAAAATAGACTAAAAATTAAATCATGTAGTTATTGTAATTATTTATAACTGTGTAGGATTGAGTATTCACCATTTAATATCTTTTATTAAGAAGTTGCCTTGCTATCAGATTACATTTAAAAAACACGTGTATCCTTGTTTATCATCAATACACTGTTCCTTCCCCTTTATATATCTTTATATTAGAAAAGCCTTTTTCTAATTCATTAATTATTTATACTGCTTCAATTGAGAATTGTCATATAAAGCAATGACTTGCTATAAAAAAAAAATTAGTCAGCAAGCGCACAAATACATTTTAAAATTCCGTGTTTTAAAATGAAAAATCCAACTTGGTCAAAACGATTATGTGATTATCACAAAAAAAAAAAAAAAGTCCAGCACTTTCTAAAAAATAATCGCTTCTTTAAAATAAAAAAAACAAAGAATCAGAGTTTCCTCATTTTTTCTTTTTTTTTTATTTATTGTTTTATTAAAATGTCAAAGATGAATGTTGATTCAGAACAAACCATTGATGAAGGATTGTATTCTCGTCAGCTGTAAGTAGTCTAAATACATAATTAAGTTTTATTAACGCGTTTTCTTGTAGATATGTTTTAGGTCATGAAGCTATGAAAAAGATGAGTGTTGCTCATGTTTTAGTAGTTGGTTTAAAGGGTCTTGGTGTTGAAATTGGTAAAAAAAAAAGAAGAAACTTTATACATCTATATAATATATAGATAGATAGATACTAATTACCATATATAGCCAAGAATGTTGTATTAGCTGGCGTCAAGAGTGTCACCCTTTGGGATCCTTCACCTGTTCAAATTACTGATTTATCAGCTCAGGTATATATAACTTCAGTTAGCGATTCCCCCCTCAATATTAATACTGTTTATTATATAGTTTTATTTGACAGAAAATGATATTGGTCAACCTCGTGCTAAGGTCACTCAGCCTAAGCTTGCAGAACTAAATCAGTATGTTCCTGTTCATCTTTTAGAATCAGATTTAACAGAGGATGCCTTAAAGAAATATAAAGTAGTTGTAGTCACCGAATTGCCTCTTTCAAAGCAATTAGCTATTTCTGAAATTTGTCATGCAAATAATATTCATTTCATTTCTACTGAAGTTCGTGGTCTTTTTGGGTAAAGAAAAAGAAAAAAAAAGCGTAGTAAGAAACTAAAATATTTTTTGACTTACTTTATTATTATTATTGTTGTTGTGCGTAGTCGTATTTTTAATGACTTTGGTCCTAAATTTGAAGTCATTGATACTAATGGTGAAGAACCTTTACATGGTATGATTGCTAACATCTCTAAGGTAACAATGAAATGTAGATAGAATTTACAAATGTAATATTAATTTGTATTATTGATTTTATAGGAAGAGGAAGGTATTGTCACTTGCTTAGACGAAGTACGTCATGGTTTAGAAGATGGCGATTATGTTACATTTAAAGAAATTCAGGGTATGACTGAATTAAACGATGCTGCACCTCGTAAAGTTAAAGTTTTTGGTCCTTACAGTTTCAGCATTGGGGATACTTCCAACTTTGGTGACTATACGAATGGAGGTGTATTTACTCAAGTTAAGATGCCCAAATATATTGACTTTGTAAGGAATTATAAAAAGAAATATATATATATTTATATATCAAAATTTGTTTCTTATATTTATCTATTATTGTTTTGAATGCAGAAATCATTGAATGAATCCTTAACCAAACCTGAGTTTTTGGTGTCTGATTTTGCTAAGTTTGATCGTCCTATGCAGCTTCACTTGGCTTTCCAAGCTGTCTCTACTTTTGTTGAAAAGCATGGACGCTGGCCTAAACCCCGCAATGAAGAAGATGCAACTGAAGTTTTTGAACAAACCAAAGCACTTTTAGCCACTGTCGATGAAAAACCTGAATTAGATGAAAAACTCATTAAAGAATTAGCCTATCAATCATCTGGTGAATTGTCTCCTATGGTGGCTGTCTTTGGTGGTATGGCTGCTCAAGAAGTCTTGAAGGCTGTTAGTGGTAAGTTTAACCCCATCTATCAATATATGTATTTTGATGCTCTTGAGGCACTTCCCACTGGTGAATTGACTGAAGAACTTTGTGCCCCTCAGGGCTCCCGTTACGATGGCCAAATTGCTGTCTTTGGTAAAGTCTTTCAAGAAAAGATTGCCAATACACGTGAATTCCTTGTGGGTGCTGGTGCTATTGGTTGTGAAATGTTGAAAAATTGGGCTATGATGGGTTTGGGTAGTGGTCCTAAAGGTCATATTACAATTACTGATATGGATACAATTGAAAAAAGTAATTTAAATAGACAATTCTTGTTTAGAGCGAGTGATGTTGGCGTAAGTACTATTATTATTATTATTTGTGAAACAATATATTGATTGCATAAAATTGTGTATCACCTCTTTGTAGAAATTGAAATCTCAATGTGCTTCAGCTGCTGTTACTAGAATGAATCCTGAGCTAAGTGGAAATATTACTATTCATCAAGAACGTGTTGGACCTGAAACAGAAAGTATGTCAATATACATATATATGGATCAATATATAAATGGATATTAATGCTTATATTCTAGATATCTATGATGATGATTTCTTTGAATCTTTGGATGGTGTGACGAATGCTCTCGATAATGTTGAAGCACGTAAATACATGGATAGAAGATGTGTTTATTATCGTAAGCCTCTGTTAGAATCAGGTACCTTGGGTACAAAGGGTAACACTCAAGTTATTATTCCCTTCTTGACTGAATCCTATTCCTCTTCTCAAGATCCACCAGAAAAAGCTATCCCCATTTGTACCCTTAAGAACTTCCCTAATGCTATTGAACATACTATTCAATGGGCTCGTGATCTCTTTGAGGGCTACTTTAAACAACCTGCTGATAACGTGAATCTCTATCTAACTCAGCCCAGCTTTATTGAGGCCACTTTGAAACAAGGTGGTACCAGCAAGGATACCATCGAGACTGTTAATAATATGTTAACTACCGATCGACCCACCTCTTTTGCTGACTGTGTTCGTTGGGCACGACTCAAATTTGAAGAATTATTTAGCAATACTATTCGTCAGCTCTTGTTTAATTTCCCACCGGATGCTGTTACCTCTACAGGTCAACTCTTTTGGTCTGGACCTAAACGTGTTCCCACACCTCTTGTCTTTGACGCTGATAATCGAGCTCATCTTGACTTTATTATTGATGCAGCCAACTTGCATGCTTTCAATTATGGGCTTCAGGAAGTGACAGATGTAGCCTATATCCGTAAAGAGCTTGAAAATATCATTGTTCCTGAATTCAAGCCCAAGGAAGGAGTGAAGATTCAAGTTCAAGAGAATGAAACTGTAGATAATGATGCAGCAGGTAATGATAGCTTGGATGATCTCATTGCTAATTTACCATCTCCCAGCAGCTTTGACAGCAAATTCCGACTTATTCCTGCCGAATTTGAAAAGGATGACGATAGTAACCATCATATTGATTTTATTACTGCCGCTTCTAATTTGCGTGCTCTCAATTATGGTATTAGTCCTGTTGATCGTTACCGTACCAAGTTTATTGCAGGTAAGATTATCCCTGCTATTGCAACTACAACAGCTATGGTGACCGGTCTTGTTTGTCTCGAACTTTACAAGATTATTGATGGTAAGACCAAGCTTGAAGATTACAAGAATGGTTTCGTCAATTTAGCTCTGCCTTTCATTGGCTTCTCAGAGCCTATTGCAGCTCCACAACTCGAATATAACGGTACCAAGTTCAGTCTCTGGGATCGCTTTGATATTGATCACGACATGACGCTTGAAGAATTTATCGAGTATTTCCAAAATGAACATCAATTGGAAGTTACAATGGTTTCATCAGGTGTTTCCATGCTTTATTCATTCTTTATGAATAAGAAGAAAGCTGCTGAGCGACTAAAGATGAAACTTTCAGAGTTGGTAGAAACTGTTTCTAAAAAGCCCATTCCTGCTCATGTCAAGTCTATTATTTTTGAAGTTTGTGTTAATGATGCAAACGATGAGGATGTTGATGTACCTTATGTCCGTGTTAAAATCAGACAATAAGAATTTTAAGAAGGGAAATGACATTTAAGAGAAAGCAGGAAATATAAAAACATAAAGATATTTTTTTTTAGCATAAATAAAATCTTTGTATATTTTTTTTTTTTTTTTTTTTTTATACAAATACATGAATTGATTTTTTTCTTATCATTAAAAATGCTTTCGACAACTACATTAACAAACTTTGTTATGCGACCCACTTCTCATTCAACTAATTATTTTGGTAATGTTATTATGCAATTCACACGGCAGGTGATGCAGCCCAAAGTCATGTTACCCATGTTATTTGTAATTGTCATGTTGTTTGATTTAGATGACGATTCACTTGATATCGATGAGGATTTCTTTAATGAAGAAGATGAAGAAGAAAATTAATAATGTGCAATAAATTATATATAATTCATTACAGCCGCTTTTGTTCATCGTTTATTCATAATGACACTATTATAAAAAAAAAAAAAAAAAAATAAAATAAAAAAGTTACACTTGAATAAATAATAATAAAAAGCATGTTCCCAATCAGCACACAACTTTTTTTTTCTTCTATATTTGCAAAACAAAAAAAAAAAAATGAATCCATCTGTCAGTTCCTTGTTAACAAAAAAGATGCAAACTCCTAATGCTCCACAAATATCAAATCCTAGTTCAACTATTCATCCTGCATTTCAAGGCATCAAGTTGATTCGGAAAGATAATATACCAATAGAATTCAATCCATCCACTATGAATCCCATCTTTTATGGCTATATAAATCAATATAGCAAGTTATAAATATTTATTTATTTATGTATTTATTATTATTATATTATTATTATTATTGTTAATAAAGTATGACGAATAAGGTTTATTTTCTTGTTGATTTTTTCTTTTTATCCATGGTCCACCATTTATATGTTAAAGACCCTTCTTCGGCAATTGCATCATGCCTTATTGTTGCTGTATTCAATATTTTTGAAAATCGTTCTTTAAGTTGTGTGGATAATGATGTAGCAGGTTTAGGTCCTCCAATTGGCTTACATTCATAATGACATACAAACCCACAAAAGTCTTTGCACATATAGGCTTTAAAATAGATATCAGAATGACATTTTTGACATGATCCAGGTTGCCCTAAGTTAAAAGAAAAGAGGAAGGTTAATGATATAAAATAAGAAGGATACATATACGTATATAAAAAGAAAGGCAAAATACTAACCTTTTGTAAAATAACACTCAATCAGTTTATGTTCATGGACCTTTTTCACTGGAGGCATAGACTGTCGAACATGAGTAGTCGCAGTGATTGTTCTTCTCCTTTCTTGTTTACTTGAGGAAATGATAGGCAATTCACTCATTGTCTTTTTTTTAAATGGGAATGTTGTAGGTATTCGTCGAGCTGTCGTATTATTATTACTGCTATTTAAAAATTGCATTAATGGATCTAATCTTGAATTGTTATTCTTTACAATCCAAGGATGATATAATAAGTAAGTTGCCTTTGGTCTTTCAAGTGGATTCTTTTTAAAACAAAGCTTCAAAAAATCATTGAGGTCATCAGAGAGGTCAATCGGTATTGGAGGGCTTTCCTCTTCAACTATCTTGAACATGGCCGTCATTGTTAATAGATCTGAGTACGGTGGTTTACCTGTACATAATTCAATAATCGTACAACCTAATGACCAAATATCTGATTGAGTTGATGCTCCCTTAAGTTGAATGACTTCAGGTGACACTATATAAAATGGGATAAGAAGTAAGAGAAAGAAGGAAAGGGTCTTCTTTTCAAGCTTATTTATTCTACTTACTCCAAAAGGGGGTTCCAGAAACTAAATAATCATTCTTCTGCTGTTTTCCATGAAACATCTTGAGATTTAACGAGACTCCAAAATCAGATAGTTTGACATTACCTGTTTTAGTTGTCAGGATATTAGCTGCCTTCAAATCACAATGAACTACATCCTTTTCATGTAAATAGGCTAACCCCTTCAAGATATCATGTACATAAGTGGCTACAAGTGGTTCTGGTAAACGGTTTCCAAATTGTTTGAGAGTTGCAAGTAGTGATCCATTTTCAACATATTCTAAAACAATATACATTGCATTATTTGATTTTATAAATCCTTCGTACTTGACAATATTAGGATGACTAAGGGATTTCAAAAGGCGAGCCTCCTGAAGAATAATGTCTTGCTCCTGTTGGATACGCTTGATAGCTACTGTTTTACCTGAAATAAGATCAAGAGCTCTAAAGACAGTTCCAAAATGTCCTTTACCAATAACATGACCTAGTTTATATCGTGCAACCAAATGATCACCATCAAAGAGATCAAGACAGTCATTCTCGTCCTTGTTATTATTCAAGATGAGAGGAGTTGATAAAGAAGATCGTTTAGTGAAAGAGGTTTGGTCTTTTATGACTGTTGAACTAGTTGAGTTAGATCTTCGTACAGAGGATGATAGACAAAGCTCAGGAGACTTTCCTGTCATGCAGTCTTCGTTGGTTTTAGTAGACCAGGTTTGAAATTTAACGTAATGGGGTGTTTTCTCTTTTTTAAGGGAGGAAAATAATTTGACAGGGGGACTAAAGATATCATCAAATAAGTCTTGAACTTTTTTATTAGACTTTTGTTGCTTCATACTTCCATAACCACTATCGCCTGAAGAAGGTGATGTACGTTTTGATACTGAACTATTGATTTGTTCATCTATTAAAAGGGATTTTCGGTGCAAATCTTTAACATCAATAATTAATGATGGTCTACGACTTCTTGTAGTTGTTTTTCTTAAATTTCCTTCACTATTTGATCTTTTGTGGTGAGCAATAGGTGATGTTAGACTGAGTCGTTTATAAGAATATACATGACCTAAAACCAGAATAGTTGAAATGACCTGGAAGTTAAAACTGATGTTATTACATAATTTTATATATAACTCTTTCATTATTATTAGTAGTATTATTGTTTTACTAGATGCATGTTTTCTTCATTTGTTAAATCATCTACATTAAACAGATCTTTTGACTGCAAGCCAAACTATAGTACTTTTTTCTTGTTAGTCAAATTATACTAAAAAAGAGGGGGAGGGGAAGAAATAAACTTAAACTTTACATCTTTGATAGCATTTAAAAACTGTTGAATTTTATCTTTCTATTATATGTTGCATATTAGTTACTTTATCCTGCCTTTCCCCTTTCTCTCTCTCTCTCTCTCTCTCTTTTTTTTTTTTTTTTCTGCCTTTTCCCTTTTATGTTATCTTCTTACCGGGTCATTAGTGGTAATAGGATAGCTATTAGGTAATTGATTTTGATCTACTAAAAATTGAACAATTCTACATACAAAAAGTCAAAATACAATATAAATTCTTAATTTTCTTTTTTGTACTTGTAGAGAATCTCGCCATTTTTTAAAACAGTATATAGATCATTAGAAGGTAATTGAATGTTCAAAATAGACTCGATCCAATATTTTGCTAACAATTGTTGTTTCGAGTGGGTATATTGTTCTGTTTGATACATTAAGGAAAAGAAAAGAAAGAAAAGTATTTTTTAATTTTTTTTTTTTTATTTTTTATGATAATAATAAAAGAAAGAAAAAAAAAAAGGAGGGAGAGGAGGAGAGGAGAAAGATAAAGGAAGAAAGAAGGAAGAGAGGAGTTTAAACTATCTTTTTGTAGTAACTATTAATGTGAAAAAAAAAATAAAAAAAAAATAAAATAAAATAAACCCTTAAATTTTGTTTTAGGTTTTACATATACATTACAAATAACCTCCCACAAAAAAAAACGGGAGAGTGGAGGAATTAGATAATTTTTATGATATCTAATAAAAAGGAGATTAAGTTTATTATTAAGGAACAATTGCTGCTGCTGCTGCTGTTGCTGTTGTTGTTGAATCACGAAAACTTGCGGACCTTGGTCTCTGTAAAATACAATGTGTAGGTAATAAACATCCGATTGATTCTGACCGACGAGTTCTTCGTGTCACTTTTTTTTTCAATTTCATCATTAATAATTCTTCAAATTCTTTCAATTGATATAATAACTCCATGTTGGGTTGTATACTCGGTGCTCTTTCCTTTACAAATCCCATGGCTCGTTCCAGGGAGGACCATGGTTGATGGTGGCTACTGCCAGGTTGATGAGAGATAAATAACAAGAACGCCAAGACAAGTGCTGCTGACCTTTCAACACCTTGTTGACAATGTACTAGAACAATTTGATGTTTATCATGTGCTTCATTAATTGTCTTGATACCCCGTTGAAATTCTGAATGGGCTAAATTGGATTGGTTATGTTTCCATTGAATATGATGATATGTAATGTTGGTCATTGCTGCAATAACTGTTGGCGTCTCTTTACAATCATTTGCTACATTAATGATACAATTAATACCGCGTTGGTTAAGGTGACTCGTATTAGTAGCATTATAATGTGCCCCCAAATAAAGGTTAGGTAAGACACAAACAGGACCCTCTCGGTATAACAATAAGGAACCTGTGTTATCATTTCTAATAAAGTTCGTGTTACAACTATAATTATTATTAGACACTAATTTTAATACTAATTTTTTAGGATTTTTTTTATCATTCATTGTTAGCAAAAAAAAAATAAATAAATAAATAAAAAAGGTAAAGAAATTAAACATATATGTAGATCATTAAATACTATTAACTAACAACAAAAAAGAGAGAAAAACAAGAAAACAAAAAGGATTATTTATTATAGGAGACGTTTATATTACTCTTCTTTATCTCTCCTTCGCAAAGAAATAGACTACATATAGATATGTAACTCCTTTATACTCAACTACTTATAAGAACGTGCTATAAATAAAATAAAATAAAAAAGTTATTTGTCCAAGTTAAACGAAAACCATTTATTTTTCTATATAATTTAAGAAATCTAACTTCTTTTTTTTTAAGCAGTAGCACCAAGAGTAGGGAAAGCGGAAGCATCTTGGAGGTTGATAACAGGAGCGGCAGCATTCTTCTTACCATTACCACCACGACGGTTACCACCGTTACGACGACCACCACCATTACGTCTGTTGTTACGGAAATCAGAACGAGGCTTCTCTTGGAAGCGTTGTTCAATTTCAACAAAGACCTTACGAGGAGCCTTTTCAGTGGTTTGAGACTTGGACTTCTTGGGTTGAGCAACTTGACCAACATAGTATTCTTCAACTTCTTGCTTGCTGACAACAACAGCACCTTCAAAGGCAGAAGCATCATCATCGTTAGCCTTACGAGCTTCAGGAAGAGAGACCTTCAAGGACTTGTTGGCCTTTTCAGCCAAGTATTCATCGAGGGTCTTGACCTTTTCTTGTTCCTCGACGGGAGCAGCAGCAGCCTCAGCTTCAGGAGCTTCGGGGGCATCCTTAGCGGCTTCAGCTTCAGATTGACCTGGCTTACCCCAACCCTTATTGATCTTCTTTTGAGTATCACTAATATAATAAAAGTAAAAAAAAAAAAAAAAGTTAGTAAATCAGAAATGAAAAGTGGATGATACGCATCTATATATATACTTACACAATACCAGTACCGGAATGACGGTCGAATTGACGACCACGTTGACGACCATTTTGACGACCCTTGTTAACTCTATTAGCACGAGAAGCTAATTAAAGAAGAAAAATGAGTATACAAATTCAACATGTCAAATACATTATCTCCAAACTGTAAATGATGAGTTAAAATTGTTTGACTCTCTTTTTCCTGCATTTTCAGTCCTTTCCTTTCTTTCTTTCTTCCTTTATCTCTCTCTTTTGTTTGTTTGCTTGTTTTTATTGAAGCTGTAATAGTGTCATCTTAATAGATATTTAACGAAATAAAATACATTGAGGGTTGAAATCCATAATGAACTGTTCTTTCTTTTCAGTAAAAAAAAAAAAAACTCAATATGTATATATACTTGATCTTTATACTATCAAACACGTGTAGAAATGATTGAACTGTCTTTTGAAAAGTAGGTAACTCGTCAGCAGACAAAAAGAGAGTCAAACAAGAAATAAATTCCAATCATCATTTACAATTGACATTTGTGATCTAAAAATTTACCATCCTTGCTAATCTTGGAAACATTCTTCTTGTCAACTACAACTTCTTGAGGCTTTTCTTCCTTTTCAGGACGAGGGATTTCACCATCGCCAAGGACGTCAAAAAGGTTCTTTGAGAAAGTGGACATAATACGACGGATGGATGGATGTATATAAAGGAAGGATTCAACAAGATTTGTATTGATTCTCAAAGTTTATTACTATTTTTTTTTTTTTTTTTTGAGCAACAAAAAAATTTCATTTTGATATTCCGCCCTCCTTTTATATACAAATTTATACAAATTATGTGTTGTATGGTATACCTTAAAAAAAAGTAATTTTATGTAAAATATGTACAGTGCGTGTGGTAAATTTTGTCACCCTATGAAAAATAAATGTCCTTGAGCCAAAAACAAATGGCAATTATTAAAATGTAGTTGTCAGTTTGAGCAAAAATAATTGTCGCTTTTGAAAAATTATATCGTCCATTACCAAAAAACCATAATGTCCACTTCGGCAAATATGGTTATCAATTTCAAAAAAAAAAAAAAAAAAAAAAAAAAAAAAAAAGATCCGTTTTGGTTTAAGCATACTCCCGTTTTAAAGATTTAACCCCGTTTTGGATTAACATTTATAGCTCTCATTAAAAGTGAATAGCGGTATGTCAGTTGTAATATGGAACTTTACTATTTGAGTAAATATACAAAGATGTGGGTTTTATGATGTTTATTATTTACCGCTTGGGGTGATTACAAAAGCCATACAGATCACTAACTATTGACATAGATTAACGATATACATACTTCTTTCTTTCACGCTAGCCCTTTGCAATGACTTGGCCCACTCTAGAAAAAAGAAACATCATTTTTTAAACAAAGTATTTTGTTATCTGCAAATTTGATGTGCAAGACATACTAGCTTCAAACAATTTGTACAAACCTAATGGTGATGAAGTTGTGTCTACATTAAATATCCTTCTTCAGGGTAGACAGAAATTAGTTTATCTCCATGAAGTCACTCGTCCAGTCTAGGCTGATTTCGTTGAGGTTCATAGGGCAATACCTCACAGACCAATGTATTACTATCAAAAGCTGTTATTTCATACCCAGCATTTATTGTGCTAGTTCCCTTTCCTTTTTTGAAGTCTATATTGTTACATTATGGTCTTTATTTGATTTCATACTTTATGATGATGTTTTATGCAATTTCCTGCATACTAATTTTGGATCTGTTTCCTCATTATTCTATTTTATGTAGTATGTTTTTAGCATGATACTAACATAGCGAAACCATTTTGCCAATTCAAACAGATTTTAAAACAGTGATTTACTTTATTAAAAATAAAATGAGGCTGCTCACCTCCCCTCTCGTTCCGGTAAAAACTTACCAGAACGCAGTGTAGGTGCAAAAAACTTGACCTGCACTACGGGGGTGGCTTCCTCGCCCTGCGGGTTTGGGAAGAACACAACATTCAATTATTAAAAAAAAAAAAAAAATGCCTAAATAGTACATTTATATTGTGTGGTTACATAAAAATATTGTTGATGTTTATTGTTTGGGATATGTAATATGTGTGATGGGATGTAAATAAAAGATAAAAGACAAAAATAGAAAGAGAGAAAGGGAACAAAAGGAAGTATAGTTTGAGACTGTTTTTATTCAATAAAAAATAAAGAAGGTTAAAAGAAAGTTAAAAGAAAGAAGTTCAAGATTATTTTGTGTCTAAACAACTGCTTGTATTTATATTAATGAATCCTGAATCACAGAAATAAAAATAACCGTCAAAGAACATGAGTCATGAAACAGTGTTAGTATTCGGATATACGTCTTGTTGATTCAAGAGACTGATCTATGGATTATCTATTGGGTGTTATAATGATCTGATCAAGTTTTAAATAAAAAATATATTGTTTAATCTGAGTATATGTTCCTGATATCTTTTATGTTTTATTTTATTGAATCAGGGACGACCTGAATCCTTTAACAAGGTTATAAAAATAAATATTTAGAAATGATACGATGTCTTATAATTGATACATCTAGACAATTGGATGTCAATAAGTTTTATATTATTTACAAGATATTATATACAGAGTTTTATTTTATATTCAGGCTTATATTTTATCCTGTATTATGTAATTCATCTATTATAATATTACTTATGATTATATCCAGAGCTTGTTCTATAACAATATGAATGTTATGTTTATAGTTAATGATTTTAAAGAAATTTTAGCTATCGTTGGATAAAACTTCATTGTACACTACATTTCTAGTATAAGATTTTTCATTATTATTTCCACTATTAGAATCAGCATCAATCATAATCTTAACAGCAAAAGGCGATTTTACCCTTGACAAAGCAACATAGAGCTGTCCATGACTGAATACATGGTTTGGAAGATGTAAATCCAGCACGATCCATAGTCTGGCCTTGAGCTTTGTTAATTGTCATTGCAAATGCAAGTCTAACAGGAAATTGAGTCCTTGAAAATGAGAATGGTAGGGTAGTCGGCTCATTGCTGCTAAATAATTTAATTTTTGGAATGTACACAACATTACCAATATGAGAGCTTGTTGCAACTAATGCCTCTATTACGTGAGGTAGAATTGTTCTGACGATCAGGCGAGTACCGTTACAAAGACCTTGCTTTGGGCTGATGTTCCGCAACAGCATAATGGAGGCACCAATCTTTAACTTCAAAGCATGTGAAGGTAGTCCACCTGCTTCTAACGAATTCAAAAACTCAGTTAGAACTGAGAGATCTTCATTTTCAATTATAGGTGCATCATCACTGAAAGAGATTGTAGCTTCACCAGGAAAAACGTCGAATACCAAATCATTAATAACAGCTACATCTTTGTTTGTGGTGGATAATACCGCAGAATTGATAAGAGATGCTGTAGAAAATTGTTGGGGAACTTGATACAGTCCAGGGTACATTGCTTGCAAAAGATGGATCAAGTTGTTACCTCTGATAATCATACTGTTTGGGACCTCAATGAGACCCGTATTAAAAATCTCATGAGGTTCGCCACCCAAATTAATCTTGTGAGTGTCTACTTTACCATCTCCTATAGCCATAAGTTTCGTAGCAAATGCGTTTAATTCAGAAGACAAAGCTGTATTATTTGAAAATAATGTTTGCTGAACACGCATGTTGGTATAAAGTCGTAAAACTTGAACATCCCATAAAATTAATTTTGTTTGCATCAAAAGATCAGTAGTTGGTGAGTTTGGATTGATATTACACATACTGTCAGGATCAACATTAAGGGGAATTTTAAACACGGAATGTGATGTCCTACCACCCTCAAGTAACAGAGATGCAGTGCCACTTGAGGCTACTGCTACAGCAATTTTACCTTCTCGTCTTACCCTATTCAATAAAGCATTAAACAGAAAAGTTTTTCCAGTTCCACCGGGACCATCAACAAAAAATACTCTCTCACTTGACGAAGGCAGCGAATCATCTGAATCAACCGTAGCAGCAATAGTATCATAAACCAGCTGTTGATTAGGGCTAAAATTTAACTGGGCATTTACTGGCCTTGATTGTGCTTCTATAATTAGTCGCTGATGCTCCCTTAAAATCCTTGGGATGTTAGGATCAACAGCATTAGCTCTTGTATCAACTGGAGCTATGACAAACCCAACGTAATCAGAGAGATCCAGATTGTAATGCTCAAGTAGCTGATCATAGATCTCCAGCAAGCAATGGTCAAACGCAAGCGTCTGAATGTCTGTTGCCGGACTCTGAAGCTCAGGATTACTATGGAGACTATGTAACAGATCCTCTGAAAATTGTTGCTTAAATTACTCAAACAGTTGAAAAGGATTGTCTGGGAAGCAAAAAGCAATTATTACGTAAAAGAGATCACGCAATGAAGATACACTTTGGAAAGTTTCAGCTTCTTCTAAACAAAGTATCCATTGATTATCATGTTCTAAGAAACCCAAAGCCATTGCAGCCTCTTGATAGTTAGCAAACTCAACGTCATTTACTGTTCGTAAATCAGTAAAACTGGTAGCACCTTTCACATGGTGTAAAGAAGCATACTCAGATGGTACTTTTCTGTTTCTCTGGGCGACACGGTAAACACACGGCCTATAGTATCCGAGAATCCTCTTTGTCTAGGTACCCATCTTTTTGGTTTATCTGACGATTTCCATCTGAAATGCTCAGGAAAATTGGGATATAAAATAGTGCGAGCAAATTCATTAACACGATTAATTTTGAACCAAGCTGTCAAAGTAGTCTCCTGCATCGTAGCATTCTCAAGAACCGCATTAAAATCATCAGTTTCATCAAAATAAACTTGCTGCTCATTTTCAAGATGCACTTGCAACCTTTGACTGGCAGGGTACTCCTTGTAAGGGCTACCTTGAATTCTAAATGTATAACTACCAGATGTTTGGTTGACTAATTCCTTGTCAAGCTTTACACCCATAGAACTAAAGCTTAAGGAACTGTTGTAAGCTCTAATATTAGTTCTAAATTCCTTAGAAGTATTGCTATTGCTGGTCAAAAGTTCTGTCAAAAGAGGAGGGGTAGGTTTCAAATTTTCAAGAACTAAAGATCCTTTGCAGCAACAAAGTTGAAATAGTGGGTTTGTGATGGACGATTTAATTATTCTCTCACCAATCCACATTCTGGCACTACAATAAGGACAGATGACATCCATTCTGCCTCTATCATCCCTTATAATAGGCACCCGTGTTGGGTCTCGTGCAATACACTCAACAGATACTGGTTCTGCTCTTGTATAGAATAGGCACAACTTGTTTGTTCTACGTCGATGTGTAGGGCTATTGCAAGCAGTGCATCGACTAATATTGGGCAGCTGCTGATTGTTGTGCTCAGGTTGCATTATTGTCTCTTCTACTTCTACATTGTCTTCAATAATATCTGCGCCGCTCATACTAATATCATTCATGTCAACATCAATCATATCAACATTAATCATATCAACATCGTCCATATCAACATCACCAATAACGTTAGTTTGCTGAGTAGGGTTCATGGGACAGGAGTGATGATTTGATCGTCTATGATCTGACTGTCCACAACTACTGCATGTAGGCTGATTAATAACAGCCGAACGCTCAATATAAGCAGTACAATCTTTATGAGATCGGCGAATATGACCTGATTTTCCACAATGGGGACAAATTCTTTCTATCATTTTAATTATTCAATAGATATAAAATTCTAAATGATGTAAATAATGATTTTATTAACATCTATCTATAAAAGTAATTCTTTGATTCTTTACAATATATATAATTTGGTGATCCTTTAGTAATTCTTGTTATATTTGTTTTATACAATATGGTTTACAAATATTTATGATTGATTTTATAGAATACAATATACCGTAGATTCTATACACA